ATATGGATTTTTAGATAGCCAGTAATTTTTCATCAAAAGTGATTTTATAAATAATTGTTTTTTTTTTTTATTGTTTTATTTCTACAAACCTTTCCTGACAATAACGAACACAATAAAAAATAATTATCCAATATGGTTCAATCGTTCGGCTGTGATGCGCATACATATTTTAAAATTTTACTCAACTTTTCTTACAGTTCTTTAACACCCTACTCAAAGAGAGGCGATAGTTTCAGATAAAGGAAAAGCTCCAATTGAAGGTGTCTAATTAATATTTAATTTCCCTTTCTTAATCCTTTTCCTTAATACCAATTTGTTATCAGGAAATAACAGATGTTCTGTCAACCTAAATCTGAACTGTTTTCCCTCAGGATCTCGTCGTATACCTCAAGTTGCCAGCAACTGGACAAGATTAATAAACATCTGAAACGTCTAGCTTTATCTAAAGAAATTCTAGCAGTTCAATGCTTAAATAATAAAAATATAATCTAATTTTATTCAAAATCGCTGTACATTGGCCTGGAATTGTTAAAAAACGTAAGTATTTGAAGATAAGTAGTCATTGTCTCCGTATCAAAAAAAAAATACTTTTGTTTCCGAGCCGAATATTATGAATTGACAAATCGTAAATACATTCGCTTACTTTAATCCACCAACACCACCGCTGACAGAAAACAGGTTATTTTTAATAAAAGCATAATTATTGCTGCTCTTTAAAATGTGGGTCAAAAGAGTTTCTTCAAGAGGCGTAAAGAAGTTTAAGGGTGGACCACACGCCTGTGTCATTTCTGTCCTGGTATTAATTAATATTTATGGTGTTCATGCGTCTACAGGCCACGGTGACCGCTTACCATCAGCTCTTAATGTGTGGAACGCCAACTAGGATCATGTCCTAGTTGGCGTTCCACACATTATTTCGCTTCGTTTGCGTTCCAAAAAATATATCCGACATAACTGTAAATTATACGTTCAAAGATATCTGGGCATTGTCTCTGTATCACAATACAGACACAATACTTTGTTTGAAAACAGTACAGTACAGAAATGGAGTAAGTACGTGTGTAAGCATAGTGCTTCAATCACGGAAAGCGATTTCTACCAGACAACCTTTTCATCAAAATTTGTGGCTGTTGTTTCCCATTATTTTAAAGCCACAAATTGTAAACACATTCACTAACTTTAATGCAAGAACATCACTGTCGCTAACATAAAACACGTTTTTTGATACAATAGTTTTTGCTCCTCTTTTAAATTTGGTCAAAAATAACAGAAATTGGGCACACTGAGTTGTCCTACTGAGTATCCACGTGCGCCGCCTCTTCAATTATTGAGTGTGTCGTAAGTGAACATGTCAGTTTCCCGTCTATTTACACAAGTCTTTTGTAGCGCGATATTTACCAGATCTTTGAAAGGGATTAAATATGCAGTTTATGAAAATTCTCTGCAGTACGGCCCTCATGAACCTGGGTTGGGAAATTACTAAACTATGTACGTATACTGTCTAATACTGAGTAATATTTAAAGAGCAGACGACTTATGCCTATGTAAAGGCAACAGATATTATAAGCTACCAAACTATGTAGTTAGTATCAAAGGAAAAAATATTGATGCCGAGAGGAAGGGCAAAAATAAGATCATTTTATAAATGGTGAATGAAATCTTTGATTTGGAAATTAATAAGGGTAACCTAAGTTCCTGTAAAATATCACTACGGCAGGAGCCGGTAATCAGTTGTTATAACAAAAAATACCGGACAAGTGCGAATCGGACTGACACACCGAAGGTTCCGTACTTTGTAGGCACGCAATATGAACGGTCGCATCTCTTTTTACGTTAGCTTCTAAGCTTAAATTTTAAGGGAAATTCTGATAGTCCAGTCGGAATAAACATGAGACCTATTCTAAGACACCAGCGCTTAGCCAATTTTTTCCTAGATAGTATAGACCCCCACGAATATGCCCTCCATTTGTCCCCGCTAGAACCCGTGTTTTGTAGCCAGGAAAATTGTTTAAACAAAAAAACGGATTTTTTTGAGTTTTTTTGCTTGTAAACGGGGATTTTGAAAATTTTTTTGAATCAAAGTTGTTCATTAGCTTGCCCTCTACAAAATCAGTTCTATGAAAAAATAACGTGAGATTGTTAGTTTAGCAGTTAATTGCAATTATGTCGGTTTTACGTTTGCAACAATTCAACATGTTACAATAAACATTTTGATTTCTAAAGTAGTTTATCATGTGGGTAACGCCACTCCCAAGAGAGTCATGTAAAATTTATCGACCTGTGTCGCAAAAATTTAACGACCTGTTAATAAAAATGTTCGTTTTTGGACGATTTAATTTTTTTTTAAAAATTGACGTAGAATATTTTTTTTTTTAAACTAATGTATTTTTCTCTCCTCAACTCGAATATACGATTGAAAATTTAAAAAATTCAGTTTATGTACAGAAATTATTTACAAAACTATTAACTAAAATTCGATTACAAGACTGCGTTGTATTCTATATATATATTATATATATATATATATATATATATATATATATATATATATATTTACATCTTCTAAGACTATATATATATATATATATATATATATATATATATATTATATATATATATTCAGAATAGTATATTCGAGTTGAGGAGAGAAAAATACATTAGTTTAAAAAAAAATATTCTACGTCAATTTTTAAAAAAAAATTAAATCGTCCAAAAACGAACATTTTTATGAACCATTTTTTTCTACTCGATCGATTCCTCACAATTCTTGGTGAATCGAATCACCTGATTTTTTTTTCCCCGCTGTGCGCCTTCTGGGAAAGACGGGACAGGCAAGTACTTTTTTTTCGGAGATTGAGAATTGTTGCTAAAGTTTGCGACACAGGTCGATAAATTTTACATGACTCTCTTGGGAGTGGCGTTACCCACATGATAAACTACTTTAGAAATCAAAATGTTTATTATAGCATGTTGAATTGTTGCAAACGTAAAACCGACATAATTGCAATTTACTGCTAAACTAACAATCTCACGTTATTTTTTCATAGAACTGATTTTGTAGAGGGCAAGCTAATGAACAACTTTGATTCAAAAAAATTTTCAAAATCCCCGTTTACAAGCAAAAAAACTCAAAAAAACCGGTTTTTCTTTGTTTAAACAATTTTCCTGGCTACAAAACACGGGTTCTAGCGGGGACAAATGGAGGGCATATTCGTGGGGGTCTATACTACCTAGGAAAAAATTGGGTACGCGCTGGTGTCTTAGAGTAGAAGTCGGTCCAAATTATGGCTATTCCGACTGGACTATGAGTCAAAACGAACTTTATGCGTTAGCGTTGGATAAAATACTTTCTGCCGGATACTATGGCCATATTCCGAAACCATTCTCCGGGATTGGATACATTTAGATAAAGGGATAATAATAGTTTTCTTTTGGCAACGAAATTCTAACAATAATTTACAAAGTATTTATATTTATTCAAAAAGAAATAACCGCATTTTTCTTGGGACCAAAAAGTATCTATCGTTTTTCACGTTAGAAAACTAAATATGATCCCCTTAGAGATAAGGCTGTGAAAGGTTACAGCCTTATCACATTGGTCCACATTTCAAAACCCGGTTCAGGCTTGCATAATAAAAGTTCCGCGTGGCCATTGTGCTCCATTGTGCACCACGGCAATTTTGAGCTCCAGTTATGCGAAAAATTAGCTCCTAACTACAATAGGCTAACCTCCTTAGCAGGAGGACTTAAGTACAGTACCCCGAGCACGAACAACTAGCGAGAAAATGTTTCGAAATGTTGAAATTTCTATGGGAAAAACTAGTTTGTTCTTGCGTCCGGTAGGGACAGGTGCTTAGCCTATTAATGTCCCCAATTCTGGGGCACAGGCCTTCCCTATGATTGGAATAGGGAGATTGGGACATGACCCACCACGCGGGCCCTGTGCGGATTGATGGGTGTTTACGAATGCAGATGCAGCCGGGACCAACGGCTTAACGTGCCTTCCGAAGCACGGAGCAGCTCGAGATAGTCCATTTTTGGTCACTTATCCAATGACCGACCACTGCGAATGTTGCTTAACTTCAACGATCGCAGCCGAACGCGCTAACCACTTGCGCCATCGAGCTCCTCAAAACTTTGACTATGCGATACGAAAAAGGCTCTGTCAAAGTTCGTGCTTGAAGTACAGATCTTTTTTGTGTGCCCAAGTTCTTTAATCCATATGATTATGAGCAGTGCGAGTGGTAAGGGAATTCCATTGACAAAGTTTAGTCAATAATAATAATATTTCAAACACACACCAATTAGCCTAGCCCCAAAGTAAGCACTGGCTTGTGTTATAGGATACTAGGGTACCGGATAAAATACATATATTGTACATAAATGAGTATATTCATATAGAAATATATATTTAACATCCGTGACTGGAGTACAAATGCTCGTATTCATTACACAAACATCTGCCCCCACCGGGATTCGAACCCAGGACCTCTGGAGTCGGCGACACCATGCAACGGCCATGACGACGTTTTAAATTACTTTTTCAAATTCCCACGACTTTTATTCATTACCAAACTGAGCAGAGCACACATAAAAGGTAAACAAACTTTAGCCTTTTTAAACTTCAATTTGGATGAAATTATTAAAATTTCGTATAGACTTTCATTTGATTTTATATTAATATGATGTACTTGATAAAATGTTTAGCTAGCAAAATATATGTGTGCTAAATTTTGGATATAAACAAGCAAGTCATATTTGTCTGAACTGGAGTTTCATGATTAACTTTTGTGGCAGATATTGAGTAAGTAGGTTAGGTACTTACTTTAACTTAAAAACTTAATTAAAGAGCTGAAATTAATGGATTGCGGGAAAAATCAACAGCTTTACCTATGGAAACTACTTAATGCATAACATAGATATTTATTCTTATCACACATTAATACGTTTGAACAACAAGAAACTAAAATAATAATAAAATAAAATTAAAATAATAACACACCAAAATAAGGAAGAAAACTAAAACACAATGTTATACAAGTATTTATACGACATCGTTACAATTATGACTTAATCTTATATTTAATAGGGATGAATAGTAAACGTAAATAAATTATTTAAAAAAATACACTTATAATAATGTTAGTATGATAGGCCAAGTTATTAATATAACTTATAACGATAATATACAAATAAATTTAATTGGTTTCGTAATTCAAACTTTTTTGTGCTTAATTAAAGATTTTGGAGGCAATTATTCAGTTTTTTTTTCATAATGAAATACTTTCTGCTTTTGTTTAATCCATCAGTTACAGGAATTATTTACAAAGTTAATCAAAATCGAAGTGTTGCAATTGTATTTGAAGAATCTGCATAAAATGTAACCAAAAGCTATTGGACTTACTTTTAAAAAGTTAGATACTGTTTTAAACCATACTTTGAATTATTTTTGTAATTTTTTCTTTGAACTCGTGTTCAAGCCCTTAGATTTAATATTGTTTAAGTTCTTACCTTTAAACTAGTTTTAATTGGTTTTAAGGGTTAGTAAAAACTCTTTCCTTTCTTTCTTCTGATCCTTTACAAAGTACCTACTTTAGATCCCGCTGGCCATCCTACTGCATGCATTAATACTATATTAAACAAAACTTCACTTAGGACACAGGCATTGACGTTTAATTGAGAATCTCCGACAATAGTTATCTCGTTCTCTTCTCTATGCTTATATTATACCCAGAAACTGGTTTGAGCATCACGTCAATTTTCAACACCAGCTGTTTGTGGTCTCCGTGGATGCGGTAGTTGCGAAGTATGTGCGTCAAACTGGTCTTCATTGACATGTAAGCGTATGCTTTACCTGTTGTAAGAAAATTTCATTCAATTAGAACTAGTAGCAGTGGCGTATCAACCCTAGGGCCAAGAGGGCCTCAGCCCCCGTAGCATCACTCACTCAACACGTCAAACTTCACTGTAGTCTGACAGTTAATGCCGATATATCGCTTTATTATATCCCGTTTCGGTGGTAATGCTATAGGGTCAGGCCGGGGCGGTACACTTAAAAATAGGTTTCAGTTACTTATAACAAAAAAAATATTACCTATTACATAAAAATAGTGACTACATAACAATAGTTATTATTTCATTTTACCGAGTGTAACCGTATAACAACAACATTAGTTATTAAAATAATTTTGTTGGTATAACGAAACAGTTATGTAAAATTTACAAAACTGTTTTGTTAACTTACACGTATTCAGTAATTGGTTACAAAATGATTGTTTAAGTATATCTGCACTATACTGTTATTCGTAACCGAAATATTTTGTTATCTGCAACATAATTTTGCGATTAAATTATATTTGTGTATTAATATTACTTGCAAAAAGTACTTTTCTGCTTTTAAAACCCTGTACCAACTTACGAACAAGTAAGTACTGGGGGCTAACAGGGGCTGACAGGGGATTGATGTAATCATAATAAACTGGTTCCTAATTTATTTTCAAATACAAAGGGAAATCCTCCTTTGGACAAATTCTATTTTGAGGGAGCCATGTTCGACAGTACTCAAAATGTTGCAGGTTTTTTACGCGTTCTAAAAGAGAATTAATGGATACTAATACTTGCCTATGCACATCCGCCTACCCAAACTGAAACCTACGTAGGCGTTTGGGTTGTCCGGCAAAGTGTCCGGGCTGAGCCACCTGTCCGGATTGAACTGATCCGCGTCCGGTCCCCACATGGGATGCTTGTGGATGCCGCACAAAAACGCGAAGCAAGTTCTACCAGCAGCTAACTTGTATTTTTCTGAAAAGAACATTTCGTCGTTGCGACTTTAAGACCTCCCATGTGTTAAATTCTTCATTGCGAGATATTCAATAAAAACTGTCTACTGAAAAAAATATAAGGAAACTAAATATAACAAAAAATACAAGTGATAACTAGAGGGTTTTATGATTTTTATTTTGCTCTTGTCATTTTAAATAAAAAAGGAAATTGTAGTAAAAAAATAAAAAAACAATTCAATGTGACACATAAGAGGTTTTGGTTGCGCGTTTTGTATCACATTAGAGAATATAAGTATGTAAAAGGGATTGAGATTGAAAACGCAAGACTTTTAATTAAACAAGTTTTTTTTTTTTAATATTTATCATTGCAATGGCAATAGTATATAATAGTGGTTTTATGTATTGCTCAATAGTGGAGTGAACACTGTCCATCTCCATCATGGTGTGCCCTTTTTTATGTTTAATAGGCAAGGCGTTTGAGCAAAATTTCGCCTGATGGAAAGCAATGATGAGGCCTAGGATGGTACACGCATGCCTAGAAGATGCCTGTTCACTCTGGCCTTGAAGATTTCCAGATTATATTGGTCCGAGTGGAGTTCCACTCCCTAGCCATTCGCATAATGAAAGCGGAAGTAAATCGCTTCGTGCGAATGAGAGGAACTTGGACAACATAAGGGTGAAAGCCCTCGCCGCGCCTGGTCGTTCGGTGGTGGAAAGGGGAAGGGGGAATCAAATAGTGTAGTACCTCCGCACACTCCCCGAAATGTAACCGATAAAACACCGAGAGGCAAGTTACACGTTTTCGGTGGTCAAGGCTCTGTAGATTAGCCTCAACGAGAGCGTCATTGCCTATGAGTCTCTTCGCACGGTGTTCCACCGAGTCCAGTGCATCCAGCTGATACCGAGCAGATCCATCCCAAAGGTGACAACAGTACTTAAAGAGCTGCTCAGATGGAAAATATCGCTTGATCTTTGAAAGTATTCCAAGTTTTTTGGCAGCGGTTTTAGCAATGGACTCGATGTAGCGACCGAAATTGAGGCTGAATGAGATGTCCAGACCTAAGAGCTCGAGATGGTCTGTAATCGGCACGGAGATATTTCGGAAAGTCGGAGTCAGATGGAATGGACTCCGTTTCGCCGAGAAGAGACAGGCCTTTGTTTAAGAGGGATTGAACCCAACCAAGTTGGCTTCAGCCTAGAGGGAAACAGCTTCCAGAGTTGCATTCACTCCCTCCACCATCGCCTCCCTTAAAGATTGGACGTCTGCATCAGACATCACATCAGGCAGGTATCTCTCCGAGACTGTGCTGTCGTCTGCATACCCAATGATACCGCGAGTAAGGAGAAGATCATTGATTTCCTTTCTCTAAATAGATTGGTTCGATATTCAATTGCCTTCGTTGCCTTATTTATTGCATTTAAGGCACTCGACAACGGTTTCTGTTCTACAAACATAAAAATAATAATACACTCTATTGTAGTTGGTAAATTTTGACAATGGTCTATTAAGCAAGATGTAAATTCATTAGCAGTTACATTACCGTCTGCTTCGTGCCAGCAGTAAATTGATACATTTTTAGATAAAACATCATAAACAGTGAAATTATGACATTGTAACTTCAATTTATAGTACAGGGCACTTGCCAATAGCTTTGGAGCAAGCAATACACTTTGAAGCAAGCAATGCACATCGACTGTTATAACCATAATTTAACCACAGAGCGAGAACCCGTCGAAGCTAACGTAATTTTTATATTACTACCCCCATCTAACACCTACAATCGGAAAATAATCACGCGATCTATGCATCCCTCTCATTCCAGTGCTTCTATTGGTTAGTTAGTTCGAAAATTTGACCAATAACAATTTTTACCTATCTAGCGCTTTTACACATAAGATATTTTAAATGCCAACTTTACTTGAGCAAGCACTTAGGATATATTGAATAAAGTAAATAAATATAAATTGAAAAGACTTATTCACACGAGAGTTCTTGCTTTCGATGTAGCGCCAAAATTTGAAATAAACCCGTATAAAAAAGGTATTTCGACAAAAATGACACATAGGAGGTCTTGAAGTCGCAACGACGATTTAATAGTTTTTTCTCAAACATGCTTGGAAAATTGAGCATTATTTTGACAACCTTCTTAGAAATAAATCAAAGTTGCTGCACTGGCCACATATGTACATGCGAGCAGCGGCCGGCAAAATTTATACCACTTCCGTCGCGTTTAGGGGCTAAATAAAATTAATAGTAAACTCATATCGGTCGTGTAATTTAAAGATGGAACGATCTTTTACTCCGAAATATGGCAACCAAGAAAGTAACTTATCAAATTTTTTATTTAAATTTCGAACTCAATCACAAATAAAAAACTGTTTATTGAAAAAAAAGCAAATGAGTGTGTGGTGTTGTTCGATGTTCAAAAGTAGGTACCTACAGTCGGGCCATTTTCATAGGTAAGGGTGCGGCCAGAGTGCACTCAGATTCAGATTCAGATTCAGATTTCGAAAACAAGCGCGAGAAATAAACAGTGTAGTCGAAGGGTACGGCCAGATTGCACTCCTGATTCAGATTCAGATTCAGACTCAGAAAACAAAGCGCGAGAAAAAGCAGGCAACCTGCTTAGACTACACTGTTTATTTCTCGCGCTTGTTTTCAGAATCTGAATCTGACTCTGAATCTGAGTGCACTCTGGCCGCACCCTAACATTTGACGTCTCTCAGTTTTATCTTCATAGTGAGGTGACCTGCTTAAAAACATCGATTAAAGTGAATGATCGATACGGACTTGAAACATATGTGAATTTTATAAATCATTAGGCAAATCCCTGTCCTATTGGGTATAATTTTTTGCTATCGTGAATTTAAGGAGCAAAATATGACAAGTACATAATTTGAGAAAAAAAATGCATTTATTCGGTTGATCTACCAGAATTATTATTAGTATTGTCATCTTCATCACTGCTGTCAGCACTCAGAGATATAATTAATTCATTTCCAATAATATTGTCTATTCTCACATCTCGTTCAAAATCTTGTAAAAATATTTTCTTTGTTTTCTCTACAACTTTTCTCCAGTCTTCGGACATTATCATTTTAGCAGTACTGAAGGGTGGTTCAGTATTGTTATGGCGTTATACTGGCAATAGTAGGGAGGCAATCGAATAACTTTGTGTCCATGCTCTAAGGCTAGTTCATCGATTACATAGCGGAGCTTGGATGGCTTAGTTGCTTTTACCAGATTTAACAACTCACCTTTTAATAAAGTTGAACTTGAACTTTTAAAAAAAAAAACTTGCATCCACACCATTTCTTACCAGCCACGAGACAATGTCTTGATTTTTATTTGCTTGAGTTGGTGGTTTATCAACTTGTAGAGAATGATACGGTCCATTGTCCATTATAATTTTTGATGGGTTTTCTAAGCTGACAAGCAGATTCTTAAACCACTCTTTAAAAACCTCAAAGTTCATTCCCTTATGGTAATCACTTGTAGTTTTAGAGGCGAATTCCAGGAAGCAGTCTGGAATAAAGCCTTGAAAAGCTGATCCCGCGTAACATATAATAAGTCGGGCTCCTTTTCTATGTCCGCAGAACCGTATGGTTTGCATTCAACTATATTTCGTCAATAAACACGACATTGTCCTAATCTGTAATTTTATTTACTTGACGTTAGAATGTTACTCTCTACAAAATAATATCATAGTGTCCTAGTAGGATTTTCCGCATGTAAGCTTTTTTAAATCTAAAGCCAATCGATTTCAAATCCTTTAAAGAGACGATTTACCGCCAAAATATAAGCCTGCGTCTTTTAACAAACTCAATAGCTCTTTCCGTGTAGGATATTCTTTTCTCGATTAATATATATATATATATAAATGTGATTTCGAATTGCAGCAGCATCAAAATTATCAACGCCAACAATTTTCTTTTCCCTCTTTCTTTTTTTCGGTGTATGTAAAATATTAAGTATCTTCTGAGCGTGATGGACCGTATTTCTCTTTCAGAATTTGAATTACTCTCCTCTTCTCTATTCCCAATGCTTCGGCAACTCATTCTCTCGGTTGTATCAATGGTAGAAGAGGCCCATAATTCAAAATTATTGTACAATTTCACCATTTCACAATTTTTGTACGTAAAATATTAAGTATCTTCTGAGCGTGATGGACCGTATTTCACTTTCAAAATTTGAGTTACTTTCCTCTTCTCTATTCCCAATGCTTCGGCAACTCGTTCTCTCGGTTGTATCAATGGTAAAAGAGGCCCATAACTTCACCACTAATTTCACCACTAGTTCGCGAGATTGACTGTTTAGCGTTTTCCCCAGTTTTGACATGGTAAGACTGTAATGTGGTTCTTGTTTACTAATCTTTAAGCAATCGGAGTCCCATTTGTAGCCAGGTAAACGTAGTCAGTAAAGTCAGTCCCATAAAAAAGACGGCTCAGAAGAAAATAACAGAGAGCACACCAAAAACGCACTGTCACTTCGCACAACGACAAAAGACTACGTCATATAATGGCGACATGACATGGCATCATCGACAGGCACTAGTGTTGCCAGCAACTTCCTACCATAATCCTACCTAGCATCAGAGATTTTTCTATTTAGTTATTATTTGTATTTTTATAGTTAGTTAAAATAATAAAAAATATAATTATGTTTTATTATAATCACAACGTGGTTATTAATTTATGGTGATATTTCTTCACAAGTAATCATTGCATTTGATTCAACTTATCAGCTTTCGATTTTTAGAGTAACATCCCTAGTGTTTAAGAAGAAAAAGAGTTAACTGACGTAACATTGTAACGACGTTCAATTCTTTAGATCAGAAATTGTTTATTATGTTTAGAATGGTTCATGAGTGAAAGCAAATCGTAAAATTACTCGTATCGGTCATTATAACAATAAATATGTAATCGTAAATGAATAAAGTTAAGCAATTGTGCAGTTCTTATTTTATGCCCGCCGCGCCGTTACAAGGTTGCGTTGTTGAATTTTGAGAATTTGTCAAATGTTACCTATTAAAATGGCCTGATTATAATTATGATATAAGATGAGTTCTGCCTAGGTAGGTGATGGTCTTACGTATGTGTGCCTCGGCCCACATTTACACGTTTGTCCATCAATGTCTCTTGCTGGCCACTGCAATAATGTACTATAAGGCAATCTGTTTTTAAAAGCAAGATTTCAACCAAATGCTTTAATAACATGAAATTTAAATTCATTGCATTGTTAATATCATCAATAATAAAATCTTCCGTTTAATACCCATATCACGGGAGTGCACGACGCACAACCAATAAGTAAATCGCCATCTTAGGCTGATCATCTTAATGAAATTAGAATGATATCGTATAGCTAGGTTTAGCTATCCACGAATTGATAACCAAACTGAACGTGTATGCCAATTCCACCTCAATCGGTTGAGGATAACTGTTTTAAAATAATATTTTCATGATTAAACCTGAATATATACGTACAAACGTTGCGAGTTCAATAAAGGGGTCAAGTCTTAAGGCTGGTTTACGTGTATTAAGTTGTTAAGTAGACAACTTCATTTTAAGTAGTATATTAGTAGCAGTAGCACAAGTACCCTGTGGTCCACATGGTGGCTCATGGCCCATTTTTCCTCTACCACCAAAAGTGAATCTTGTGCCCTAGAAGTAAGAGACTGATGATAATGATGATGAAATCTTACTTAGCTGCACATTTCGATCCAGTTTCCTCGCCACTACGGGCACGATGGTGTACATGCGGATGCTCTCCTTCAGCACCGCTTCCAAGTAGACCAGCTTACACAAGTCGTGCTTGTCTACGTCTCGATCCGATCCTTCGAATACTTCTTGAATCCTGAACATTGAAAAACCAATGTCTACTATTTGAAATTAATTTCAGGGGACTGGATTGTAAATTGGGGAATATGCAAGATTTTTTTTTGAAGTTATACTTCTTTAGGCGCGTTATGAAAAAAATATGAGAGAAAGAACCGCACATTAAGAAAATCTACCAACAAAATAGAAATAGAATCTCTATTTAGTGGGTGCTAACGACTGCATTGTGAAGGCCTATCAAAAGTATTTATTAATCTGGAACAACGGAACCAAAGCGCGATTCAGGAGACTATAGCGCCATCTCTTGACCATTGGTGTAGTTGAACCAAAAACCACATCTTTATTTTTTGTAATAAAGTAACAGTTATAGGTATTCATATTTATAATATTTATCCACATGTTTCTAGTTTGTATATTCGGAATACGTGTTTGAGTTTCATACAAGTGCAAATCACATATGTTCTAATAAATTATATTCAGTAGCGATTTTAATTGAATATTTTGATTATTTATTTATTTTTTCAAATTAAAACTGAACTTTATTGACTGTGTCCTTTTCCAGACTTTTTATTAATTTATTGTAATTAATTATTTGCATGCAATTAAAAACTAATTTTAAACGATGCCAAAGAAGGATAACTTCTCACGCGCCTACATAAGTACACGCACCCATTTTATTATTTTGTAGTTTACATGCCCTTAATATAGTATAAAACTATTCAACGTCGAAAAATAGTATAACTTATTGTTAAAAAAGAATTTTTAATTTAAAAATTCAAAAGTAATAGAGATTATATAAAAATAAATTGAGCTTTATTTGAATTACATGCTTATTCCTATTGTTGCTCAAATAGACGATCTACTGTGCGACTTTTAATCTGCTGGTAAGTTATTTTCCATCTATAGCCTAGCAGCACACGGTTTTTAGTTAATAATAACATAAAAAATATCGTTTGCCATTCAATTATAATAAATCAATCTTACTCTTGATATGCTTTCTCCTGCGCCTCTGGATGTGATCCCAGCAGTAGTAATGTAAACATAAGCACGCTCGCGGAAGTATCATGTCCGCCCACTATCATAGTATCTATATGCTCCCTGATCTCCCGGTCGTTGAAAACATTCTTTTCTATCGCCAACTCCAGTAGTAAATCCATGAAAGGTTTAAATTTCGTTCCTGAAAGAGTGAAAATCGCATTATCAGATACCTTTACAAGTTCATTATTTTTGAAACCTCCTAATCTAAAATAAATTTATTTTAAAATAAGAAAACTGTCCCAAAAGCACATTTGGATTTTTTAAGATATAATAATCGTGTAAGTAAACGCTGAATTAGGTTTATGTAATAGTAATTCTATTATTAATTTTCAGTCACACCTTTGTATCGATCGGTTTGTATTTTTGTTAAGTAGGTTCTGCAATTTTACTAAAATTATCTCTCAGAAATATTTCGAAAAAGATATCATGTATGTATAGAATTCAAGACAAGTGTTAATTAATGGCCTCTATTTAAGAATATAAACGTTTATCTAACTTAATTAAAGTTACCTGATGACATTCCGGTTTTTCTTTCAGAAAGTACGTTACCAGTCATATCAGACTTTCTTTTCTGGAGTACCTGTAATATATATAAAATATATTTAAAATAAAGACTTTCAGCAATAAAAAATAAGGGATATAAAGTAAAATATATACCGAATTAGACATATCGTGCAAAATCTTGAGACATCTATCCTGTGTCCTTTTTACCCCGCTCCATTTGAAGGTCATGGGACTGTGGAGCCAAAACTTCTGGAAACGATCCACCATAGTGTAGAATATCTCCTCTGCCGCTTGCACATACCGACTGTTCAGAATTGTGTGATCAGTAAAATCTACTCCCAATGCTGTTACTGTGAAAGGAAGTAAATATCTATAGGCAAATGTATTTTCAATCCCTACTTTATAATAAATCTCATCAATATTCGGATTCCACATAGGTAGTGTTTTACTTTAGACGAATTCTATTTCGGACGGGTCCCACATTCCCATTGTCGGACCAACCATTAATCCAAATCAACAGGCGAGCTTCTCAGCTCGCCTGGTGATTTGGAACATTAATAGTTATTGGCGATGATAGGCTTTTATCGATTACATTCACAACGGTATATTACACAATTCCTTAAATTGTAAAATTAAAAATTGTATAACAAAAATTACAAATGACTGGGTCACCCCATCTTCGAACGAACATTGGAAAAAGCGGTAGACCTTCGCAATGACCAACCAGATACTGCGCTATGCATGTCTTGAAATAATAATACTTTCAATCATCATCATCTATTAATATCGCCAATGCTTGGGCACATGCAGTTCTTTACATGGAATGAGCAGATCGGGCACTCACGGCATATAGTCTCCAGAGAATTATGTCTCGTATACGTCCAATGATCGAACATCCCTTTGCCCACTTCCTTTTTCAGATCCTTGACGAGTTTCCGCGATTGACTGTTGAATACCCCGATAAAACTATCCAAAACAGTTTGACTGAAAGCTGGGTTCAATAGCTTCCGATGGTTTTTCCATATTGACACTGCAACAACATTATATATTTTGAAAATATTTTTAAAGTGTCATCTATTTTCCATGGGGCTGAAGATGATATCAAAAACCTGCAATGTAATCGATACCAAACAAGCTGTAGATGGTGAAAGTTGGTTCGAAAACTATAGTTTAGGTAGCTACAATAGTAACAGCGCAAATTTGATTGTATTTTGTTGGGAAATATTATAGTTGATTGATTAGCATACTTTAAACAGATTGCTATGATTTGGGTATTTATATTCATTACTATTTTCAAGTACATAAATGAACTTATTGTTATTATCTTGTTGTTTCCAGATAATCAAATAACGTTTTGGATTGATAATAAAAAGTATTGTGAATTTTACTGTTCACTGTCTGGAATGCATTTTGTTTCTTGTGATCCCAGACCTAAACTTTACACATCTTCGTATTTTGTATATTCGAAATCTACCGTTTTAAGTATGATCAGTATTTCAACTGACATGGAAAACAAACCAGATTTAGCAATTACAAGATTCATAGAGCTGAATCATAGTTATACTATATTCGCAAACTTTGTATGTATTAAATATTTATGAGGGTCAAAGCCGATCTTCCGTTTTGACTGGATCTCAGTGTGGGTAGGTAAAAGTCACTGAAGTATATTATATTATTTCTGGTCATGGGAAGCAGCCTCTACCATTCAGAATAATGGAGTTAACTATCAGTATTAGGTACTAACAATAAAAGTAAAATCGATACGAGATGGAGGTTTGAGAGCAAACATAAATAAAAAGTTAAATTTACAATACTGAGTATAATACAATAATGGGCTTATAGCTAAACGCGATTTCTTCGGACCAGGTGATGTGTTGTTGGTGTTGTTCGGCTTAGGTGGAAATTTAAAAAAGAAGCTGTACTTAAGACACCTGTGTAAATAACTACAAAATACAATATGGGTATATTATTGGACGACTTTTTGTAGTTATTCCAATTCTAAATAAGATTAATGAGACGAAATCAATATTATGTGTTTTACCTGTGCCGGTTACAAGTCCCTCCCCCAACCATGGTTTAGCGAAGTCGTAAAAGTCATCTTTCTGGAGGCATGCATTCGCAACCGTGAAGAAGTCATCAGGGTCCGTTATCACTAAAAGCAATACAAAGAAAAAAAAATTAACTAGGTACCCATTTATCTACTCGTAGGTCTTCTAATTTGCTCTAAGGCATACGTTTACTTTAAGGAATATCACAAGAAGGGGGTATATATTTGAATATCACGTGTTTTTTAGTTTATCGCGCGATTTCTAAACCAAGCTGGTCTGTCTTTTGTCTCATCGGCACCGTTGATAGGCAAAGCTTTAAAGATAATATTTGAAAATTTTCAACAAACTAAAAATTACACGTAATTTTGGATATGGGGAGTGGGGGGAGTGGGTCTGAAAACTTCAATAGACACGAAAAAATACATGTGGTTTTGGGTATTGGGAGTATTTGGGTAGCCTAAACCTCACCACACATCATCAGGGGGGGGTTATCAACTTCCCCTAACCAACTCTGGTTAGGGAAACTTGCTAAAAACATCACGTGATTAATGGATGAACCCTTAGTAGTGTCTAGTAATTTTCGTAACTGAGAAGTTACTTCTCAAACTATCTTGTCAAATTGTTGGTTGTTGGCATTACAGCTGCTTCTGGTACTATGTATCTTAGTTAAACTGCTGACAGACGGAAGAACGGATATCGCAACACATTAAGTGTTCCTTGTTGACTTTGAAACCTTAAAAATAAATAATTAGAAATAGGTAATTTACCGTAAATCGTTCGCGGCCCTATAGCAGCCGCAACCACACCTCCAATGTCATAGCTTTTTTGGGCCAAGTCGTTGATGGCATTCCATAACTCTGTAACAATATGTTCTATCTCTGTAATATGTGATATCTAACTTCCGAATATTAAAAAATCTGAAGTTTGGTTGTTCGGTTGAACGCGCTAATCTCAGGAACAACTAGTCCGATTTGAAACAATCCTTTTGTGGTGGATAGTGTATTTAACGGGAAAGGCTATAAGATATATAACATAACGCTACGACTAGAAGAAGCGGAGCACCAATGAAAAAACGCAATTCCGCGGTGAAATCAGAGTCTGTTCAGAACATTAGTGTTCTATTGAAATACTACTAGGAACTAAAATGTTCAAAATTATCATTAATTACAAAGGATTGACTCATAACAATATTAAGTTTATTAACACTATTATCAAATTGTAGTACTACGTGTCGAGTCACACGCAGCGTTTCTTGCAGGAAGCATCTTGCTTTTCAGTATGTGTATCAGAAGTGGCATTCTGTAAGATTTGATCTAAACAACGCATTGATCTAAACAACGAGGAATATGTATCATATAAGATGCCTATATCCCAAGCTTTCTATAAAAAACAAACTTGGTCAGAAAATTCGACTTACTGCAGCTGTCCCCGATTAGTTGAAGGGAGTGCCCAACAAGGGGCAATGCACCAGGAAACATGGGCGGCTCATTGTCAGTATCAGGGTAACTCCGTCGCCACAGATAGTAAGCTGCCAGAAAACTCACAACTAATATCAACACCGGCACTAAAAACGCCATTATCACTTATTTCTTTATTCTTCGTAGTCGTTTTGCTCGTTTCTGGGTCTTGACTTACGATAAAATAAGTCTTCAAAGTCAAATATGAAGCTTGCGAAAGATAATATTTACATTTGCATGTTAAACACTAGACATAAAATAATTTGAATTAAAAAAAGTTAAGTAAATTTTAATTTACAACAAGTTCTAATCAACTAAAAGATGGTTACAAGAAGCAAAAGAAATTGAATTACATTCGATTATGATTATATTAATAATGGATAAAAGTACTAGAAACACTAAAACAGCTTCCTTGCGAGAAAATGTAAAAAAACTAAGTTGTTTTAACACGTCAGGTTCAAACAATCGGTAAAATATAGTAACTATTCATTACTAACTAGGTACTACGTGATAATGTCTGCTAAATTATGTTTCGTGTCTGATGAAAATTTATTCGCTGTAATAATTTGCACAGGAAAGAATTTATCGAAGGGCATTGGGAAAGCGTGTTTCATATTAACGCTATGTAGGTGATTGGTTACATATGTAGTCCAAGAGCTGTCATGTAAAGACAACGAACGCAATTAGATTATTTTTCTACCAATTTCACTACATGTTTTGAATTAATATCTGTCATATTACACATATTATTTTGCTATTAGACGTGTTTTCTATAAAGTATGAGTCAGATACAGCTCGCTGCTGATAAACAGACAGACGGATAGTTTTATAAAGTTCCGTCGGCACCCCTTGGCTACTGAACCCTAAAAATATCTATTATTTCGAAACAAGATTTAGACTATGTTAATATAAGTTCAAACTATAAAAATCCTCTAGTAAAAATTCCTTTCGATATATAAATCTAGCAGTTAAAGGATTTAAATAAAAACATCATAAACTTTGATAAAAATATTTAAATTAGTGATTGAAGAACTATTTTAACAGTTTAAATAAGTAAGATGTGTTATTACTATAGTTTTAGAGCATCGATAGTTTTCCCATAACATATACCAGCATGGAAGACATTTAACATTAAATCAAATACAATAATAGCTTTAATATTTTTTTTTTGGTTATTCTTCATGCAGCATAATTTTTCCCTTTAACACGAAAATAACAACCTGTTTTCAAAATTAACGACTCTCATCCAGTCTATATTGCAGAATTACGCCACGCACTTTACTCAATGAGCCTTCACCGTTTTTTTTTCAGCATCCGCTGGTAAATTACTCTTTAGTCACACTTCCTTTGGGCCTGTAATCATTCATGTGTGTTGACTTTTGCAGTACCTATACACTTATGATGAACATTCTAACATTATCCTTACTGGGGTATGAACGTGAATTAAGTAGTTAAAAACAGCTTATTAAGCTAAGAGAAACTAAAAATATATTTTAGTTAATAGTTGTGTTTTAAGCTTTAGCAGTCACATGTTATTTTATTTTATCTACGCTGATAAGCTTCAAAACTGTTTTTTGTCAAATCTGTTATATTGTATGAGTAATAGAAGGTACTATCGCGGAATTTGGCGCTCTGTCGCTTGACAAACAAAATACTTTCAACGGTATTTTACAGTATCTTTTAGTACGCCTTCGCTTCGGATGCGCCAATCACGGGCCGCTGCACAAAAGTAAGAGCGAGTGCATGTTATTCATTGAATTGTTTTTTTTTTCCGCATCTTCTTAACGCGAAATTAATTGATCGCGGCAGCAATATGCGAAAAGTAAAGAAAACAATAATTGCATGTGAATCGATGATTTTTTGCTACGCCGCTACCGCAAGCGATTATAGAATTATGGGTGTTAATTTAACTAAATGGATAATCCCGTTTTTACCATGTTTTTGCGTGTGTGTGTGTGTATTAAATGGGTTTGGTTTTTGTCATGTTCACAGAAAATATTCACTGAAATACTCCAAATTTTGTCTAATTGACTTTGTCCAAGCCTTCCCTTTGGATGGCCTGACATTAATAGGCTGATAAATGATTAACATATAAAATTTTGTAAGTACAAAATGTCTATTATCCTCATTGCTGTTGTTGTATAAGTATTGTACCGCAAGCACGAACTTTGACAGATTCGTATTCGTATCGCTATCGTCAAAGTTATATGGAACTATTTACTTGAGGCACGGATTTGTCAAAGTTCGTGCTTGGGGTGCCGTGTTCTTATCGCCGTCGTCAAAGTTTATATGGAAACTAAGCAGCGCCTCTACCGAACGTAAGAATAAACTAGCTCCTTTTATAGAAACTTTGCGATGGTGATACGAAACCTTTCTGGCTAGATTTTTGGTACTGATTAGCCATGCGGGACATTATGCACCGACACCGCCACCAATGCGGACAGATAAAGGCAAAGTTTAGTGTAAAAAGAAATATTCACAACCTGACACATATTTCATACTTTGTTGCCTGTACTCGCCCAGTTAACGGTACGGTGAGCGCATAAATTATCTTGTTATGAATGGCGATAATGTAATCTGCGCCAAACATCACGTTTTACACTATTCTCTTCGTTTCGGTCTACTTGCGAAGTGTGGGAATGTTCCACTCACGTGCATATCGACCTGGTATTTTTTTTCAAACTTCAAAATGTGCCCTCTGGCCCCTATCGATAGGGGCCTCCCTCAGAGCAAATACAAATAAATCACAAAACGGGGGTCATTATCCTAATATGCCCAGGGTCTCTAATAAGTCAAATACGGCACTGCTAATAATGTCGACAGTGTCCCCAGTACTCGTCACTTTTCAAATAATGATTAATTAAAAATCTTTGCTGATATTAAAGAAAAAACTTTTAGTGGCAACTCATTCATGGTTATATACTACGCCATTAAAATAGTAACACTTAATTACAAATTCCGGACTGCGAGATCCTAAGGGGACCTCAAGCCGAGAATTGGCGAGTGCCTCTAGAGGTATTCCATGCGGATGGCATCTCCCCACGGGGAAAGTCTCCTCCTAGGGAGGGGAGGGCAACCCGTGGCACCACGCGGTACTCAAAAACCGCCCCTTAACTTAATTGTCGTCAAAAATACCATTATTTAACGGGCTTAAATCCGGTACCAATTAATGTCATACGTCAATTCAAGTCGTTCAAGTCGTTATAATACAAATATACGTTATTGCATATAAAATAGAGCACAAAATATTATCAAAGCCATGATCATCAGTTGTTTTCTTGGTTGGTGGTTGGAGACAGATATATTGAATAATGGTGTCGATTCTGGCATCATTCTCTAAACCTAAACTTAAATTTGACAACAGTGTATCCCTGTCATTCTCTATACAAAATGAATAGGAGAGACTGATGTTAAATTACTTTTAAGTTTAGAGAACCCTGCCAGGATCGACACAAATATCAGCATTAGGCTTGAAATCTCTCGATAGATAGGATCTGCGTTTCGTCTACTGCACTGCAAAACCCCAAAAAGCTTTCAACTGAAATATAAAAACTGTTTCGAAGTCCTTAAAGATTGATCACATGTGCATGTATTTTAAAACTATATAATATAAATAAACTCTCCCACAAGGCACCCCAACTTATGGAGCAGAAAAGCAAAATAAGGCTACAGAACTCAGAAGACGAAAGTCAGTACCGGTGATTACATAAAATAATATAATTCTTGGTCTGTTAAGATTCCTCTTCTTAGCAACTTTTATGCTTTGATAGCGATTATATCAATTCGGGTAAACGACTAAGGCCCGTATTATAGAAAGATTTTCAGTGATTGATCTAGTCTTGAGCATAGTTAGAAAGGGATGTCGCTATATATAGCACGTAGCGACATCCCTTTCTAACTGTACTCAAGTAAAGATCAACACTTACTTGTCATTCTGTAATACGGGCCTAAGTGTAAATGAACGGAGTCAAGTACGCCCGTATTCCGGTAGATTTCGTTTTATTACCTGACACTGTCTTCCACCCCTATTACCACAGCAATAATTACACATTATTGCTTCGGGTGCCCGAATTCGAGTAATGTCTTTTGTGCACCCGAATATGGACTAACGACCAAATATAAATGAGCCATTAACCGGCCCAAGGCACTTGCCCTACCATTGTATAGGTACTTAGGTATCTTTCGTCATTATCACACTTACAAGTAATTTTCATTGTAAAATTATAAAAGTACTAGAGCGTGACAATTAGAGAGCTGCTTATTTTACAAATAAACGAGCAATTGAAATATTACTTAATGTACCTACCACAATACATACAAGAGCTGTAGCGTAACTCAGCCGTTCTTTTGAAATAGATACCTACGACTGAGCGCAGCGCTAGGGTTGGTACCTACAAAAGTAAAACATATTTGTGTAGATTTTTATTGTATGTGTATAGTTACTATTGCCACGTTACGAAATCGAAACGGACGCAGACGGCGCGGGTGGCGCGGCGCAGCTAACTTAACTCGGCCAACGACCAGTCTATGTGGCGCGCGACGTGGCACTGCGTAGATTTGTCTTGTCAAGATTGGTTAGCGGCCGTGTAAATGACGTTTGTCTGTGTGCGTGCGTCGATTCGGGTGGTAGTATAAAGTCGGAGTACTGCTCCTGTATGTATTGTGTACCTACCTAGAATGACTTATCAAGAACTCCTTAGAAAATTCATTATTGAAGTACGATATACTTTAATCAATTCCAATGTAAACAGAGGAATATTGAAACGTTCATTTTTGTTTTAGAAGCTTTTTTTTCTTTATAGATAGCTTCGACAAATGACTCCACCCCACCTGATGTTAAGTGACGTTGAAGTCCAGACGTGAAGATAGCTGAAGATCTTCGGGCTTTTTTTTATTTATAGATAGGTCCGACAAATGACTCCACCCCACCTGATGTTAAGTGACGGTGAAGTCCAGACGTGAATATAGCTGAAGATCTTCGGGCATTTTTTTCTTTATAGATAGGTCCGACAAATGACTCCACCCCACCTGATGTTAAGTGACGGTGAAGTCCAGACGTGAATATAGCTGAAGATGTTCGGGCATTTTTTTCTTTATAGATAGGTCCGACAAATGACTCCACCCCACCTGATGTTAATAGTGAAAGTGTGTCTACTTTCGCATTTACAATTTTAGTATGGATAATCTGGCGCACAGCAATGATCCTACTATGTACGAGTATATAATAATGTTAATGTCAAAGATTGTTACTCAATCACGGAAAGACTACAGCGGGGCTATTCTGTAAAATTTTCACGCGCTTCCCATATGGATTCTCTCGGATCCGATGCGGATCCGTGCGCGAAAATTTTACGAAATAGCCCCGCAGAACTGATTTGAATGAAGCGGATAATGGATGAAACCTGGATTGATACATAGGATACTTTCGTTTAGTTCCTATGGGGTTCTCAAAAGACTTAAGTTAACGCGAACGGAGTCGCGGGCTGCCGCTAGTTTAAAATAAAAGAACAAAACATACTCCGTCTTTGTGACTACGGAACCTATAATAAAGGATTCCCATACGTCAGGAATAATTAAAAGAGTATATAATAAATCGCACTCCGTTGAAACAGACAAAAAATAAAACATTTCAGTTGGAAAACTATTGATATAATATTACATGTATAACAATACAAAGAGAATTTAAAATAAAAATGTAGGTAGGTAAGCTTAACATATAAATTTTATACACAAAAATACACTCAAATTTTACAAAGCAACTCCTATATTTTTTCCACGTGGGCAATCGCCAAAACATTATGTACTGCTTTCACAAACCTGAAAAGAAAATCGAAAAATTAAAATGACGAAATAATTTAATAATTTTAGAACGAGTTGAGCATTTGTTCACTCATATCAATCAACATCATCATGTTAGCTGCTAATAATTAGGGAATATGCATATAATTGAAATAAACATTTATATATGTATATATATATTACAGTGTTTTTTAGCGTGTCTAGCTGATAGCAGAGTACCATACCTATCAATTTAACCCCCCTTGTATGTCCTACGATTTTTCGTAGTTTGCGCATTTGACTTTTTTTTGACATTTTTTACGGTTAAACGATGAGACAACTTGGAAACAGTATAACTTTTTTTTGGGTGAACTTTTCTTCTTTATTTCATTTAACCGAATGCCTATTGTTTGTAGTTTTATAAGTAAAATAATCTCCTTCCTTGCTTTAACCTAAGATATAAAAAATTTGATCGATACTAAATAAAAATGGATTAAGTAAAACAGAATGGATTTTCAATTAAAATAAAAAAAGATGTTCCATAACTTCTGACTTATTTTAAAAACTGCCCGACTTTATAAGCTTTCATAAAAATACAAAAAAGATTAGCATTATTTGCTGAAATCTGTCGTTGAAGGTGTTGAATCGGAAATCGTGTAATTTTAATATTTAATAATTTCGTAGTATCTTTGCATATGTTGTCAATGTTAAGTTTTATTATTCTTTTTAGTTTAAGTGGAGCTCATTAACAAACTAAAAATAATCATTTTATGACAACTAATCACTCAAAACTCCTGTTATCCTTCTCCTCAGGTATTTTCATTCTACGCTTAAATAAGGTAGTGAATACTCGTATACTATTTCATATTGCTGAAGTTATTAAGCGCATATTGGTGAAGTTAGTAAGCGTATCCACTACTCTTTTCACTCTCTCAAGTGATTGCAATATTTCTTACCGTTTAAAACAAAAATTATGTTAGCGGGATCACTCCTTCTTCCAATTCTCGACTACGGCGATGTCTGTTATCTTGATGCAAATGAAGAGCTACTCGATAAATTGGAACGACTTCAAAATTTAGCCATACGATTTATATTTGGTCTGCGGAAGTTTGACCATGTGTCTGCTTATCGCTCTCTACTTCAATGGCTCCCTATTCGCCTTCACCGGGATTTGCATATGCTTGTCTTCCTATTCAAGATTCTCAAAGATCCTAACTCCCCCGTATACCTGCGTTCCCGTTTTAAGATTCTTCCCCCTCCTTCGCTCTCTAGGCGACCTTGCGTTACTAAGATGCTTGAACTTCCTAAAAGTAATACCATCTCCTATTTGAATTCCTTTTCTTTTAGGGATGCACAGCTGGAATAAGCTTCCATCCAATATTCAGGAATGTCCGACCATCTCCTCGTTTAAGTCTAAAGTTAAAGGTCATTTTCTCAAACAGAATTCTCAAATTTAATGAATCTTCCTCACGAAGCATCTTGTTTCGTATATTAGTATTTATTTATCCCGCTTATATGTATGTATATTTGGATAGGTGTTTTATTTATCTATGTATATTTATGCAAGTTTATCGATGTAGGTATATGTATTATGTAATATATATACATATATATAAGTATAGTAGTAATAAATTATTTTTAGTTTTATTTTTATTGCACTTCTGTTTCCCGCTAAGTTTGGAATCTCCGACACCACCTAGGTTGGCTGGAAGAGATCTCTATAAGAGATAAGCCCACCTTTGCTGACTATTTATTTGACTTTGTTTTGAACCATATGATGCAGTAAAGAGTATAATAATATGTCGAGGACTCTCGATTGAGCTTCATATTAAAGTTGTTTATGAATGTTATCATGCCTCGAGATTACGAATTTTCATCGCAAGATTATGCGCAAATGCACATTATTTCTACGGGTACACGCGTGAAAAAGCTTCACTTGCCGCAAGGATGTTTCGCGAATATTTACAACGCAGAGAAGACGACAGCCCGAAATTTATCCAGATCATCGAGCAATGCGAGTACATCGAGCGTACGAGGAAGGCCGTAACCCGGAGAATACAAACAGATCAAGAATGTTAAAAGCGCACGGTGCATTAGACACACAACCGCGCAGTAGACACTGACAAAATGCACGCTGCAATAGGGTATTTGACAGTATTAAAAATAAAGTGCCAATTGTTAGCATCTGTGTTTAGAATGAATATTGGCAGGGGATTTTACTATTTTTAGAAAAAAAAATCATTATTTTACTAAAAACCCACGAAAAAGATAATAGTTTTCTTATGTATTCTCACGTGACTCAAAACGCTTGGGATTGGCGAAGCCTAAAATGACGTCACACGCAAGTAAACTTCCGGTTAAAGTGACATTACATTGTATCGTTTGACGTTTTAATAACAGTCGTGTGAGGTCACACACTAGTAAGACGCCATATTGTCCAAAGAAACGTTTTCGCGGCAATTTGAAAATGGAGTATTTGATTTAGTTATTTTTACTGAAATACACAACAGAATGATGAATATCTACTTTTTACAGACGCCAAACAACCGCGCGCGACGATGGCGGACGAAAATTACCGAATCTAGCCGAGCGTTCGAACTCTCGACTGTATTCGGTAGCCTCCAGTAGGGAGCTCTGCGAGCTGAGGTTGCGAGCAACTTTTATTGTATTTGACATGTTACGAGTCATAGTTTGGCACTATGAAAGTCAGGTAATTGCCCGACTTGCATTTGGTCGGGTACGCTCTCGCACCGCGGCTACACTTCGCTACAACGTGTAAATATTTTATGTTTTTCTAGACAAAAAGTCCTTTAAGTGTTTATTGAAATTATACAAATTACACAGGAACTATTAGAGACAAGAAAAACGTAGCTATCATTTTATTCGTAAGTACAGTTTTTAAGAAATTAATGTAAAAATATTTACTCATTACTTATTTTGACAGTCGCTGACAGTTGACACGTGACACATCTCTTAACAACTACTTTAGTGATAAGGAGCTTGGACTACTTGTGCCATTTTGAAATACAATAATGTTGACGTATAACATGTCTGTATATTGTCATTGTTTTAAAGGAGCTAACTGAAATGTAGGTGATTAAAATATATTCATTCGGTGTCTATATCAAAGTATAGAAATCTATCTGATTGATATTGTGTTGTGATTAGGGTTACCATTTAGGAATTTCAAAGGTCCTGACAAAAATCCTGACATTTAGAAAAAAGTACGGACTTTTAGTCACAAAATGGTACCATTACTCACTTAGTTACAATGGTATGGTGTTTTAGTCAATATGTACTTTTGTTATTCATATTCAAAGAATTCAAATAATCCGGAAAATTTAAAGATCCGGACAAAGTCCGGTCTTTAGACTAAAAGGCGGACATTTCCGGACTAATCCGGACGGATGGTAACCCTACTTGTGATTGTGACACGCATATACCTAACTAGCGGCCCGCCCTCGCTTCCTTTCGGTGTAGAGCTGAAGTGTAAACTAGTTTTTGTTGTCAGGCTTGTATTATTCACAATGACATTCATCTATGATTCTTCTTATACCTGCATGCAAAGTCTCAGCCCGATCGGTTTAAAAGTGACAAAGTTTCATACAAACTTTCATTCCCTATTTTATCCCCTTGGGGGTAGAATTGATCAAAATCCTTTCTTAGCGGATGTCTACGTCATAACACCTATCTGCATGCCAAATTTCAGCCCGATCCGTCCAGTGGTTTGGGCTGTGCGTTGATAGATCACTATGTCAGTCAGTCACCTTTGAGTTTTATATATATACTAGCTGACCCAGCGAACTTCGTACCGCCCTAAAAAAATAGGGGTTGTCCAGCGGACAAAATTGTGAATCTAAACCATTCTCAGATCCCCTTGAACACACACAAAAAATTTCATCAAAATCGGTCCAGTCGTTTAAGAGAAGTTCAGTGACTTACACACTCACAGAAGAATTATATATATAAAGATATATATATATAGATGTTTCAAGATATGTGTTAGTGTGGTGTGTATAACAAAACAGCCGCGGACGATCCGCGACCTGTTTGACAATAAAATATATGAAACAATAGATAGGAATACGGCTCTAATTAAAAATAAATCCAAAAAATATTCGTATAGTCATAAATTAAAGATTACGACACATTTGCGTTACTTCACACTCGATGTAAATCTCTTAACTAAAGTTATAAAATTTTCATATCCACGGTGGAGGATTCACTTGGTGACAGCGCGAAACTGTATTGGCGATATATCAAGGGAAGAAAAGGCAGAGACGATACCTGCGACTACAACTTTTAATAGTAAAGTTTCCTCAGAAGGTCAGAGAATCTGTGAGCCCTTTTCGGAATATATTATGGCTCGGTGCTTGTTCATAACCCACACACTTGATCATGGCGTCTTTTCACACAAGGCGCTGCAAATTACTCTTGACAGAAAAGAGGATAAAAAACGAAGTTACTTGTACACCGTCTTGTACCCGCACCGCCGCCTGCCTGTTCTCTGCATATTACACCACCACCACCTTATATCACAACAGCGAACACTTTTAATGGACTTTTTTTTTAGACAAGGCGCTGCAAATTACTCGTCCATCACCTTTTGACTATGCAGATAAGGGGATCTTAAACAAACTTACACGCGTAATGACACCGCCTCGGCCGCCTGCCTGATCTAGAGGAGCGCGCGTGCGCAGCTTTGTGCCTGGCAGTTGCTGCGGCGACGGAAGCACCAGACAGCGAGGCAAAGTAGCGAATCGTGCCGCGCGCCGCTTTGTTACCCCTATCCATGTAATACCTATGTAGTTACACTTCATATGTATTGCAAGCCCAAGGCAGCCGCGTGCGCCAGCACCGCCTCGGCCGCCTGCCTGATCTCAAGGTGCGCGCGCGCAGCTTCGTGCCAGGAGGTCGCCGCAGCGCCAGAAGCGCCAGACAGCGAGGCGACGTAGCGAACCGCCGCCGCTATGTTGCCCCTATCCATGTAATACCTATAAGGAGAAGAAGGAGCAATGAAAAATAAGGTAACTATTGCAACAATCGTTTAAGTAAACTTGACTTCTAAGAGCAAGTGCACATTGAGCCACTAGTGACGGCCTTTGTGGACACGAGCTGCAGACGAGTTTTTTCATACAATTTGTATAGTATCAGCGGAAAGTAAACGTTCGAGTGGCCGCCACTAAGTGTCTATCGGTGGCGATCAGTGTCTTGACTGAGCCACTAATGGCCGCGTTTAGTGGCCGCCACTAGTGCGGCCACTAAACGCGGCCATAGTAGGCCTAGTAGCGCTTGTTCTAAGGGAACAAAAAACCGTTATTTTTAGTTCAGGAGCTAAACTATTCTTAGCTTATTAAAAGTCCCCTGTCTGCAAGGAATTTGAATAACTACCTTTTTTTTTAATTTAAGTTCGATTCTTTGGAAAGGCGGGCAATCGTTCCTATTTATTTTCAAAGCGTGCATTTATCTTACAGGTATTCCAATCTCAATATCACAGCGTATATCCTACGTATCTATCTAGTAAAGGCGGACCATGAATCGAATTTAATTAAAAAAAATAAGTCCCACCCTCCTGGTGATAAGTGATGAGCTTGTAGACTACCCTCCTGCTGTTTTATGTAATGTTACTGAAGCGCACGCACGAATTTTTGGCAACTCCGTAATAGATCCTATCATTATCGTCAAATTTTGTATCGAAGGAGGTTTGTTTTTACGTCCGGCACTGCTTAATTTTCATAGAAACTTTGATCATATCACATATGATTACGGAGCTGTCAAAATTCGTGGTTGGGCTTCTGGTTTATAAAGTCCGATCCAAACTTTATGGAGGTTAGTGAAGTTAGCAGCGAGCGTAACTATGCGCAGGATTCAGTGCACACTGCGCATGCCTACATCACGTTATATTTCGTTTACGGCGCCACGACTTGCACAAACTTCACTCACCGCCGCCATTAAGTTTGAATAGCCCTCCACATACCTAGCCCGTTGCAGCAAGTCAAAAGTGTCCAAGTCTTTAAACGGCTCCTGTAGAGGTTTATCTATCTCTTTTTGAGGAATGCACGATAGCTGCAAAAAATGTAGAGTATTTATAATATAATTTTTATAAGCATTGAGTTGCTTGACTTTTTGAGTTGATAACGTCTTATCAATAGATGCACACCGACTGCACGCACGAAAAAGTGTGACGTCAGTCACGTCAGGTCACGAGGAGAAGATGGAATACCGATAGGATTTCGTAATACCTATATTTTGTTGCTATTGTAATTTTTATATCGGAAATTTATTTATTATGTATTTCGATATTTTTTCGGTATTCGAAGAAAAAAAAATATACATAGATCTAAATGTATACCGCAAGTGTATGTTATTCGCATGCCAAAAAATGTCAAAAGGGTGACAAAGGGACCGTCCTCGCCATTTTCGGCATTGGGCGCCAATAGTAAAAGTCTTATTTGTTAAAACTATAGAATTGGTGGCCGGGGTCCATGCTTATCCGCCACGGTTCGCTCGGTTTTCATACAAGACGTCATCATTTTATCTTAATAAATCAGCTAAGGCAGCTTTTTCAGCCGAAGAATATTACCTGCTACTATGGTTAACTTTTTTAAACAATGGAAAATCATCTGATTCGGTGGAAACTTGGGCAGTATTTGCTTAACAGATACGGCGTATATGCTTCCGCTACATTCAAGTACTGATTTTTATCACAAACCTTCGATTTACCGATGATATAGTCATTATGGCAAAAACTTTCTTTTGGCAGAACCTCAACACAATGGTCAGCCACCTCAACGCAGGTTCTCCACAACTGGGCCTTTGAAAATATGAAGTGAAAGACGAACCTTGACATCTAAAAGATCATGTTCCGACTGCACAGTAAATTAAAGATTGTACAGAGTAATCGTTGAGAATTCCGCACGACAAATAAATAAACCTTGGCGAAATAGTGGGTAAGTCCAGTTTCGAGGACAAGGGAAACCGCCGAATTCAGCATCAGGGATTGCAACCAGGACAGGAAGTATATCGGCAGTAGACCTACGTCCGCCTCCACTATGGCAACAGCGAGCGCAGCCTTCTCCATCTGTTACCACGTACAACTTATTGGTACCTTCATAAACAGCATCAGGGATTGCAGTCAGGACAGGAAGTATATCGGCAGCGCGGCCTTCTCCATCTGTCACCACATACAACTTATTGGTACCTTTACAAACAGCATCATGGATTGCAGCCAGGACAGGAAGTATATCGGCAGCGGCGCTCCGTCCGCTTCTACCATTGCAACAGCGAGTGCGGCCTTCTCCATCTGTCACCACGTAAAACTTCAATGCTATCATTAGAGTAATCAGTGGCGGCTTTTTTATTTCTTTTTAGCTCGGGATATTCATATTTTGGTTGTTCAATTTCACGATATCAAGCGATAAAGTAAGGATGCAATGTTGTTTTTTTGTATTCTTTTTTAGTGACTTGAATGTCTCAAAATATCCTGATTCTGAAAACTTAGATTGAACATTGAATAGATTTGTACGTGTGAAATCATCAATGTAATATGGTATCCAATAAATTAAATTAATTAAAATAGTCTGTGGTTTATGAACAAAAACCTTATTATGCTGCGTTTTGACAGTTATGGAGTAAAAATGTAAATTTTAATTCAATCAAAACTTTTTCCTGTGTTACCTATCAAATGCCCGGTCATAATGATTTTGACACATTTGTTTGCTAAAACAAAGACAGCATAAGTTCAATTAAGTCTAACTTTAGTCCTTGTTTTGGGAATAAAAATTTACTACTAACTCTATGATATCTCTCTCTGAGCACACTCTCCGGGACAACTCCTTCGGTGCGGACAGATTCCGGTATAGCTTTGAGGACTGTCTCCACCAACTTATCTCCGTCACCTGAGGAATCACCAATAACTCTTCATACAACTATATCTTTATTACCTATTCGTTATTAATTAGTGAGTACTAACCTCCGCCAGCGAATCCATCTAAATTTTAATAAGTTTTTTGATTTGAGAATGCCAATATAATCATTTTTTGGGGCACCCAGGTCTTTATATTCGCGGGTGATAAAAGGACACTCAAGAGTTGCCTATGATGATCACTCAGGTGATCATAGTGGAATAGACCCCCGTGACACGTAGTAACGTAGTGGTAACTACTTTAACTCCGCTAGCAGGTGGAGTGCCAACGTTTTTACCTAATGCACTAACACACGGCACACCTATATATTGTGATAGCGATTTTTGCCTTTAAAGTAGAAGTAATTTGCATTTGATGTAAGTTGATTTAAACGTGGTGAAAGTAACAATTTGATTGTTGCTCCCACATCCCGCTATGAATGTTTATATTATGCTTAGAATTGAATTGGAATTGTATGTTTGTTACCTACTAAATCACACAAAAACGGATGAACTGGTTTGGAGAATTCCTATGGAATTTTCAAAATCTTATTAAAATTTGGATGGACGATTGGGTATCGCCGAGAAGATAGTGGCATCGGAAGGCTGCTGTTTTTTGTTCGTGTCATCCAAACCTTCCCCCCCTAACGCACCCCTCCCAGGACATAGACAGCCACAGTCAGCGCCGGCCAAGTCAGGCCAGGCCTCCCGGAGGAGACCAGGTTACTCGAGGACCGAAGCTGGATGAATGATATGTGAGTTTGCATTATTTTAATTTAGTTTTCAATTTTAGACTTATTGTATTTTTATTATATTTAACGCTGTGTACCACAGTATTATGTATGGAATCTACTCTGCGCTCATACATATATAGTGACTCATTTATTTATTTTTTGAGTTGCGTTAATGATATATAATTTAAGATGATTTGAGGATATCAATTTTTTTTTGAGAACACTCCAGCGATTATATTTGCGGGTAATCAAAGGACAATAAACAGTAACCTATGATGACAAAGGTGATCATAGTGGAATTGACCGTCACGTGATGACCTTTTTGATATTATTGACATAACAATAAAAAATCAAAGAACTACAGAGGTGCCTACCGACCCAGTTGTGAAACTAAACAATCGGGACACCCACACGAATTTTCTGAGAAATTTTCATCAAATGTTTCCAGCTATTAAGGAGGAGTTCAATTAAGAAGCACGGACAGAAGAAATATTTACTCGTGTATTCAAAGATGAAGTATATTTAATCGTTTGTTTCTTTCAGTATTACTTACCCGAAGCTTTCTGAATAGCCTTCAGTTCCTTGTCCACCTTGACCAATGGGTCTCCTTTCTTGGTAGCAGCTAGCAGAGACTCTCCCGCTGCCCAGAGCTCTTGGGAACGACGCGTCTCACGTTCTGCTTTCAAACGGGCTAACAAGACACGTATTGAGCTTTAAAGTTAGTAGTACATACCTTATATTAAATGCCGCTCTCATAGATGTCAATTAATGAACAAAATGGAAAACTGAATCTACTCAACATTTACTGGAAAATTTTCATTGCAAAAAAACTTACTCGATCCCTAAACACTTTTAAAGAATCATATGTTTATTTGAACATACCGTTGAGTTTGTCTTCAACAGCCTTCACCTTGGCAGCCATTTCTGCTAGTAGATCGGCGAAAGCCTTCTTTTCTGCCGCGACTTTTTCTATCACCATTTTGTTTAGCTTCACTTCCGTCTGTTCAGTAAAAAAATTAACCATAAAATTATTATGCGTAGCTCCACTTATTAGTAGAAATTAACAACGCGAATTTATTTCACTGTTTTGAATATGAAACTATTTCCAGAGGAGCTCGATGGCGCAGATGGTTAGCGCGTTCGGCTGCGATCGTTGAAGTTAAGCAACTTTCGCAGTGGTCGGTCGGATGGGTGACCAAAAATCTTCTATCTCGAATTCCTCCGTGCTTCGGAAGGCACGTTAAGCCATTGGTCCCGGCTGCATCTGCAGTTGTTAGCACCCGGGTCATGGCCTAATCTAGGGAGATTGGGCCATGAGCACCACGCGGGCCCAGGCCTTAACTATGGATGTAATAGGGTATTCCATCCATAGGGAAGGCCTGTGCCCCAGCAGTGGGGACATTCAATAGGCTGATGATGAAATATGAAACAGTGAAATAAATTCGTGTTGTTAAGTTCTACTATGGGTAATATTTGAACATAATAGTAAACCTACATCAAACATAAATTCCTTACATCAAAGCCAATCGTAAATCTAAACGTAAACGTCAATACATATTAAATGCACAGCAACCGAGTCCTATCTGCTGCTGCTGGTCCGCGTAGAATTTGTTCTGGTATTTTTTTTTAGATTTAAACATCGAGCAGTTACATGCTTAAAAATAAAAATTATAACTGTAATTGCTATTTCTTCTTTCAACTTTTTAATACTTGTAAAGGTATTAATTTGACATTGTGGGTTACCTTCAATGCGAAGATATGGCGCTACCTCACAGCTTAATAAAGACTATAAAGAATTCGTCACGGCTATTAGGGTGGAATTTTTTCTGGTAATATTTTCTTTAGAAAATTTTAATTTAAAAAAAATTATAACTACATTAATTGTCCATGCAAACCAGGCAGCAGACGGGACTCGAACCCGCATTCTTCGCTATCCGGGCGAATGCTTTTTTGCTTTTTTTCGAGAGAATATTTTCTTTAGATTTAATCATTGAGCACACACGCGGGTGGAGGTTACAGCTTACAAAAATAAAAATTATAACTGCATTGATTGTGTCAATTTAACTTAATAAAACTTAGAGATGTCCTGCTAAAAATCATTTTCTTCCATTCCTCGTATAATCTCTATCACAAAAATGTCTTCTCCATTTAAGTTTATGCATAAGCCCAGGACAGTACTCAAGCACAATACTAATTGTAGCTACAATACAAAACCTATGAATGAATTCTCTAATAAAAACTAACTTCTTTTTCCTTTTGCTCTAATTTTTGCTCCAGAATCTCCTCGTGCCTCTGTTGTTGCTTCTTCAGTGCTTCTTTCAACGTCTTTTCATTATTTGCTTTTTGGTCTTCAAACTGTAATAAATTTTTGTTTGCGTTTGATCTAGGATTACTACGGTTAAGCTACTGACGTCAAAAACCCTCATTGACTTATATTATCTCGTCATTCGATTTAATTGCACTCTAGGACCCAAGTCCATAAATTATTGACATCTCTCTTAGTAACTACTACAAAAATAATGACATTTTGCTGAACATTTTGCGAGTGCAAGATGCAAGATTCGTGTGTTTTCTTTTGCGTGTCACGCCACGCACACAAGAACATAAAACCTGGTCTGTTTTTATCGCAGTGTTTACTTGGTGACGCTCTATCCAGAGAAAAAATTCAAAGCGTGAAAACCTTGCATTACAACAAAATCTAAAAAAAAACTATTTAAAAACCACAATAAAACATCAGTTCCATAACCCTACCGCGAGTACCAACGACAACGGCTTCTGAGTCGCGAGAACGTTATGATTTTATAAAAATTATATAAGCACTTGAGAAGATCGGCAGTTATAGAATATAGAATGATCGCTTCAGATGAAGCTTGTAAGGGACCGTTCATAAAATACGTTCGCATACAGGGGGGGGGGGGGGGGGTCTTGCTAAGTGTGACAAGATGTGACAAGGGGGGACGGGGGGTCTACGGCAACGTGACGTTCGTCGTTCATTAAAAATTTTTAAATTAGTATTTCTTTCCACTATTTTTCTTCGTATTTATTTCGTATTTAGTAAACATATAGACATTCAAACGTATATAGTTTTATTATACATTGTGTACTATCAATTGAAATTAATCATACTTGGGGGGGGGGGTCTCCGTTTTGTTGCCGGAATATTTCAAGAGGGGTCACAGAAAGTGTGACACAGCGTGACAATAGGGGGGAGGGGGTCGGAAAAAGCTGATTTTAGCGTGACGTATTTTATGAACGGCCCTTAATGCCCTTCTGGTCATGAGCATTAACTACGGGTGTGTTTTATTCAGTTAAGGTCTGACATAACCTTGAAACCTTGAACCCTATACTGCGCGTGGCACGACACGCACTAGGCCGGTATTTTTTTTCATGTTAAAAGGGTATGCATACAAGCGTAAGGCCCGCCTGATGGTAAGCGGACACCATAGCCTTATAGACGCTTGCGGTACCAAAGATATGGCTGGCAACGTTGCCTACCATGACCCAATGCCCTGCCCCGCGGAGCCCTGGAATCTTACTATCTTACAACACACCAAAAAATATGTGTTATTTGAAGGTGATGTTCGCATTATAAGGTGGAGGTTACTTCCCCAGACTGGCGCTCTAATTCGTGCGGAAAGCCCGCTATGCCCCACCTCTCTTAGAAATGAATAGTGTTACCCTTTTCTTGTATTCTTTGTCAAGTTCCAATCGTCGTTGCTTGATTTCTGTTCCTAGCAGCAATTTTCTCTCTTTAAGCTCTTTTTCAGATTGAGGCAATGCTGTGAAGTAAACAGTATTATAAATAGTAGAAGATCCAAACCTACATCGACCTTCACCGAGCTGATAATACAATGAAACATATTTTATTATAAATTTATAGTTAGCCACTCTTAGCAAGACAGTATTGCAAGTTAGCTACTGTTTACTGCAGGTTTTTGAATGCTGAATGGCTGAACACGACTAGCTTTATGGCCTTAATGTTATTATCAGTGGAAGAGAGGTATTTATTTCAAAATAAAGTGCATTTAGCTGTCATTCTTTCAGTATTTTTTTCAGTCTCAGTCAGTTTTGTGATCCTATTGATTAATCAGACTTGATAGTCTGAATCATCAGGGTCACAAAACCAACTTCAATTAATGATCCTTTTTTACCATTCCAGCAGACTGATATAGTCTAAGATCCGAACCTACATCGACCATCACCGAGCTGATAATACAATGAAACATATTTTGTTATAAATTCAGTATATTAGAAATATATGAAATGTGAGTTTTCTAAAAAAACCTAGACTGACAAAATTCATTATTTAAAAAACATCAATGTTCCAACATCAAGATAATAAGAAAATGTCCTGACTTACAGTATAAAATGTGCAGCTGTTGGGTAACGTAACTGGCATCGACATACCTGTTTATACCTGGCAACCCAGTAGTTCGCCCAGGTAAATAATAGTCAACACAACGGCTGCACATTTTGTACGTTTTACACTGTAAGCCAGGACAAAATTTTCTTATTATCTTGATGTAGGAACATTTAATTTAAAATATATTTTTATATAATTAATTAAAAATTGTCTGTCCTGGATCTTTTTAGGTAACCCATTTTTAATCTATTTTCTAATATACTTAATTCATGATAAAGTGTTTCATTCTATTATCAGTTCGGTGAAGTCGATGTAGGTTCGGATCTTAGACTATATCAGTCTGCTGGAATGGTGAAAAAGGATCATTAACTGAAGTTAGTTTTGTGACCCTGATGAATCAGACTATCAAGTCTGATTAATCAACAGGGACACAAAACTGACTGAGACTGAGAAAATGACTGAAAAAGTGAGAACGAAATGCTTTATTTTGTAATAAATGTCTCTCTTCCACTGATAATAACATAAATTTAAGGACATAAAGCTAGTCGTGTTCAGCCATACAGCATTCAAAGACCTACAGCAAACAGTAGCTAACTTGCAATACTGTCTTCAAATTAATTAGGAAAGCATGCAAGTTCTATCTTACACCATACTGCAAGTGGTGCAAGTATAACTTGCCCTACACCACAGTTAATGCTACAATATAATTTGCACCATTCGTTGAGGGAATGGAACGGTTGCCCTGCAAGTCAAGAGAATTCTTGTTATACCTGTTACCTACATAGCTTTCTATAATAAAGTTATGGGTTTCTTTACTCACTTTCCATTGCTCGATTTACCCGGTCCTTGTAATTAGAAACCGCTTCGGCTAATTCCTCTCGAAGTTTGGTTGCCTGTACAAAATTTGAACTTACTAATAATTGTGAGAATTCGTTCAATAAATTTTATCGTTAGTAAAATATTACCTGTATATAATACAAAATTACCAAATCTTAGTATTAAAAAATAAAAAAGCGACGATGTTAAGAGAGTTGGAGTTGGATTTAGACAAGAAACCATACTAACATATCGTAAAGTTTGGTAAAGCAGCAGATCTGTATCGCCATTCAGCGTTGGTTTCTTGCTATCATAATGTAATCCCGTGAACAGTGTTTCGTTCTCATCTACATATTTATTGACGAATTCTTCCACCTATTAACACATGTCCAAAATTAGTATGTTCTCTATGTTTTAATCGAAATATTTTCCAGTAGTAATTCAAACGGTTGCAAACATTGACATATTTGTACGTGTAAATCAAAGGTAATCATTTTGAAAGTTATGACTGTTGATGTAAGGACCAATGACATCATCTAAATTTAATTCTTACAAAACAAGAAATTTTAATAGTATACCCGTGTACTTCTTCATATTTACCTACAGCTACTTAAATATAAACAGTATCATTCGAAGTAAATCAAATCGTATGAACTTGGAAAAGTGTAGGTAATGAAAAGTAATCATACGATTGCAATATTAGTTCTACGAAAAAAAATCAGATCAAACTATTTATCAAAGATACATTTTCAATTAAAAAATATTCTAAAACACGAACCTTGGCGACTTGAGCGTCCAATTCAACTGATTTATCGTACTCCCATACGTACTGTATCCGCGCTGCTTCAATTTTGTCTCTATAGTCGTTAACCAGGCCTTTGGTTTCAGCTATGGCTTGCTTGGGTGCTTCTACACCACACTCCATGTATCTAGCTAAGTCGTCTGCAAAGCACTTGAATAAATTTAACTATATCTATTAATAAAAACAAGTTTCAACGGTATAGGTACAATGATTTAATTATTTATGACGTTTGATAGTTCTGACGACGCAGTCTGAAAAGAATGCGAAATGTCATTAACAAATAAATCAGTGCGTCGATACCGTTAAAACTTGTTTTATTTAATGAGTGGTGTGGGTGAAAACCTTAGAAACAAATATATGTGAACTTAAGGTAAACTTAATCCTAAAATATTTCTTGAAATTCTGCGCAATTTGTTAATTTTCATAAGCAATTTTAAGGTTTTAGCAGACATCAGCTCTGAAGATTTGTTTGTTGAGACGTTGCAGTAGGAAGTTTCTTATAAACTGAACGACGATGACGACTAGATGATATGGTGGCGATCCTTTTCCGTGATGATATGTCTGCTACAACCATAAAGATGTTTTGGACCGTCCTACCTAGGATTTTAACGAATACTGGTTAAATAGCATAAACGATTGTTTAAAATCTTTACCCATTTTTGGCTTGGCTTCCGAAATATTGCATGTGGATGTTTGAATCAAGTTCTGGCGTTCTTCTAATGCATGCCGTAACTCTTTGAGATCCTTTAACTCAAAGTCCAGCATCTTTTCTTCTACCAGCTAGAAATGTTATTATTTATTTTTGAAATAAGAAAGTTGGACTTATTTTTACCCCACCAGATAATTTAGTCCTGTTGTACAGACAAATGTTGAATTTTCGCTAAATGTGCGGAGGAATTAAATAACTTACATTGAAAAGTATGACACAAAACTGTCCAGCGATCCTGCAATTTCTTTTTACTTTTCTTCAGATGTCGTCTTTTCTTTAGACGATGGAATTAGTTAGGCCACAAAGATTCATCTGCCCAAACTAACCGTACCCCTACCGTACTCAAATTAGAAATTTTAAACGCCCAACTAGGAAATATAGTGTGATTCAAATAAGAATAGGAAAGCCAATGACCTTCATCTGTGAAATGTCGCTTGAAAAGAACGGTTTGCAAAAAAAACTTGGAACCCTTTTTTAGCACTCGGCTAAATCTAGAATAAAACCAAACATTTGTAAACAAACAATAACAAATATTGATATTAATATTGGTTGATTTTTCTTTTCATTTATTGACCTTTGGCTATGTATGGTTGATAACCTAAATCGTCAACCAATGTCAGTTTAAGTTGCGTTCGGAAACTGGATTTAAAACTTTCGTTTTCATAAAGGATGCATGTTCGTACGTGACCTAGTAATAGTGCATGATTATTCATAACTACTCCGGCGGTAATGCAGAGTTGAGCGGAATTGAAAAGCTAGATTCTAATTAATGTTTTTTTTCACACAGTCTAAATAAATAAATATTATTAAAATAGGTTGTTATTTTCTCTCAATCTTAATAAATAAATTTTATTAAAAAATGTGATGTTGTTTCGCACTTAATGTTAGTAAATAAGTTTTAATAAATAAAAACATTTTTTTGCTCACTCTACCTATTTAGTTTGAATTGTCAGCTATGACGCCACAATATGGCGCTCAGTCGGTCCTATTCTTAGTTGAATCGCATGTTTATAACATATCCTCGAACCTCACAATTCTTACCCGATTATAATAAGCACAGGCTTCCTTAGCAGTGAGATAGTTGTTGATGATCTCGTCACCAAGTTCTCTCAAGCACTTGTCTATCTCGCAGATATCCTTGGTGAGAACTGGCGGTGGCTGCACTTCACACTTCGGTTTCTTCTCATCCACTAGAGTTGAGGACGCCTTTTAAATTTGGTGCTAGCTAGCTATGTTACCGATCCTATCTACCTGCTGTTTAAAGGTGGTATCAAATCTGTTAGAAAAATTGCTACCGCTTTTGCGTACATAATGAAGAAATGCAATTACTCACACTTGCTCATTACTTATTGCGGTGTGGGATTTCTTCGTTTGTACATTAATAACATATTTATTAAGAAATTCACATTAAATCTCTCAATTTGGTATTTATTTCTTACCATCACACTTTGATACTTCTTCTGCTAGAGGTTGACTAGCATCATGAACTGAAATATTGAAAATAAAGTAAGTATGCTCAAAGCAATCAAAGTGACATTGAGGTTTGCGAATAAGTAGGGTACCTTGATTGACTTCAGTGACTTTTCCGTCCACAAAGTTCTTCTTAGCACTGCTATCACGGCTGTAGTTATCCAAGTATGCCTTAACGTTGTCCAAGCACCGCTCCGCGTATTCACCGTACGTGAATGTCTCTTGGAAGACTACGGCTATGAAATCGTCGAACCAGGGCGCGTGGAGGGTCAACCAATCCCTGACCTCGGGCTGTTGCCTGTGGAATAAAAAAAAACTTTGTATTTAGATTCCACTTAAACACACTTAATACGAGATGACGTCATTTGCCAAGGCTAATAAGAACTCTTATTATAAAAAGGCTGCTTTTATTATTTCTACCCGCTATATATTGCGAAAGTGGAAAGAGCGAAACTATGTAAAAGGAAATAAAGCTTTGCTTTTCACTAAAAATCTCCTCTCAGCTTTGCACGGGGGAAACACGTGTTAACTTTATTTTGCGACGAGTAAAACGGAATCCACATGGGTCCGCCCTGCACTAGTATGCGGACATAAGAATTTGCTGGGCATAGTAAAACCAAGAAAACCAAATTATTGATGCTTAATTGTCCAAGACTAAATAGGAAATACATACTTAGCGTAATAGGCGAAACTCCCAGCTAGCACAATGACAGTGAGCGCCCCCCACAGCAGCCGGTCGTCTTTAGGGGGCGGCGGTGGCGGCGTCGGGGGCGGGGGGCAAGTCTCCCGCTCTGCCACCTTCTTGTAATTCTGGTTTGGAACATACTTGGACACTGTCTTAATTTGGACTACTGGACGGTATTTCTGAAAATAAGCGACCCGCATCATTGGTAATGTGGAGGTGATTTACAACCTGATATTCTACAACTACGCCGTGATGTGGCGTCATGAAGCGCATTCTGGTGAATATACCGTGGCGAGTGTTCAAAGGAGTTATTCTACCTTCCCATTTCCTACAGAGGATCAGCGCTGGCCTACGTTGGCAGCGACTTACTGAAGCCACAATTCCAACGCGAACAAAGAGATTTGGTGACTGATTTCTTTGTCGCACTATCCGCAAATGGAATGCTTTGCCCGTTTACGTGTACCCTCCATCCTACAAGACGGGGTCCTTAAAACTAGGGGCGAAGAAGCAACTTGCAGGTTCACAAAGTGAGGCAGGCTGGTGTGGCAGGTAAAACCGCTGCACAATAATTCAAGCGTGTAACTGTAGGTCTAAACTGCTTTTGACAGATGGAAGTGATAATCACCGAGCTAAGAAGTGATACACTACTGTTTTATTATAACGCCACTAAGATACTTGTTCTGAAAAGAATCGATAGGTATACAAGTTTCTCTTTAGTTATGTACACTGTAAATGGCAAAAAAGTTAGAGAATAGGCCGGCTGTTGCTGTTATTAATATGGTGCAAAAACGCCAAAAAATCGTGATTTTCTATGTAGTCACTCCTTAAATATTTATTTTGTTCATGATATACAACCTGGTGGCAGACAGAAAGACAGTGGATTCTTAGTAATAGGGTCCCATTTTTACCTTTTAGGTACGCAACTCTAAAAATGATTGCCAACGTAGATATTGCCAGATCTGCCATAACTGTAACGATATCTATAATAATAATATTAATAAATCAATATTACCAACACACACCAATTAGCCTAGCCCCAAAGTAAGCACTATAAAGCTTGTGTTATGGGATACTAGGGTAACGGATAGAATACATATACTGTACATATATAAATACATTTTTGTAGAAATATATATTAAACATCCATGACTACTAATGCTCGTATTCATCACACAAATATATGCCCCCACCGGGATTTGAACTCGGGACCTCTCGAATCGGCGACACCATGACACCCGGCGTACAAACCACTCGGCCGGAAGTCGTCGAATATTTATTCGCCATCTCAAAATACAACCAGTAATTAAACAGATGTTACAATATTTATATAAATGTTTGTTAAAGCAATCGCCTCTTGTTTTTGTCGGCATACCAACTCCTTATTTTCAAATTTCCGTAGTACAGGAAAGGCCCTATATATAGATAATAATAGTAGGACAAAATCACACTCGATAATAATGTTGGTCTTTCACCATTGCCACGTTTATAAGATAATAATACTTTATTGCACAACAGTAACATAAATAACACGAACAAAATACAAATACAAGGCAAAACAATCACAGTTGCACAAAGGGCGGTCTTATCGCTAATCAGCGATTTCTTCCAGACAACCCAATAAGCTGTAAAAAGTAGAAAGCACGATAATAATAATGAGGGAGGTTGTGCGGAAAACAAGACAAAAGTTTTGTAAGTAATCAATTGAAATTAATTAAAATAAACGCTAACCAAACATTCACACATATCGCAGTATAATGCAACAGTACTACTACCGTAGCAATATGTTAATGAAAATTATGCTCATCTGACAAGAAATGCTCCTTAACTAGGGATTTGAAACAGGTTAGAGTTTGGGCACGCCTAATCTTTTCCGGCAGAGAATTCCATAGTTGGATGGCACTTATGGTAAAGGACTGGCTATACGCCTTGGAAAAGTTAGGAGGTGTGAAAAGCAGGAGATTATCAGATGAACGAAGCGGAAGATTATGAGAAGAAGAAAGAAACTGAAAACGTTCTTTGAGATAAACAGGAGCTTTTGGATTGAACAGTACTGAGAATAGTAGGGACAATATTTATGCAGATCACGGCGACGACCAATGGGAAGCCACTTCAATTTCTGCCTGTAGTATGAAACATGGTCGTACTTACGTAAACCGTAAATAAATCTGATGGAAAAATTTTGCAGACGTTCAAGTTTACTTAGAAGATCAAAGGTAAAATAGGGATAGCAAACATCTGCATAATCAAGAATAGGTAGAAGAACAGAAGTTGCAAGAGAAATTTTGGTGGCAGTAGGCAAGAAGTTACGTAAACGTCGCAAAGAGCCAGCCGCAGCAAAAGTTCGCCTACTGACCTCAGCAATTTGAGGACACCAAGATAAAGTGTTATCAAATATGACCCCCAAATTCCGAACTGTTTCAGCAAATGGGATAACAATTCCATTTAAAGTAACTGATGGGAGCTGCTTAAAGTCAATCCGAGATATAAAGTAAGGACTACCAATAATTATGCACTGAGTTTTTATTGGATTGATTTTAAGTCCAAATGCATTGCTCCATTCCGTAATAAATGCTAAGTCTGCATTAAGGTTATTTATTGCGTTATTTAGGTTTTCCAGTCGATCCTGTGTATAAATCTGGAGATCGTCTGCATACAGATGGCAGGTAGAAGTTAAATTGTGAGTAATAGAGTTAACAAAAATAGCGAAGAGCAAAGGAGATAGCACGCCACCTTGAGGAACACCGGCCGTTAGAGTACCCCATTGAGAGATGGATTCACCTACAATTACACGCTGCCGGCGTCCATGTAGATAACTACGAAACCAGTCAATGACCGTAGGAGATATGTTAAGAGAACGCAGTAAACTCACCAGGATTTCGAAGTCAACATTGTTAAAAGCATTACTAAAATCTAATAAAGTTAAAATTGTGAGTTTCAGACTCTCCATGCCAAAACGAATGTCATCGGTAATTTTGACAAGTGCACTAGCTGTGCTATGGCCAGGACGAAAACCAGATTGGAAGGGATTTAGCAAGTTATTCATTCGAAGGAATTCATTCAGTTGATTGTGTATAAGACGCTCAAGAACTTTGGAAAGGAAAGGAAGAATGGAAATTGGTCGGAAATCGGACTTAGCATCAGGATTTGATTTTTTGGGAAGTGGAATAACTTGAGCATCTTTCCAAATTCCTGGAAAACTTCCAGAGGAAATAGATTTATTGAAAAAATTGGTAATAACTGGAGTTAGAATGTCGAGTAAGGGGATAATCATGTTACGGCCAATATTGTCATTACCCACCGCTTTAGAATCAATGGCACGAATGTTCTTCTCAACATCACTATCGGAAAATTGACTAAAAGTAAACGGAGCAAAATCTGGTGTTGGCAAAGAAGAAAGATACCTTATAGTTTTCTCTTTGACATGAGCGTCAAGAGCTGACGATACAGAGAAATGACTATTTAAGCGGTTGATGTCTAAACGTTGAGCCAAATTCTGATTTCGGGGTTTGCCAACTGTATTGCAGCGATTCCTGATTCGATGATACTTGTCACGGTTACTGTCTGTGGGGTTGCATTTGTACTTAGCCTTCGCGTTATTTTTTTTCGCCATTAAAGATTTTATGTCATCAGTCAGCCAGGGTGCGGGCAAATGCTTGATCTTAATAGGCCTGATAGGTGCATGAACATCATAAAGTTTATCTTTAATGTTGCGACCGCAAATAAATGAGAAAAAAACATCAATCAATCAAACCTATCACGCGTCAAGCGCAAGCGCATCAAGCGCTGGTAATCAAAATTATTGTCAATTGTGATCAAGTCCGTAGTAACGCATGATAGGTCAAGAAAAAGCGGTAAACGATCAATATTCGATTAAATCATGTAGACTTGTCAAGTCGACTTGATCGTCTCCGACGTATTAGGTTTCCGAGTGATCAAGTCAGGCTACAAGATTAGATAACAATTGTTCATGAACAAAGGAGCGAATCAGACTGGATACTATCAAAAAGGTGCAGAATCTGTAGCGATCACTTCAAAACAACCAACAAATAGGATTTGAAATAAGGACAAATACTACAAAAAAATATGGTTGTTAAATATTAAAATAAATGTGATTTACATGTATTATTTCTTACCTATGTAGAATGTTCTTACTTTTCAATCAAGTATTCCCTCTACAACTAATAAAGATAACTCTATGCACAAGAAAAATATTGAAATTTTTAAGTTTGATTTGAATTCGTAACAAAATTTAAACGCAATCACTATAAACGTTACATATCAATAAATAAAATATAATTAGTCTAGCTAGATCAGACAAGCACGCGAGCAAGAACTACGCAGAACTGCAGAAAGCAAAAAAAAAAGAACGAAAATCACTAGTTGAATAAAGAAACACTCACCCAGCTATTTATTATATGAGGAGTTATTCTGTACATGTTTCTTAGTCATCTATTTTTTTTTATTTGATTCTAATAAAATACATTTGAAATTGTATCCGTTTACGTTATAATTTTATTAAGTAATACGGCTAAAAAGGGCTAAAACGTTTTGAGTGACATTTTTCTGCATACGTCTCTCAGGTCTGCTTACTTCTGTATTTGTCACGAAATCGGTGACACGTTTTATTTCAAATTTTGAAGTATTTTTCAACAGAGGTTTTCATTGAAAACAGTTATTAACCATGGTTTGAATTCTTCTGTTGCTTCCGATAATTCTGTAGGTTCATTAGATATAGGATGTACAAACTATGGTAGGTATCTACATGATTAATAAAAGACGCATCCCAAATTTACGGGAGCTGAAAAAAAATTGGTCACCCATTCTAGAACTGACCATCGTTGATAGTCAAACATGATGCAATAGGGATGATGACTATTTTCTTTCCTTCATTTCAGTTTCAGTTTATCAGGTAGATTATCAAAAAGTATTGGACACGTATTTTTTCTTTTTCCGCATAATATAAACATTGCAGAGATATATTGATTTGAAAAGTCGCATGACGTCACGTTTTGGTACAATTTTCACTTAAAACTGACGCCACGAGCCCTTACTCCCAAACTTTCACGCGCTTTAACTTTCTCATTTTTTGGTTGATTGCCCAAAGAAAAAATATGTGTCCATTAATTTCGTTTACTGTTTTACTTTAATCGCTCTTAATCCTGCTGTAATAAGGCCCCAGAAGTTGTCAAATCCTTAATCAAATGGTCTTTCTTTTTCTTTATATTTATACCAATTATAACATACTGACTTAGTAAAAACAAAAATAACATTAAAAAAAACAGTACATTCGTTAAATCTAAAGTACAAACATTTAAAGTCAAATTAACATTTAGTGTCGGTGCCATTTAATATGTGTAACACAGATCTTTCCACGATCTATCAACATCCATGGCACCGACTCCAAATGTTAATTTGGAGTCGGTGCCATGGATGTTGAAAATGTAAATTTGACTTTAAATGAGCTTTGTAAATAAGTAAAGAATATTGTAGGCATTATTTCTCTTACTTTTGTTCTTACGGTCGATTTTAATTTATGTTAAAAAGTTTCTATTTTCCACTTTTTATCAGCCAGGGTCAACTAATGGCGCGATTACACTTGTCGCCAGCCCGAATACGATTTCCACTGGAATTCGAGTAAACGACTGTGTAAACGAACGAGTTCGCCCGTATTCGGGTAGTTTTCTCCTTCCAGCCTACAGTGTAAGTACCTATTGCTTCGGGTTCCCCAATTCGAGTAATGTCTTTCATGCACCCGAATAAGGGCTAACGACCAAATGTAATTGAGCCATAAGTATTGGTTACCTATGGCCTGCATTATCGCTTTCATTTCTCTTTTCTGCTCGGTCTGTAATTAACGAGCGGTATAAGGAATCCGCGAAATGAAAGTTGCAAAGAATTAATTAAGTTACCAAAAAAACCGGAACGTTAGTCACACTTTTAAGTACAACTAGCTGACCCGGCGAACTTCGTACCGCCTTTGCGTAGGTTTGATGCACTACTTTATTTTGTATAGCTGACCTATCTTATGTATGAGTACCTATTCAATTTGAACTGGAATCTATAATATCCTCCATATAAAAATGAATCCTTATTTCCCTGGTCTCGCCATACCTGAGGACTTTACTAATTTTTATTAAATAAAAAATTTATAAAAAAAAAATTAAAAAAAAATCCGTAAGAACCTTGTACAGAGTATTAGGAAACTACAACAAAAAATCAGCCAAATCGGTCAAGCCGTTTTCATGTTATGTCGTGACAACGGAAAACGGGTTTCATTTTTATATATATAGACGTAAAAAGAACTTTTTTTTGTCCATAACCTTAAAGGCATTAGCATATAACAAAATAAAAGGACGGCATAAGGTAAGCCGGTGAAAGATGTGCTAGTGAGGGATGTGCCGGAGAAAGATGTAGGACGGAGGCCTTTTGTCCTTTTCTAACTGCATAATAAATTTATTTTTTTGCAGTTGAACAAAAAATTGCGGCTACACTTAGGGTAATAAACTAATAAACGTAGAATTGAAAGGGAAAGGAAAATTTCTACCTATGTCCATCGTCTCTGCAGCAAGATTGCAAGTGAATAAGTGCGATTTTAAAAATTAATTGAATAATGGGTCTTTTAATTTAATATCCATGAATATAAAATAGGTATAACTATTCCACCAAATTAACAAATACCATTAAACCGAACAAACATTTTGCAGTCAAAATAAAACAACATGTGAAATAAAAATCATGTTTTAATTTAAATTACATTACAATAGTATATTTACATAAGTTACTAAAATTAAAGAAACTTTGCATACGATGGATTCGCTGGCACAGTAATTTTATATTAACAAAGAAAACTCCACTCGGAACATAAATGCGAACATTTTGTGCAGGGGATAACAAAAAGGGAGATTTTTAACTAATTCATATAATATAATAATGTAGGTACATTTAATGTTTTTTTTTGTCTAAGCCTTTATACAGTTCCCATATTAGATTTTATCTCTTTTTTATGAAAAAAGCAACCCTTCCATAAATGTTACCCAAATGTTTGATTTGTTTTTTCTTGAATGAGGAAACACTAGGAAATGGAGCAGATACAATTCAATATAGATCTTAATCTATGACGATAGAGTCCGATTTTGATTGCACAACACTATCGCCGGCCAAAGTATTATTTGGCGTTAGAAACATTCAATCAACGAAGGTAACGATATTACCCAATTTCTTTACAATAACCTTTAATGATAATCATTTGTGAATGGATTTCTAGGAAAAGACGTCATGTAGAAAGAAATATAGACCTTATTCTAATGGATTACGTACCGAATTCAATTGAAAGTTATTCATTCAGAATCACAATATCAAATAATTATGGAACAACTTTATATCAACACTGCTTTAAAAACGACACAATTTTCCACGTGATTTCGTGCTTATTATTTTCTCTAAAAAAACTTCAATTTCACTTAGAGATTTTATTTTACGAAATAACATAAAAACATTATAATTAACAAAGCAATACTTGAACTGAACACATTAAGGCGTTAATCGCTTGTGAAGAAACCTAATAGTAATACAAAAGCTCTTGAATGTAAAGTGCAGGGAATTTACATCTGAGGTATGACTTCTACAACAAAGTGATAAACAATTTAAGGTTATTAACATTAACAGAATATTATAACAAAATATTTGTGTCAGCTAAACATATACTTTAGGCAGTATTTAAAACTTCTAAAATTTAAGTGTGACACAAGAGACTATATATAAATATTTGTGTTTTCAATTAGTTACCAACAATATACAAAAGCTTTATAAAGTCTATGATACCTAAGTACATACAATTTCAGTTTGTAACTCTGGGTTGCTGCACGCAGGCATATTATAATATTACTTGTACAAATATTGGATCTAGAATATGTGCCTAAGTAATTTTATGCCGTCGTTAGTCAAGTTTTTAAAGAAAAATAATATATTTATATTAAACAATAGAGTTCTAAATAAAGAATTGGGACTTTGTTCATGGACCAAGCAATTTAACCGCCAGATATATTTTAAACAATTTAGGCACTCAAACAAGTTGAATTTAAACCTTTGTTCCATAGACACATTTTTGATATAAAAACAATTCGACATAAACAGCGAATGGACTGAGAAATGTCTCATCATGTTCCCTGACAACTATAACGTTATACAAAATTGTGATACGAAGCTTTAGGGCAGTCCATAGTGCGTATAGGTCAGTGGTTCTTAAAATTTTTAGTAACAAGGGACTATTTGTCAAAATTTCTGTCTTGCCAAGGACGACTGCTGACAAATTGCACACCCCTCCCCCTAGAATTTATAAATCAATCCGCATCCTTACTTATATAATATTTTTAGAATTCCTTCGCGGACCACTTCGGGTGCTTCCAAGGACCACCGGTTAAGAACCACTGGTATAGGTATTGACTGGCTTTTTTGAGAGTTGTCAATTTAAGACCCAGTGGGTGTATAGGTATTAACTGGCTTTTTTAAGAGCTGTCAATTTAAGAGTTGTCAATTGAAGACCCAGTGAGTGTATAGGTATTTAATGCTTTTTTTGAAAGTTGTCAGTATAAGATCCGGTGAGTAGAATAGATATTGGCTGTTTTTTAAAGTTGTCAATACAATGTTTAAGCATAGACATAGAGACCGTAAAGCAAAACAAAAGTGTGAGAGAGATGAAGCTATCGGACGGTCTATAGTGCCATTGTTTGCTTTTTATCTTTCTAGAACGTTCTCAATCTCATGCGAGTGTCCTTCACGCCATTCTCTTCGGGTATCAATGAACATTATATCTCAGCTAATTTACCTAAGCCCAGTGTGGTATTAGCCCTATGAGAAATCCAGTCACAAACGCCTTGATATCGTCTACAAGTACAGCAAGCCACTAGCGGAGGCGTGTGCCATAACCGCTTCGGCCGCCTGCCTGATCTCGAGGTGAGTGCGAGCCGCGTCCGCCCATTTCTTGGCCGCAGCCCTAGGGGCGCCCTGTAAGAGGTTTACGTACCGTAACGCGCCGGATAGGTTACCGTGGTTCATATGGTACCTGGCAATGGAGAATTTAAATAATTACATCTTTATTGTTTTACAAGAAACTATCACACATTCATAATTAGCAGATATTTGTGTCAACATCAATTTAAATTGATATTATAATTTACTAGCTGTGCCCGGCGGTGGTACCTGCGGTTTTATAGGGGTATTTTCCCGCAGCAAAAGGTAGCCTATGTGTTAATCCAGGGTGTCAGCTGACTCCATAACAAATTTTGTTTAAATCGCTTCAGCCGTTTAAGCGGGAAGAAGTAACAAACATACAAACTCACATATAAAATACATTCATACACTACATGATAAATACAAGCATATCGGACGAATAAGTTATACATTGGGATTGAAAAGGCAACCGCACATAGGTTATTTTTAACGTTCGTAAGGTTACACTCACCTCGCCCTCTGAATAATGTCGAATGTGTCCAATTCCGTGAAATCTACAGGTTTGTTTTCCAACTCTTCCACTGGAATGTCGGATATCTGTAACAAATGGATGGTCTATTGATTTTTGTCTATGACTTTTGATGAAACGCTAAACTATTATATTTTTTTCTGTCAATCCATTGTCAGTCTTACACCGCACTTATAAGACCCAAAATACTTTTATCGCAAATATAACAATGAGCTTTTACGAAAGTAGCTTAGACATTAGAAAATAAAAAGTTTAATACGTACTATATACATGAGTTTAGAACTGATTTCTAGAGAGAAGCAAGGTATTTGTTACCTTATGGAATAACAATTTTGACTGCAGCCAAGACAGGAAGTAAACTGGCAACGAAGCTCCTTCGCGGCCAATCAGGGCTACCTTCACTGCGGTCTTTTCCATCTTAAAAAAAATGTAAAACGAGTTATAATAAATAATAATAAATAAAAAAAAATGTTTTATGAATAAATTTTTGCGATGCACGATGGTTCAATTTTGAGTGTGAATTTGATAACTGGTTGCTGCATTTGCTTGTTTATATGTGAGACCAATTTTTTAGATCATCATCATCATCAGCCTATTAATGTGCCCACTGCTGGGGCACAGGCCATCCCTATGGATGGAATAGGGAGATTGGGCCATGACCCACCACGCGGGCCCAGACCGGACTTTTTTAATAATGTAACTAAAATCATTTATACAGTTAGGGACACAGCGAATGGAAAAATTGAGAAAGTTGCTTAACTTTCACGATCGCAGGCCGAATTCATTAACCACCTGCGCCATCGAGCTCCTCAGTTACTCCCTGACAAGATTACAAATAGCAAATACCATAGGCCAATAAAGTGCTTCCATAACAGGTCACTTTGACAAGCTTTAAATAGAATAGTCGGCTGGCACAACGAATAAGAAAAGATATGGAAGCATCACTCTCTAACAAAGCCGCTAAAACGGGTTCAAACTCATACAACTAAACTTCAATGCTAACGCGACACGCACAAAGACAACAAAATACGTTGACAAATAAAATATCTGCAAATGAATTCGGATATACATTCATTGGGTAAGATGATTTTAAGCGGAAATCCCAACCAATCCCGTTGATCGGGGAGTTGATCGCATTTTTTTCGCCCCGCCCACTTGATCGCAGTTTGCGTGGAACCACTTATTTAGTGCAGCTCTTGTTCCATGCAGTTTCTAATTCACTAGTCTGGCATGACTTTATCATATATTATTTATTTATAAAAGATATAGTTCAATTTACCGTGTCGAACCTCTCTCGAAGTGACTTCTCTGTGACGATGCCCTTCTCTCGGATCTCTGAAGGTATACCTTTTAGCACGGTCTGTACCAATTTATCGTCTTTACCTGCCAAATGTGAATGAATAAAAATAAATTTAAAGCTCCTAATAAAAAAAGTACTTATTGATAAAGCCTATTTTAAGGTACCCAATTTTATTTTAGTCAAAATTTTTAGGGTTTAAAGTATTCAAAGTACTCTTGATAAAGCATAATATATATTGTCCTATAATATTTCAGACAAAATGCTTGGTTTAAACTGTACCCTTAGCACGAACCAATATCGAACTCGAATAGCTTGCGAGTTCGAAATGTCATTGTCAAATGTGTACTGTTTTTAGTTGTCGTTACGCCCGTTATGGCGCTGCTGTTCAAATCTCCATAGAACGCAATTGCAACTATTCGAATTCGATATTGGTTCGTGCTAAGGGTACAGTTCAAAATGTTCCGACAGGCTGTTTTTATAGTATGTGATAGATGACATACAACTAGAAAATCTCCTTAACGGGGTAGTAGGGAAATATAATTTGGACAATTTGCAAGACTTATACTTTTATAGTATGTGATAGATGACATACAACTAGAAAATCTCCTTAACGGGGTAGTAGGGAAATATAATTTGGACAATTTGCAAGACTTATACTATGCTTCCAATTTGAATAAAGAAATTTAAGCAATGAACTAAATTTCACATTTAACCAATGAACTTAAATCTCATCTTTCATACACTTTAATATAAATTATGTATGCAGTCATACCGGCTTTCTCCAACGCTTTAATTTCGTTGTCAATTTTGGTTTCGGCATCTCCCCGTCTCGTCGCCGCCAATAGGGCTTCCGCGGCCGCCCATAGAGATTGGGATCTACGCGCTTCCGCTTCCGCCTTTGCTCGTTCTGGTAAAAAATATATGTTTTTTTGGTTAGATCACAAGATCAATCTGTGAATAAAGAAAAGGGTATCTTAAAAGCATTGGCTTCTCCGAACATTATTATAGATCTACCCAAAACTATCAAATATATTCAACTGATTTTAATAACATTGATTAGCGATTCAATTGATTAAAAGAAATTTGTCATGCTGTGGTAAATTTGTAAGTTGCTGCCTGTGCCATATTTGTTTTTCAAGTTATAACCACATCCAAGCCCTAAGTATTATCACAAAGAACGTAACCGCAAATGCAGAGCCGTTTTGGAACAAAGCGTAATTTCGTCACGTCAATGCTATAGCATTCCCACGCAATTTCAAGCAAAATTTCGTGACCAGCTACACGTGTTATTAAAATCCATAGCAGTAAGTGTAGGTATTTAGCACGAGGATGGTGGGAGTCATCCTTCCGGACACTTTCTTTTTTGTAATAATGATATTAGCAACGAATTAGAAATAATATGGAACACGAACTGCGCTAAAAAGTGGTTTCACGCAAACTGCAATCAAGTGGGCGGGGCGAAAAAAATGCGATCAACACGCTGATCATGTGATTTGTTAAGATTCCCGTTTAAAATTATTCTACCCAATGAATGGATAGCCGAAGCCATTTGCAGACATTTAATTTATCAAAGTATTTTGTTTTGTCTGTGCTCGTATCGCGTTAGTTGAGTGAAGTTAAGTTGTATAAGTTTACACCCATGTTTTAGCGGCCTTTGTTAGAGAGTAATGCTTCTTTAACATTTCTAATTCGTTTGTTTTTGTCTTTAAAATTAACACTTTCATTCAAACTTACGCTTAAGTGTTTGTTCGATAGCTTGCAACTTGCCCGCCATTGCTGCCAACTCTCGTTTGAACTCCACTCTCTCTTTCTCCACTTGCTCGTAGACGGCGCGAGTAAATTTGCCCATTACCTGACAAGTATTTAATTTCATTTACATGGATAATGGTTTTTGCTAGTTTTAAAATTGCCAGCAGTATATTTTCCCCCTACAAAGCATAATGAGCCTATATACTCCTGTGTGTGAAGTCAAACTAAATAAAACTAGTTTTAACGGGTTAATGCACAAATTTTATTTATTTATAAACGTTTCGCAGCCTTTTCAGGTCTGCATCGTCAGAATAATGATTTTTTATTTATGTTAAAGATAAAAAAAACTTAAGATTAAAAAAAAACTTCCAATGAAATATCCGAATGCACAATAAAGGTGTTTCGAAGGTAGCTCGACAAAGTAAATAAAAAATCATTATTCTGACGATGCAGACCTGAAAAGGCTGCGAAACGTCAATATATAAATAAATTTCGTGCATTAACCCGTTAAAACTAGTTTTATTTAATGAGTGATGTGCGTGAAAACCTAAGAAACAAATATGTCAAACTAATATTATAAATGTGGTAGGCAACGGGGCGAGTGTTTTTTTGTATCTCAAGGATCTATAGGCTATGGTGGCCGCTTACCATTATGCGGGCCGTAAGCTTGCTTGCCAGCCTTTTAACATAAAAGAAAAAGTTTGTAAGTTTGAATTTTGTAACTCAATTTACACAAAAACTACTCAACGGATTTCGATTGAATTTGGTACGCATATACTTTCCACTCCCACTTCCTTCTAATCCTCACAATCCTGGAAGAGATCGCTTTTAGCGATAAAGCCACCCATTGTAACACTTGATTTGAATGGCTCTGTAATTATTTTAATGTTTTCTGTGGTGTTCAATAAAGTGTTTTGTATTGTATTGTATTTTATTGAGCCTGGATTGAGACATATGATACTTGTTATCCTGAAAAAAATTGTAGCCCTCGGGCCGCAAGTATTTGCGTCGCGGGGGTTTGTAAACAGCAAACAAACGCGACGTTTGTCATTGTTCGTGGACATACTGCATCTTTTCTCCCCGTCCTATCGAAAAAAAGGTTCCTGTGGAATTCTGAAAAGTACGAAGTCGCGAGCGGCTGCTAGTAAATTAATAAACACATCACCTTCATCTGCTTTAATTTCCGCACTGCTGAGGCACTAAAGTTTTATAAAAATACATAATCTGTTATATACCGTAAAAAAATCTGTACCAAGTAAAATTATAACAGAAAGGAGAAAACATTCCAAATATCAAACAAGCCTATAGAAAATAGAAATTCGATACAATATGTATTCGTTGGGACTTTGCTTTTCATAATATGCTCTATATCGAGCATATTATGAAATAAGAAAACTTCAACTTGGATATTTGAAACTAACAGAGACCTTAATTGACTTTTAAGTTGGATTAAAGACACTTTCTTATATAAAATTATACATCACGTAACTTTAAATTTATTGGACGCCTTTTTGTAAGATTGAATTAGTACTTTATTCAATATGTTTTACTTAAATGTCATTGTAGGCGCCCACAAGTTTAACCATTTTGTAGTGAAAACAGAAATGTTTCTAGTGTCTGTTGCACTAATAACTGAAACAGTAATAATACCTCTTTCTCTTTCTTATTGAGTCTGTCTTGCAGAACTTCCTGTTGGATTTCAAATTGCTTCTTCAGTTCTTCTTTCAGTTTCTTGTTCGCCTCTGCTTGTATTTCCAAACTCTAAAACATAAATAAATAATTATATTACATATAAGTTTATATAAGGAAAATCGTTTGTTCTTACATAAAAACCTAAAGGTTTTCGATCAATCTATTTCGTTCTTAGTGTAAACTCACGAGTTGAATAAAATCTATTATATATAGAAAATAGATTTTGATAAACTTTAATTTCGATTTCACGCCGAAATTTTTTGTATTGGAGACAAAAAAGTAGTCAATTGTAGACTATTCATGACGCCGCTTCTATGGCACAGGTCTTCCCTAAAAATGGAAGGAAACAATGAATAATATGATGAAAATTGGGCCATGACCCACCACGCAGGTCCAGAGCGGATTAGTAGCTGCTTAAGACTGCAGATGCAGCCGGGACCGACGGCCTAAGGTGCCTACAGAAGCACGGAAAAAATCGAAATAATAAATGTTTGGTCAGCCATCCTATGACCGGTCATAGCTAACGTTGCTTAACTTCCACGATCGCAGAACCAACGAGCTAATCACTGCGCTATCCAGCTCCACAATTACGGCGATGTATTTTATTTATATTTATAGAAGGGCTTAAATGTAAAACAATTGTTTTGTCTAGGAAACAAGGCTTCTATGGGATATAGAAATAAAGTGTGTCATATATCGGCTTTAAAATGAATAATAATGCAAACCTTCTTTTGGTACTCCTTTTCCTTTTCCAATTGTTCTCTCAGAATGACTTCTTCAACTTTGGCTTCTATTATATCTTTTTCGTCGTGACCTAACATGGGAAAATTAAACAATCAATAAGATTCTTCTGCAGACCTCATAAAGCTAAAAACACAATGAAATTCAACAACTGTTGAGTTATAATGCGATTCAAATAAGAATAGGACCGACTGGGCACCATATTGTGATGTCATAGCTGTCAATTCAAAGCATCAGATTTTTTTTAATAACATTTATTTACTAAGATTGAGTAAAAAAAAACGAGATTTAATAATATTTATTTATTAAGACTGTGAGGAAAACATTAATCAGAATCTAGCTCTTCTATTCCGCTCATCTCTGCATTACCGCCGGAGTAGTTATGAATAATCATTCACTATTACCATAGTCTGTCGATTATATTATTATTTTTTGACATATCGATCGAAGTAAAAATAGTGACATCTACCACATAACTCGTTCTATTTAAAGCGATAATCGATTTTATGCTAAAACATTGTATAGTCGATTATAAGTATCGAAATTATTTTAGTTATCAAAAATACCGGTGTTTAATAAATTATTACAAAATCTCATTAGATTTATTATTTACCTAGTACAAAAATGAGTATTTGTTCTGTGTTTGGGTGTGATCTATAATATATAACAAAAAAAGCAGTATACTTTTTATATGTTTGTTTATCCTAATACTCTGTACAATTAGAATCAATAAATCTAATTGTACAGAGTATTAGGATAAACAAACATATATTTATAATTAATAATTTCATTTAAAAAAAGGTTTATAAAAAACTATATCTATCGACTTTTTACGTTTAAATATTTTTGATTGAATTTTTGCCATTTTGAAGTCACTTGTTCACTGATCTTGCAACAGTTGCAACGTAATTCTTCTTTTTGAACATTTTATCAAACGTTAAGTTGAGTAGTCTTTTAGGGACTATCAACCTCCTTTTCATACTTTTTTTATTACGCGTTTAAAGTGACGTTATATTGTAAAATAATTTTGTTCTTTTTTTCTCTGTCAATAAAAATCTTTGGAAAATTTGCCTACGTATTTTTCTCTTTTGAAATATTTAATTATTTTCACAAGTCATATAGTGTTGATTTGTTACTTTGTATTGAGCAAACCGGTCGTCCGTAAGCTCTGAATTTGTACTGTACTCACTCTGTAATCATTTATTTCTACCGATTATTTGTAATCTGTGGCATAATCTTAGTAATCATTATGTGTGGCACATCACTAAGTGGGCGGTACCCATCCATGAAGTACAATATTATTTGTATGACATTTTAACGTAAACAATATAAAATTTCTTGGGCGTCGATCTGTCAAAAAGATAATAATAGAATGGACAAACTATAGGTCACTTACGAATATGCATCCTTTATGTAAACGAAAGTTTGAAATCGAGTTTCTGAACGCAACTTAAAGTGACATTTGGTTGACGATTTAGGTTATCAACCATTCATGGCCAAAGCTCAATAAGTGAAAAAAAAATATCAACCGATATTAATTATCAATATTTGTTATTGTTTGTTTACAAATGTTTGGCTTTTATTCTTGAATTAGCAGAGTGCTAAAAAAGGGTTCCAAGTACTTTTTTGCAAACCGTACTTTTCAAGCGACATTTGACAGATAGAGGTCACTGGCTTTCCTATTCTTATTTGAATCGCATTATACTTACCCTCGAGGGCTCTGTTGATTTTCAAGTCTCTTACTGTCTGGAAAGCTGCTAACTCTTTTTGTAGGTATTGTACCTGAAATAAGTGAAAACTATGTGGTAGAAGTAGGTTTTCAACTATTTTTGTTTTGTTCTGAGAGAGAGCCCTAGGTCAGACAGATAGACAACAGGGGCATATTAATAGGAGTTCGTTTGCCAACTCTTTGAGTACTAATGCCTAAAAAGTACCAAACACTTCCTAAAATGGATACTATCATTCGAATGTTGTCAGTAGATCATAATGAAAAAAAATACTACCGAAACATATACGCATGTTATATCAAACAAAATTGGGCACTTGTGGCAAGTATAAAAAGTCATATCATTTAACCTAAAATAAAATTAGTCGTTATAAAGATAATTAGACAACAGTTCATAGAAATATTAACCAAAATTTCATGTCAAACAGAAATTAAATTACCACTAACACTACAGCAATATAAAGGTACATATACTATAACAAAATTCTCTACACTTGGCACCTTATAATCAAAAGATTATATGTAAATTTAAGATAGGTAAGGCACAGAGGATTTTACTCTCGAACTGGAGCGCCCGTCTGGGAAAGCATCCTCCACCTTAAAGAAGACTATAATAAAATAACACTACCTTTTGGTGGTGTTTCTCTCTCGCGAGAGAGAAACGGCAGGATCTGACTGTGAAAGGAACCATGGAGCCAACCAACCATAAGGGCGTCAGTAAATTTAAATATCTGAGCTGTACGGTAACTGACACCAACAGAAGATAAGAGGAGATCGACACCCGTATCCAAGGCGCACTCAGATGCACAGCTGCTCTTCACAAGGTCTTGGTTTCCAAGCTATTACTAAGAAAGACCAAGATTCGGATCTACAACACAGTGATTACACCGATCTTGATGTACGGTTGTGAGGCTTGGACGCTAACCCTTAGAGAGGAGAATAAGTTGCTGGTCGCCGAAAGAAGGATTCTGCGGAAGATCCTGGGGCAGACTCAAAGAGAGGATGGCAGCTTGAGAGTGCGGACGAGCATAGAACTGGAAAATCTAGTGTCCGAGCCCAACATCATAGGAAAAATTAAAGCAGCAAGACTTCGCTAGCTCGGGCATGTAGAGGGAATGGGAGAGGATCGAGCCGTGAAAAGGGCGTATTTGGGGCGACCTGCGGGACCTAGCCCGGGATCGCAGAGCACGGCGTCATCTTGTGTCGGAGGCCAAGATTCACTTTGGATCGTTGCGCCGCAGCAGTAAGTAAGTAAGTTTGGTGGTGTTGCATTTCTGTTGGTGAGTAGGAGGATACAGTTTAAGCCGGAAAAGTTAGGATGTATGTAGCAGCACACCTTCTCCACCATCATCTATCTTCGCGACTGGACTCCACTTAAACTTAACATCAGTACCTCTAGCACGAACCATTATCGATACGAATAGTTTGCGAGTGCGAAATGTCAATGTCAAATTTTGTATGGAAACTTGAACAGAAGCGAAACAAACTACGTAACGAACTAAAAATCAGTACACATTTGACAATGACATTTCGGACTGGTACATACTGGTGGGGTGGGGTATTTTAAAAAACAAAAAATACCTGCTTCAGCGTGTAAAGAAGCAAGAGATCAGTGTCGCCCTTGATGTCTAAGTTGCGAGCGCTCAAGTCGATGCCAGGGAACAAAGCTTGCAGTTCGCTCTTGTAAGCATTGCGGGCCATTTCAACCTACGAATAATGGAAAATAACAGTTCATTGTATATATTTTTTTCGATTTATGTAACTATAACTAGTAACTTTCCCTTGACGAAATTTAAGAGCAAGCGCACATTGAGCTACTAAAGGCGGACACTAAACGCGTCCACGAGCTGTGGTCGAGTTTTTAATACATTTTGTATAACATCGTAATGTTTATATGTTCAAGAAAATATGTATATTTCTTTGTTTTATCTTGCTGACATACTGAAACTTCCTCTTCGTTTAGCTATGTTTTACCGCAAAGGTTGTCTGGAAGAGATCGCTTAAAGCGATAAGGCCGCCTTTGCCCACATTATGTTATTGTTTACTTTTTTTGTATTCTTTTGTGTGTGTGTGAGCAATGAAGTATTTATCTATCTATCTATCTAATATCAGTGCAAACTAAGCGCTCGAGTCATCGGTGGCTGCGTCTAGTAGCTTGACTCAGCCACTAGTGGCCGCCAGTAATGGCTCAATGTGCCCTTGCTCTAAAGATTTAAATAACGTATACATATATATAGGCGTGTCCTTTTTAAATAGATTGTAATTTTATCAAATTAGGTTTCAGAGGGGTCTGCCTATAACAAAACTATCACGATTTTCCAGGTAGATCAAGCCTGTTTTATTCGTTTCTGGATATTATGTGAATTCAAAATTTGCAGGAGTGACAGCCTCTATTAGTTGCATTATATTATATTTCTTAACGTGTGACATATGATTGCAAATAAAATGCATTCGCAGCTCCGCTCAACTCATCTTCACACAGCTCCGCTCGGCTCTGCACGGCTCATATTCGCACAGCTTTAATGGAAACACTTGTCTATTTACACGGCTTCGCTCTGCTCAATTACGCACAGTTCCACTTCTTTGAAACGCAACGCACCCTAAATGTGTAGATAGCTGGCAATATTTACAATCATGGACACAAAATAAAGAAGTTCATATCCCGGTTTCTTTTTAAATTGTCTTGAGCTGTCGTGTATTACCCTCGAATAAACTCCAAATAAAATTAATATATGATGCGAAACTTACATGAACTACGTAATGATAAGGTATATGACATAGTACATAACAGCATCCGTAAATAATGCTGTATTACCAATAAATGTATGGGCTTTTTTCGTTTTGCAAGAATTATATCTCCTCCTGTCGATGGATCCAATTGACCAACAATCGGAATTGGTTGACAAAATCAACATTAACGCGAGCTAATCCGCGGGCAAAAGCTAGTAAATAATAAAAATATTTATTTAGAACATTTTAAGAGAGGTAGTGCGTAGCGGATATCTTGCTCGAATTAGGTAAACCGCTTAACTGAGACCTCGCCTGCAGGGGTGAAGTGTGCTGGGGAGCTTTTTCTCGGCTTGCGTGGCAATTTTACCTTTTTTGTAGTGTTTGTTAAAATGTATCGAATTTCTTCATTAGCTTGACATTGAGAACAACAAATGAAAACCACACAATTTTCTATAGGTAGTCCGCTTAACTAAGACATCGCCTGCAGGGGTAAAGGGTGTAGGGGACATAGAGGTATAAGAATAGAGTGAGGAAAGCGGCTCTACAAATGTCCGTCTAGTATAAAGAGAAAGAACATGAGAGACCGCTAGCTATCTCTCCCTCTTGTGACGGATGGCATCCAAAGGCATCACATCGAAATAGTAAGATGCTTACGGTTGCCAATGCGCATGCGCGATTAGAGAGAGAAGAAAGCTGGCGGTCTCTCATCTTCTTTCTCTTTCTATTAGAGGGACACTTCCACATGTAGTAGAGTCTATATCTCCCCTACTCTAATCTTATACATATATGGTGGGGGAGGGCGACAACGGGTGTCATCTTAAGCGGTCTATCTATAATTTTAAATTGAAATTATCTTCTTTAAAATTTAACTTTTTAATGATACCAAAACCAGCCAGATACAAATGGTATAGCCAAAGAGATTTTATTACAAGTTCATACATACTATAATGCGAAAAGACTTTTACCCCAACCTATTATGTTCCTTATCAGGTTCTACTTCTAGTACTAGTATTACGAAAATCCCATTTAAAACTAAAGTTATTTTTAAACTTTCGCATTGCATTATAAATATATTTTACGGACTAAAACGCGCACTTCAATAAAAGTTTTCGTAGGTATCTTCTTTCGGCAAGAAACGTCAGGATAAAAAAGAACGAAAAGCTTTATTTAGTTACAAACAAGATTTTTAAACTTTAGCATTGCATTATAAATTTATTATTTTACGGACTAAAACACGCACTTAATGAAAGTTTTCGTAGGTATCTTCTTACAGCAAGAAATGTACGGGATAAATAATTACGAAAACTTATTGTCAAAAACAAGATTTTTAAACTTTCGCGCTGCATTATAAGTATAACATTTGACGGAATAAAACAATTAAAATAACACTACACAGTACACTATCCCACTTTGGAGTGAGAAATATTTAAATAATCGTCCTAATAATTATAAATGATCACCTAAAAATACAATTATAACCTTAAAGGTTAGGTTACAGCACAGCACCGAATCGTTTATCTAGAATTATTTTTTAATTTATAAGATTTCGTCCTATTTATAACAGAAATTCGACGAATGAGTACTATAATATTATTACATAGTATTAAATCACGCAAGGCTTTGGAGCAGTCCTGAAGCTGAACAAAGAAGAGATTGATAAAAGCTTTTTTATGGCAAAGGGCATCTTGTCGACTTCTCTGATTCCTGAAAGTGTTTTTTTATAAAATCGCACCAATTTTTTTCTTTAATCTTTAGCATGTCGCATACATTATGCTTATCAACAATCATCGGTGGTAGAAAGCTCGCCTGCTATGCGGGTCCGAGTTAAAATCTCAGCCAAGAAAGGATATTTTTAATATAATAGGAAAAATATATTTTATTAGGCCATATTTTCAGATACAAATTCAAAAACTCAAGGCTAACCAGGACCCTGCCTCAGCATTAGCTGATGCGACATGGTGTCGCACCAGCGCTGTTATTCTGGCCGGGCCTGTTTAGTGACACAAAAAAAATATATAATAAGGTTTAGTGACACAATAAAAATTATATTATATATATTAATGATTTTAAGTTTAACTTTGCATTGTGGTTTCATAAAACCACACCAATTTAGTTTTTTCTTTTAGTACACACTTTTTTGTTGGTATTAAATACATGGATAATAAAATACAACAAAAACTTTACCTTATTCCAGTACTTATCGCTCAGCACCGATTTCTCGTATTCGTCTTTGTAAGCTTTCTCAGCGACCGCTAAGTCGGTTCGGAACTGTTTTATGTATCTCTGAGTGGCTGTTATACTTTCTGGGGGAGCTTGGACACCGGCCTTTATCATACGATCGAGGGTGTCTGAAAGAAAATTTGCAGTTAAATTTTGTTTGAAGCATTAAAATGTAAGATTTTAGGTAGGCGTGTACCATCCTAAGACTCATAATCGCTTCCCATCAGGCGAGATTGTGGTCAAACGCCTTGCCTATTAAACTTAAAAAAACAAAAAAAAATAGGCTATTTGCCAGTGTGATAATAAATAAATGATCAATTATTCCCTAGGATTGTTGGAGCTTAAAATTGCGTCACACGTGTGTAACACATTTGCCTACCAATTTTTAAACAAAAACTTGTTGTCCAAGTGAAAATATGCTGGACCGTTACTAGTTATCCAGTCTGCCTCGCTTCAATGTACATTATACAATGCTCTCAGACGGACAAACCTTTTGTTTAAAATACCTGTCTAAGTTGCATGAAAACCCATTCAGTAACTGTTTAAAAATAGAATGGTAATAATAATAATAGTTTATTTGCAGAAATATGGTTGCAAAAGGTATTATATCATTAATTTCCTACATATTTCTGCTGAACATCAGCCGGCAAAAAAAGAATCTGATCTTGCCATGAGTCGCTAAAGCAATCGTAACAAAAGTACCAAATTTAAAGTTAATAAAGTGGTCTCTGAGCTTGATCAATCATAGAAAATTTTCTAGAAGCTTCAATGCAAACATCATTGATCATTTTATATCATTGATATCATTTTATTATTAAATATGTTTCTTATGCTTTCACGCACACTACTCATTAAACCTCTCAGCTGTATAGCCATCTACTTTGTTTTTCACGGCCGGAAAATCAAAAACTTTGCTGGCCAAATTTCCTCTTATTATTTGAATTCTACTGTACATCCAGGCTTCATTTACATCTTAAATCAATCCTGAAAAGTTTCTCAAAAAGCTTATCTATAGATAAGATGTGTAAATTAAAAACCATTACTAAATATGATAAAACGCAAAATAATTTTCTCAACCGCTGGCAGAAATCATCCACTTACACCGCACAGGGCAAGAACAATTTTTGTTTTTAATTCGCAGAAAACTAATCACAGGCTGCTCAAAAACCATCTGTTTTTTTTTTTATAACAGATGCAACAAATCACCAATTTCTTTGTGGTTTAGTAAATTACAAGTTGTCACTTACCTATAGCCATTTTGGCTTTGGAGATGGCATCCTGTGCCTTTGTTGCTGCTTTGTCGCGCGAATCTTTAGCGCCTTGCACATTCACATAGTACTTCTTATCCAAATCGTCTACAGACAACTCGACAATCTGATAAAAACATAATAATTATTATTTTCAGCATTAAACTGCTAAATTTATAAATCGAAAAAGGTTATTTCTAGAACAAATTTTTCAACAATACTTATTTGTAATTATTTCAACTTCAATAATTACAACTACAGTTACATATTCATCTGATAATGAAGACAATCTCAACTTCATCATCATCAATCACACGGGTCAAGACAATAGGGTTGATGACTAACTTTTTTTTCTTTGTCTATCTGATTATGATTGATAATATCATTGTAAAAAGTATTGGACACGTATTTTTTCTTTATCCACATAATTTAAACACTACAGGGATTGAACATCACGTTTTGGTACAATTTTTACTTAGAAGTGACGTCACCCGTGTGAAGTGAGCCCCCACTACCAAAATTTGCTGCGCTTTATCTCTGTAATTTTGTAGTTGATAGATAATGAAAAAATAAGTGTCCATTCTATTTTGACAATCTCACTGACGGAATAAATAGAATTTCGTTTAATTTACCCTGTCATCATCCCTATTTATGCGATGCGCGACCTGTGAAGTATTATAATCGGCCATATAAACATTTATAAAAATCATAATAATAACTTAAAACTAGTTTTTACGGGTTAATGCACGAAACTTTATTTATTTATTGACGTTTCGTAGCCCTTACAGGCTACGTCGTCAGAATTAAACTTTTATTTTAAAACTAGTTTTATTTAATGAGTGATGTGCGTGAAAACCTAAGAAACAAATAATAATAACAGATAAATGCATACACTTTAATAGACCTGCCCCCCTAACATGAGCACCGCGATATGTTATATGGCTCGTTTTTATCACGTTCAATCGTCAAATTACTACGGCGTTTGACAGTTAGACGATAAAAAACGCGATATAACGTAAATTGAGGTACTCATACTACAGGGACACACATTCCTTTTTTGGATAAAACTAGCATATTTAATAGATATTGCCGTACCTGCTACACACAATTTGCAAACTATTACTGAAAAAATACATAAATACACAGAGCTCAAACAAGAAATTCTTAGTACATCGTACATCGTGCCTCTGGTACTCTCGAACACAGGAATTATACCAAAACAACTACACATAAGTCTTAATCCATTATACCTCCCATAAATACATACATCACAATGCAATTAAGCCCCAAACTTTAACAGTTGTAGGATAGTTAGAAAGTTTTTAAGAGAGGAATAAACAATATATGCCATCAGATACTTAGCACAGCCCATACAGATTGTTTAAAATCAGCCTCAAGCTGAGAAAAAAAGAAACCAAAATATGTAATAATAATAATACCTTGTACAGCGCCTTGTTATAATCCGTACAGTATTTAGTGGCCTCCTTGAAATAGTCTATGGCCAGTTTGGTGTTCTCGTGCATATCATGTTCAAGTTCTACCATGTCTTTAGTAATCTTGACTGGCGGCAGCTGTTGGGGTTCGCATTTCTCTGTCTTTATCAAAGTTGCTGAGGACAATAACAAAAGTATTTGACAATAAGATAGAAATTACATTCATAGGTTTACATCATAAAACAAATCAGCTCTATTAATTAATTTTAGTATAAGATATTGGCACTTGATTTCGTTCATAGCATGACTTATTTTCAATAAATAAAATACCCTATTGCAATGCTGTAAATTTCTTTTCATGACAAACCTAACCTTTTCTTCATTTAAAATCCAATTTATCTCTCCAACAAGATTCATTTAGAACAGGCCAGAAGTTGTTACACATTGTCAAAATTAGTCTTAAGTTTAAGGATTCATGCCTTAATTAGGCCCAATAAATAATAAACAAAGACATTAGTGTGCCTCGTGTACACTCTTATTAACGTATTGGATAATATAAACGCATTTAGTAGTTTTTTCATTTTACTCAAAAGTACACACGCACCTTCCGTCTCCACTTCCGGTGTTTCTATCTTCTTCTCTTCCACATACAAAGGTTCGAAAGATGGCGGCGGCACTGTTAGAGTAAGTTAAACCACACATAGTTAAACGATGATCTCGCATGAGTTAAATGAGGCAGTATTAAATCTATAACAATGAAATGAATAGGGTATTTGACAACTTTTTGCAAAAGATCTTACCCTATTTAATAATGTTTATAGACTCCATACAAAGTGGTTCTTTATCACCTTGTTGCGATTACAGTAAAAAAAAAACAAATCAAAAATTCTTTTCTATTTTCTTTCGCTACGAGACGTTTCTCAGGCTGTGTAATATGGCTTATTTACCTATGTGTGAAGTCGCTTTGACCGGAAGTTAACACGCGTGTGACATAATTTTAGGCTCCGCCAATCCCAAGCGTTTTCGGTCACGTTACAAAAGATAAAATTATTAATATTTTTTCCGGAAATAGTAGTAAAAACCCCTGTCAATATATTCTAAATACAGATGTCAAGAATTGGCCCTTTATCTTTAATGCTGTCAAATACCCTATTAGGGAAATATACACTGAATAAAATTAATTAATATGAAATATGTTTCTTTTAAGTTTTGAAATATTTATGGTTGTAAAGCAGAAGCAAATTGTTATTGTTCAAGTAGTTAACACTAATCTTACATTGGTAATCCTTTTTGGCAAATCCTTTAGCAGCATCTTCGTCCAAGTTTTGCTCAGGTTTCTGTTTGAAATCCATGGGAGATACGCCTTCCTAAAGAACAAAGAAAGCTATTATGTAAACATTGTTCTATTATATATAATACTAGCGGACCCGACAGACGTTGTCCTGTCTACACGTCTTTGTGAATCTAAACCATTCTCAGATCCCCTTGAACACACACAAAAAATTTCATCAAAATCGGTCCAGTCGTTTAAGAGAAGTTCAGTGACATACACACTCACAGAAGAATTATATATATAACTAGCGGCCCGCCCTCGCTTCGCTTCGGTGTAGAGCTGAAGTGTAGACTACAGTTTTTGTTCTCAGGCTTGTTTTATACACAATGACATTCATCTATGATTATTCTTATACCTGCATGCAAAGTCTCAGCCCGTTCGGTTTTAAAATTGACAAACTTTCATACAAACTTTCATTCCCTATTTTATCCCCTTGGGGGTAGAATTGATCAAAATCCTTTCTTAGCGGATGCCTACGTCATAACATCTACCTGCATGCCAAATTTCAGCCCGATCCGTCCAGTGGTTTGGGCTGTGCGTTGATAGATTACTACGTCAGTCAGTCACCTTTGAGTTTTATATATATAGATTATAAAAAAACTGAAGATAGTATATTTATCTTTTCCAAACTTCTATTGACATCACGTCGCTCAATTGTTTTGCCTTCCCAGAATCTCTCCACTAACATTTGAAATTTATGGTATGGTATTAAAGTTCAAATTGACTTTTAAGTATTATTACGAATCGTTTGTATGGGAGTAAAGAAAAGTTTTGTTTTTTGACATTTTCAGGCATTTTTTTTAATTTTTCTCTTCGTAAGAACCATCCTCGTACTTCAAGGAATATTCTAAAAAAAAATCAGCCAAATCGGTCAAGCCGTTTTCATGTTATGTCGTGACAACGGAAAACGGGTTTCATTTTTATATATATAGAAGATATAAAATTCTCGTGTCGCGGTGTTTGTGGTTAAACTCCTCCGAAACGGCTCGACCGATTTTCGTGAAATTTATATGAATATTCAGTAGGTCTGAGAATCGGATTCTATTTTTCATACCCCTAAATGTTAAGGGTAATCCACCCCTAATTTTTTTTTTAATTTTAGATATATATTTTTTTTTTTTTATGATACAGCATCAGTAAATATATATAACCCTGAATTTTCAACCCTTTACAATCAACCCCTATTTTACCATCGCGATTTTTATTTTTAATAACTTCTTTTTTTTTATCATTTCAATTTGTTCTTCCGCCTTCACCGGTCGATAACCGATCAACGATCAATCGATCAGTTATCCCCGCTAGATGTCTACCTGGGTCACCTCTCATCCAGCAAAAATCACGGAGTAGGGATGAGAAGGAAGCCGGTCTCCTGTCTTCCTCAATATACAGTTTTCGGCCATTTTTTTTGGTTTCATTTGTTTATCGATCGTAGCAGTGACTTATACGTATTATTTTAATTTTTCTCTGCATCTATTACGTTAATTTTACTCTCATTAATTTCCAGTGCATTAATTATTTTTTCACATTTTATTAATAACTGATAAAGACAGTTTTAACTATTAGCCGAAACGGCTCTAACGATTTCGACATGTTTTCCATCAAACCCATGTAACCTGTGGCACAAATACAAGGATAATATGTCAGAAGATATTTTACATCAAATTCGTGTCAGTTCCAGAAATCACGATATTGAGCTGAATGAGGAGATACATAATCGTGCTTTACTCTTGATCGAAGATATGTGTTACCTCATGTGCGGTAATTTATTAATCAGGTTAGGAATGCCAGCGCCATATCGTGAAATGAATGACGCATTTAATCGAGAATTGGAACGGGAACGTGAATATGATCACCAGGAATTAGATTTAGTAGTTCAAACGAATGTACCCCTGTTGAATTACCAACAAAAGGAAGTTTATGATACTTTAATGAAGGCAATCGATGATGAAAATGGTGGTTTATATTTCCTAGATGCCCCTGGTGGAACTGGCAAGACATTCCTCATGTCATTAGTTTTAGCAACTGCTCGGGCGAGATCCAACATAGCGGTTGTAGTTGCTTCTTCTGGAATAGCAGCCACATTGCTAGAAGGATGCCGTACGGCTCATTCAGCATTAAAATTACCGTTAAATCTTCTAACTATTGAAGAACTAACGTGTAATATTGCAAAACACTCAGCAATGGCCAAAGTTTTAGCGGCATCGAAAGTCATCATCTGGGACGAATGCACAATGGCGCATAAACGTGCATTAGAAGCACTTAACCGAACATTAAAAGATTTACGCAATGACTCGAGATGTTTTGGAGGAGCAATGATTTTACTGTCTGGCGATTTCCGCCAAATACTGCCAGTAATTCCAAGATCTACGGCTGCCGACGAAATAAACGCTTGCCTCAAATCGTCAAATCTATGGCGCTATGTGAAGAAACTGCAGCTGACAACAAACATGAGAGTTACATTGCTTAATGATACATCTGCTGAAGATTTCTCGGAGCAATTGCTGACTATCGGTAATGGTCAAGTACCTGTCGATGAATCGAGCGGATTAATATCATTTCCAAATAATTTCTGTAATTTTGTCTCATCAAAAGACGAACTTATCAACAATGTATTTCCAAACATTATTTCTAACTACAAAAATAATGAATGGTTGAGTGAGCGAGCAATTTTAGCGGCTAAGAATAAAGATGTAGATGACCTGAACTACATAATTCAAAATAACATCATTGGAACAATGCATTCATTCAAATCTATTGACTGCGTCACAAATGAAGATGAAGCCACCAACTATCCAATTGAATTTTTAAACTCTTTGGACGTGCCTGGCTTACCACCGCACAATTTACGCCTAAAGATTGGCTCCGTAGTAATCATGCTTCGAAACATAAACCAACCAAAACTGTGCAACGGTACGCGTTTGGTGGTTAGAAAATTGATGAACAATGTAATTTACGCTACGATAATCTCAGACCAAATAAAAAGTATAGACGGAGTCTGCCGAACCAAAAAGTGAAGCCGATAAAACTACGCCTCGCCGTGTACATACACAGTTACACGCACACACATGCAACGAAACTACGCCTTGGCTTCTCAGTCGAGCTATCCCGACGCGCGGAGTGTGACGTAATAATAAATAACAATATTTATTAGAGAAAATGCCGAATTGTGTAGTGAAAACGTGTAAAAACCAATCTTCCAAGAATAAAAAACAGGATGGAATCACATTTCATACGTAAGTAAAGTTATAAACTGCTATTTTCAATTAATCAAAATCAAATTTGAAGTTGTCGCTTTGTAAACAAAACCTGAACGAAATGTTGCCATGATTATTCGTTACAGTTTTACCCTTTTGTTGGGTAGCGTGAAATATAACGTAACGTTATTTTATTAAATACATTGTGTGGCATACTTTTATATTATTCGAATATTGTAATGCATGGATAAACAATTACACGAAACATCTTTTTTCTTTATGTATTCGTATAAATTTTATACGTTTTTTTTACGATTTCCTAATCGAGATCAAAATCTAAAAGAGAAGTGGATTGCAGTCATTCGTAAGAGTAGAAATGAACCATTGTGGCAACCAGCTTCCCGCAGCGTGGTTTGTTCGACTCATTTTCAGAGCGACGATTTGTAAAATAATAATATATTTGTAATTTTATTTGTATTGTACTTTTTAATGGCCTTTTTGACCCAAAATTCGCGATGTTTGTGGATTTATTTTATTATGTTCTTGTATAGGAACTAGTGATTATATTTTGTGTATTCTATAGAAAATTTCATGTACATTTTAATAAAAGAAACTGTTTATCAACATTTGTATATGCTTTTCGTTTTATCGACATAAAGTTGAGATGACTGATTTGTAAGCGATTTCAAGTGCCTTGTTGCGAGTGCTTGAAACTATAAAATGAACAAACCTATTCCATCCGAGACTTGTAACTAAAGTAAAATAAACAATCCAACATAATTAAACGTCAACACATAAATCAAGGCACTTGGATCTCGCATTTGTTTTTATCAACACTTGAAACACGACCATTTTTTTCTGTTGCGTGTTATATTTTATAATTATATTTGGTAAGTTATTATATACATTCATTCATATATAGTACATTCTATATGTACAAAAACCTGGATTTATAATTTACAAATTTTGAAAATATACCTCATTTTACCTATTTAAACGACTTTTTTTATCTTTCCTGAGTTTACCATAATGTAATTAAAATAAATTATAGACATGACGCATTGTGTACACACTGTTTTATTGAAAATTTTATGGAGAATCCAAATATACGTTTGTGAAGGATATTTTTACAAAATAACAGAGAAATCGGCAGAACAATGCAATCGTTCCCACCCAGCGGGCGGGCGGTCCATAAAGAAGTCCGGCACTTGTAGGTGAGAACGGCGCATGACCTTTGGCTCACGAGAGGTTTAGAGAATAAGCTTACGATATTTTTTTCTAATATTTTATAACGTTATTAATAACGTTATGAAATAACGTTATTACATTTTTCTAATATTGGGGTGTTTTATATGACTATGGTAACACTGGCTAATGCACTACATACATAAAAAACAGGCTTCACTTTTTGGTTCGGCAGACTCCGTCTTTACTTTTTATTTGGTCTGAGACGATAATGATAGGAAAATTCAAAGGTGAGGAAGTTCTTATTCCGAGGATCCCGATGATCCCAACCGATATGCCGTTTGAATTTAAAAGAATTCAATTTCCGATACGTCTTGCATTTGCCATGACCATCAACAAATCACAAGGCCAATCCTTAAAAGTTTGTGGTTTAAATCTAGAACATTCATGTTTTTCCCATGGTCAATTATACGTGGCATGTTCAAGGGTCGGAAGACCATCTGCGTTGTTTATTTTTTGCGCCTGATAATAAAACAAAAAATGTCGTGTATCACAAGGTACTTAAGTGAAGAGGAACCTATGTACTAAAATACAGAAATAATAATGAATGATTAATGTAGGTATTTATTTTTTTTGTATTATTTCCAATAAAAAAAAACACAATCTGCTTATTTATTGCCATTAAGGCGGAACAAAGTTCGCCGGGTCAGCTAGTTACTTATAAAATTGTTCACACAGAACAGTTTGATAAATAATAAATTCAACATAGTGCGTGCTAGGCTTAACTACAATTCATAGCAATTCTGTGCAATTTTTTCTTTTTCACTTAAGCTAAAAAAATGTTGATCTAATTTAAAATATCACTATTTCTTCAACATCGAATTTAAACGAGTTGAGATAGAATAATACATATTGTAAACTTTATTTAAAAACTTGGTACTTCTGATAGTGCACTTGACTCATATTTACTATTTCAAAATATGTTTTGAATATTGCATATCAACTCTTTATTTACTCTTTCAAACAAACCCAATAAGAAAAAATACCTTTCCAAACATAAAATTGCCAATTGACTTGGAGACTTTGTTGAACTGGTTAGTGGTGAACTTCCAGTAGGTAGTGTTCTCCTGGTATACGAGCGCCACAAAGTTGTTAGCCCAAGGGGCGTTTGACTCTAACCAGTTTCGCGCATCGGGACTGCTCCTATAACAATTAGACATTGAAAGATACTTTCTACTCTTCGTAGCAGCGATTTTGTTGATGACCATCATTGAAAGATCTTTAGTAACATGCTTTCTGGATAACTTTCGCAAATGTCAGTCATGCGACCAAAAATGTATTAACTAGAGCTCGCTTACATTACGCATTTGGTCCCTGCTGCATTTGCAGTCGTTAGTACACATCAATCAGCCAATGCTCCAGCGAAGTGAAGTGCAGATATTAATAGACTGATGAATTTTTAATGAAAGATTATTAAATGCAGGAGCTTGGGTGACAGAACTGATCATACAATTTGGCACGCATAATAACGCATGTTAGAGTTGAGAAAAACACCCATAACATTCTCTGAATGAATTTTGTAGTCCAAACCAAAAGTTTTACTAACTTGGCATAAACGACGGCGGCACCGGTGAGCATTGTAGCGCCTATAGTGCCCCACAGCAGCTTCCTAGACTTGGGTTTCACCTGCGATCCAGGCGGGCACTTGTTGTCATTGTGCGCGAACCGCCTGGGCGCCCTCATCACTATCAGAGCTGCGCATGATCCATCGCCTAGCTGTTTCCTCACCTGATGTACGAAAAGAGGAGTTAACTCCCAATGAATGAGGTGCAGACAGCACCACCGGTTGCTAAACCTCATTGGTTTGAAAGACAACTAACATACAAACATGACAAATAAGGACCTTGATACTATTTTGTAAAACTAAAAACATGTAAAGATAGCAAATTGAACTCAAAGAACAAAATAAAAAAATATGTAAAATTAATGAGGACCTTTGTTGATAATGTTAATTGAATTAGTCTAACTACATACACTAAATACTACTGCTACTAACAAGAGTAGCAGTAGTATTTATTTTACTTTGATGTGCTATGAAAACTTGCTTTTTTCATTAAACAAACTATTATAAATATTTCCTTTGTAGTATTTTTTAATATTTCTATTTTATATTTATTGTATTGTCATCATTTGTTAATGTTTGGGCAACGTTACAATTTGGTCTGACATTTTGAAGTGGGTGAAAATCACATTCAGATATTCTATTGTATAAAGGTCAGGTAAATAAAAGCATGAATATTATATTTATGTTGAGTTATGAGTCTGAGAGTTTGTCGGTAATCATAATTTGCAAGTTAATTTGATCCACTTGCAGTATTTAAATAAGCTTGATATTACATTTTTTTAAATTACATTCTAATTACATTAGTCAAACAGAGGTGCAAAATATCAAGATGATTATCCAGCCATTGGTTAATAATATAATTTGTGTGAATAAATAATAAATAAAAGATTTTAGTTTTAATTCTAGGTATTATTTTAATTTATTACTAGTGGCCTGCCTTCGTCGCGTCGCTTTGGTGTAGAGCTGTAGTGTAGACTATAGTTTTTGTTCTCAAGTACTTGTACGTAATAAATAATACAAGTCATAACATTTGTAAAAAAAAGCTTTTTTTTTTTAATAATGATGATGATTTTAATAATCATGAGTTGACCTACTTTGAGGAATAATTTTATAAATTGTGACTATATTACAAGCATATGCACACTTTATGATAAGACAATGTTGATTTTTAAATAATTAAAATCAAGGTGATACCTATTTTATGATAATCTTTGAATGACTCCATCCATTATCTCAATGTCACCCATGTTAAAAATAATTATTTTAAACATTACATTAATAAAAACTGACATTACATTAAGCCATTTCGCATGCAACACTACATAAATCTTCGATACTAATGTAAGCCTATGTCGCAAACATCTGTAATGGGTGGTCCCTACACACAACATTGAATCGCAAGATGCCAGTTGTCTGATCTTGTAGGCTTAGCGGCAACATGGATTTTATAGAACTAATAACCTTAATAGCAAAATAAAGAAGTGCCAAGGAAGTCGAAAGTACTTCTACTTTAACTAGTTACTATGCTTAATACCCCAACCAGTTAAATTAGCCTTTGCTACTAAAACCCAAGCTTTTTCTGTAATATCCATTTTAAAGAAACATGGATGTTAGTCAAACTTTAGATGTTATTGGCCATCATGGAAATCGCAGCGTCATTTATAACGGCGATCTCAGTTGGCAGGTAGCGCGCGATTTAGCGTTTTGTGTCGGCGTCGAAATGATCAAAATTCCGGGGCCTGGTTCCTGGGTAAGTTTCTCTGTAAATTTGTATTGCGGTAGTCGCTTAGAGACAAAAATCGTCGGGCATCGGAGATTAGCGTAACGTTGTGTACGAAGGGCCTAATAATAGTTTTTTTCGCTGACTATTAGAAATTTATTTTAGCAAAAAATCATACTAAAAGTTATTGTTACAATTTCTATATAAATATTAATATTTGCAGTAAACTGCAGTTGGCAACAGCTAGGTGTAAGAGACTTTTAGGTTATTTATGATTATGACGTCCCATGATTGTTATGTAAGGCATAACAATACAAAGATATAAAAAACAGTTTCCGTAACAAGCTGTACTAAATCAATATGATAATCATATTACGTATGTTAAATACTGGGATAAATTCCCGAAAATATCCTTCCAAATGTTCAAAACATACGAAAACTAATGATGATTGCAACGTTGGCTTAGCTATATTATATGAGGAACAGTTTGGAGTTCCGTCAAACAACATGATCGAAATATAAAGATTTTCGCAAATACATACCAAAACCAAATTAGCATTTGCTAAATGATTCGTAAATTTGTACATTTTCGGCACTGAATCTCTTTCCACTTGGGCTGTCAAAAATCAGAGACTAAATTTTTGCCACAGATTCTAGATTTGTTTCACGTTTTAGTGCAACCAAAAAAACAATCTGAATCATTATCTTGTAAATGTATGAAATTATGATTATTGGAACTCTGAAAATTGTTTTTGCCATTTAGTTTTGAAATAAACATAAAGCCACTTCAATAAAGTTAAAATGAAACGTAAATGTTTGTATTAATAATAAGTCGATAATTAGTCCTCAGTCGATTGCTACCGATTATTATATAATTTAAGTCTCTTCACTAGTAAAAAAAATATCACTAACCTTTCTGTAAGAAAATGTTTCGATATGCAATTTCAGGTAATAACAAAAATTTCGTAAATCCGTAACAATACAAAATACTCTGGTTTATCTCCTAGTGCGTTGTTGTTTTTACAATTTTATATTTCTTGCTATTTTGATACTTTGTTGACCAAATTGGTGAAGTTTGTTTTGAGGTTATTTCATTATTTTTCAGGTTTACGTGCTATGCGGCCTTTGACAACCCAGTATTATAAAGTGGCCAGGATCATTTTCAACGATTCTAAAAGTTATGTTACTAATGCAACCTTACCAAGAAATATCCAGTCAGGCCCAACATTACTAAAAGGATCCTTGTTTAACAATAGGCAAATACTGGATATTGCAAATAATATTAATTCAACGCCTGTAAGAACTGTCACTAAATTTAGTCTTAATAAAGGAAAACGAAAGACAGCTAATCAAGTCGTAAAACGGTTCTTTAGACTCCACTGGGGAGCGTGGATAAGACCTAAAGTTGGTAGACAAAAGAAATTATGGAAAAAATCTTCCGCACAGAGAAGACGTTTGAGACAACATGTCTTTTGCACAAAAACACAAAGTAGAATGTTGGACAAAATGGTCACTAAATTCTGGAAAAGGCCCAAGTATTATGTTGATGATCCCTATGCACCATACCATACCAGAGAGGAGTACTATATGACTAGAAAGAAGCCTATTATTAGAGAATAACAATAAGGAATACAGGATAGCTGTTCATCTACAAAATAATGAAATAGATTATTGAGGTGTAAAAAGTGTTTTATTATGGATTTTATTTTAAACATGTTATTTCCAAAATTGCGATTTTTTGTTTGGAATTAATTAAATATTTCAAACAACATTTTAAGAACTAAATGTAAAGTTTATCTACTTGTAATATATAACAGACAAACTTTAAAATTAGTTCTTAAAATATTGTCTGAATTGCTTGTTTTTTTTTTAATTTATCTCATCTAATATATTAAATTCTCGTGACGCGGTGATTGTGGTTAAACGCCTCCGAAACGGCTTGACCGATTTTCTGATTTATATGCATATTCAGTAGGTCTGAGAATCAGATGTAATCTATTTTTCATCCCCCTAAATGTTAAGGGTAATCCAACCCTAAATATTTTTTTTTCAATTTTAAATAATTTTTTTTTATGATACAGCATTAGTAAATACATACAACCCTAAATTTTCACCTTTCTACCACCAACCCCTATTTTTTTATGGCGGTACGAAGTGTTTTTTCGTTATATAGTGAAAAGCTCTTCCACTGTTTCCTTTTGTTTATTTGTTGTTAATTTTTCTTTGTATTCTAGATATAAATGCTGATTCATTATTAATACACCCGTGTGAACCCGGGACGGGCCGCTAGTAGGTATATATAATTTCTGTTTGTCAAAATTATTATTTCTATTTTAAAAACTGCGCAGCAGGTTTAGAAACAGAAATCCTATAGGTAATTAATTACTATGTAGTACTGTGGTCCATTCTAATACATACATGTGATGATTTAATTAATTTTAAATTTAACTTTTAGGTACATCCTAATTATGAATAAAAATGTTGAAATGGTATAACAAACATAAGTTTTTCCAACTGGATAGCGGATGATGCAGGTTCGAATAAAAAGTCAAAATATCTTTATTAAAATTGGATGCACAATACAACTCTTTTGAATCATCCATATTTTTTTTCTACCATCAGATAAGGACATTTTTTTTGGCTGTGGAGAAAAACTGGTGAATAAAACTTCAGTGTTTAATAATTATTTAACAATATTTACAAAATATTATATTGTTACCGTGTCAATACAAAATCATATCATCTTCATCAAAATTCTAGAAAAATCCAGCTGGAACGTTTAGAACAGTTTAAACCCAAGTATTTTTGACTAAAATCTAATCAGACAATTTATAATATTATTATCACGGGCATGAAAAAAGATTATTTATCACACTAATATTATAAAGGCGAAAGTATGTGAGTGTGTATGTTTGTTACTTCTTCACGTCTAAACGGCTGGAGCGATTTTAATAAAATTTGGTTTGGAGTTAGCTGACACCCTAGATTCACACATAGGCTACTTTTATCCCATAAAAATGTAAGGTTCCAGAGGGATTTTCAAGAGACTAAGTTAACGCAGACGAAGTCGCGGGCGACCTCTAGTTAATAATAATCACGGCCCTTTTTTTCTGGTCCGTGATTATTATTAATAAGAAATCTTTTATTGGTAGTTTTAAATTAATTGACGCTTAATTTTTGGGACTTTATTGTAGAAGCGTACACAAAGACCTTTAAATGAATTATTGGTTTTGTGGAGCCTTGTAATTCGTACAGCTGATTTATTTTTATTTCTAGTATTAAGCGAGTGCTTATCACTTTTTATAGGAAATAACGCAATAGTTTTCGGAAAATACATTGAATTTTCATAAATGTACTGAGAAGCAGCAGTCATTTTATCTTTCCTTTCTATCCTTTCTTCTTTCCTAGTGTAATGCCTAAGAATACTGTAGTGTACACAAGGTCCATATTCTTATCTTTGATAGTTATTCAGGTTTGTGTCTGCTTTACATTAGGTAATAAAAAAATTAAACATTTAGTTTTACCTTCATTAGGAAATAAATTATTAGAATTAAACCAGTGGACTACTTCAGAAATGGCATTTTTCACATCACCAATAAGTGGTTGCTTACGTTTATATTTAAATAAAAGTGGAGTATCATCTGCAAACAATACTATCTCGTGATTATCCCTAACAAAGGAAGGTAGGTCATTTATTTAAATTAAAAACAAGCAAGGACCAAAAATCGAGCCCTGTGGACCACCCGCCTATACTAACGAACTCAATAAAAGTCTTTCGAAGGTCGCTTGACAAACTAAATAAAAGTTTGATTCTGACGACGTAGCCTGTAAAGGCTACGAAACGTCAATAAATAAATAAAGTTTCGTGCATTAACCCGTAAAAACTAGTTTTATTTGATGTGTGAGTAGAGTTTCCATCCGTCCGGATTAGTACGGACATGTCCGGATTTCTAGACTATAGACCGGACTTTGTCTGGATTTTTAAAATTAAATTGAATATGAATAATAAAAGTACAGCTTGATTTAAATACCATACCATTATAACTAAGTGAGTAATGGTACCATTTTCCATTTTTTTCGAAATGTCAGAATTTTTGTCAGGAAGTTTGAAATTCCTAAATGGTAACCCTATCCGTGAGATCTTTCCCATTGATGTCAAATTCTCTGGATCCTATCGCTCAAATATTACATAATGAGATTCGGAGTGATACCTTTAAATCCATAGTGGCGTAGTTTCCTGATTAATGTTTCATGAAAAAACGTCTGAATCCCCCGTCTTACAGCAGGACCAAATGGTTTTTTTTTCTAGTAAATTTTCTTTAGACATAAAATGTAGCAGTTAAGGCGTTATATTATAAATACTCATATAATAACAAACGAAATTAACGTCATAAACCAAATATAAACAGAAATAATTTCATTAAATATTATTATTTATTTATAAAAATAATGTGAACGCGACCATAACTATCAGTCTGTTGATTTTCACAAGTCTAGAGATCTGTTAATGAGGCCATGAGAACCATAGTGGCCTGACTCATGTTTTTACAATATTGAGTTTATGATGTTTTCCAGTTCAAATAATCATTTTGATAGAACCAGAGTGGTCTAAAAGTGATACAACGAATATTCACTAGATGGCAACATAATCACTGTTACGGTTTTTAGTCTGTGATCTAAATTTGAGGTGATATACTGGCCTAAGTAAGATAGGCCACTCAAAGAGGCCACTATGGTTAAAAAATGAGTATGGATCTCATGGCCTCAAATGTAAACATTTTTTTTATTGATTTCCTAAATCACTTAGTTCAAGCCCAAGTTTATGTCGACGATCCCTTTACACCATTCCTTACCAGAAGGGAGTACTATATCACTAGAAAGAAGTCTCTTATAAATATAAGCGATTAACATTAAGAAATTTGTAATAGCTGATTGTCTCCAAAACAAAATTAAATAAACTGGGACAGTTGCCGCTAAGATAGTCAGTGTTCTTCGGTTTACATCGTCCATGTTGCACTCTGTTGGAACAGTATTAAATCCAGCCTGTAGACATTCATGAATAACCTGAAATCAATTACTGAGGAGTGTAAAACAATTTTGAAAAACATGTTAGTTTCAAAATTGATATTTTGTATTTGGAATTAATACAATATTTTAAGGACTGATTCTAAAGTTTACTTTTTTATAATATAAATTTCTATTGGAATGGCTAGACCCACTATCTGAATTTTTTTTTTTTATTAATAAAACCTAGTATATAGTTTTTGATAAAAATAATTTTTATTTGCATTATAAATACTTTATTTAATTGCATTTGGTATGAAAATAAAAATCCTATAGGTAAATAATTACTATTACTATGGTTCATGCTATAATTTATTAATATATACCCTGAACGCGACCGTAACTATCAGCTGATTTTGGTTTTTTTATTATTCTCCCTTTTCAGGGACAGCAAATGAAATAATGCCCATGCAGCCTCATCTTTAGTTTTAAAATTAATCTTTTTTTACATTAGAATGTCGGTGTGACTTATTTTAATGTTTCTTGAGTGTTTGGCACGAAATATATCAAGTTAGCTTTTTCTATAAGCTTCTGTGAGTTAGTCAATACTACAATAAAGTTCTCACGTCCGCTTAACTGGAATAGTGTACATATATTTTAAAGACTTCATTAATTATTCAGTTGCGCAGATGGTTGTAACACAAAATCACATTAATTTTATTTCACAAAATCCACTATGAACGAATTTATGAATAATTAAATTATGACGCTAACCGCCCTCGATGAAATCCCGCCTAAAATTCTCTCAGCTGATTTTGACATAAATCTACAGATCTGTCACTTTCAAAATGTCAATACCAGCTTTTTTTGATTGAATGGAGGAAGATAAACAAATTGAATTGAAAAGCCGCATAGGAATGAAATTGTATCAAGATTAGCGTCCGCCGGCAGAAACTTTGTCTTGTTACGTAACACCAAACTGTTTACGTAATTCCCTAATAAAATAGTGACGTAAAATAACCTTGAAAGATGAGTGGAACATTGATATTTGGACGTACGTTGTCGCATATATCGTATATAAAAAGCCGGTTTTTAACTAAAGAGTGTTTCAATAAGTGTGCGACATTGAAATCAGTTAGATATTTTTCGGTGACAGCAAGTAAAAAAATGAAGTTGGTACAATTTAGCTACAACGACAAGCCGGGGCAAATTCGCGTTGGATATGTGGAGGGAAATGGCGTAGTAGACCTAAACAAAGTAGATAATGCCCTTCCCAATAACCTACTGGGGGTATTAAAGAATGGAGACTTGGAAAAAGTTAAAAAGTAAGTACTTACTTAACTTTGTTATAACTGGTATTCAATTTTGCTCCAGTACGAAATAAACTTTTGACTTCTCTTCTATTTTTTCTATTGCTATATTGTGACTGCCACTAATTCTACCAATATCACGAAGGTGACCACTATTTGACTTGGTGGGATATTTCAGGTACATTAAGTTTTGAACAGTACTGTTCTTGTTATTTAGTTTAGAAAATTCATTGATATTCTTATTGTTAGCCAAACTTATTACTATAACAAATATTTTCCCAAGGTAATAGTAATGACTTGCTATTTTTTACATTGACACTGATAATTTGTTAACAACTAAGTAATTCATAAATTATGTGCTTTGCTTAAGTGTCAACAAGCATTAAAAAAACCATTATTTGACACCACTAACATGTAATATGGAAACTGAAATAAATATTCAACAGATTCTGATACTGAAATGAGGCAACGCAACACCACCCCACCTGATTTTAAGTGTTAGTGTAATTCAGTTGTGAAGATCGATGATGCAGTAGAAGGTATGCTGCTCCAGCCATCTTCACCTTGCCGTCCTGAACCCAAGCCCCCTCTACTCACGGGCGGCAACCCCTTCACCACCAAAAGGGAGTGTTATTTCACTGATGGCTTCTGTAAGATTTAGGTTGCTTCCTCAGACGGGTGCTCCAATTTGAGTGGAAAATCCACTATGCCCTAACTCTCTTTGACAACCTGAAACTTTCGTTAGTTGACCTAAAGGTAATCCAAGTTTTCAAATAGAATTTTCGTTTTTCATTGTAATGCTAGATTATAATACCTACATGAAGTAATAATGTTTAACAGAATCAAATCAAAGAACCCAACAACTGTGCCGCTCAGTAATGTGAAATTGGAAGCGCCCATCACTGGTCAAGATAAAGTGCTCTGCATCGGCCTGAACTACCTGGACCACTGTGCGGAGCAGAAGAAGACACCACCAGAAGTGCCCATGATGTTCAGCAAGTTCGCCAGTTGCGTCGTCGGACCAAATGATTCTGTGAAGCTGAAAACGGATGTAACGAAAGTAAGTTGATTTATCACACACTAGTGGCCTTATTACAGAATGCGTTGAAGAAATAAAGGTTCAATGCTCGTTCCCCATAGGTGATAGCGTGACAATTTGTAACCTATATGTTGGCCTGACTACATAAAATTTTCGTGCCAAATTTGAAGTAAATCTATGCAGTACTTTTTGAGTTTACTGAGACATACATACAGACAAACAGACAAAAATTCTAAAAACGATATTTTTGCCTTCGGTATCGATTGTAGATCACACCCCAAGTATTCTTTTAAAAAAATATTCAATGTACAGTTTTGACTTTCCTACCATTTTATTATAATATGTATAGATTTAGTATGCTTATGCTAAGTTAAGTATGCCCCTTTGTTGGTACAAAGCACTTTGCCGACAAGATGTTTCCATAAATTATTAATAGTTATAGAACTGTTTTACTCCACCTCCAGTCAAAGCTAAATGCTGAGCATTTTAAAGTTCCCGACTCATATTTCCTTACAGAGCTGCTTCCAGTTTTCCCTATCTTTAGTGTAGTCAAGAGCCTCAGTGATGGTGGTGCTAAGACATTTTGATATTTGGTCAGTCCATTTAGTAGGGCGGCGACCTCTTGCTATTTTACCCACGAGCTTCCTATTTTATGATAGAACTATTTTATGATTAGTCAAATCAGAGCTGCGTGCTCTCAAATTCAGAGTTTATGACACATATTTTTAATTTTCACTCAATAGCAGGAGTGACTGCAGAAAAGAATGCAGCACCCTCTAAGGCCTTATCATGAACTTTGATGAAGGTGAGGCTAGTTCTGTTTTAAGAGCGAGGCACTACATATCCACAGAGGCCTTTAATTTATTGTTCTGAGCACAGTAGAGCAGCATTCCACTTCAACATCTGTTTATGGCAGTAAAAAGTTCATATTCATAACACAGCCTCTGGTATATTAAGCGCCATGCTCCGGAAACTGCACATAGATTACCTCTCGGAATAATAATTTGGTTATTGTTGGATGATTCATTACAGTGAATGTAATAGAAATTAGAAATTGTCACTTATTTGCCAAAAATGTATATATAAGAGTACTGTTAAATTCGCTAACAACCACATTCAGAGGCATGATGAATTGATAATAATTTATTGAGTCACTTTATGCTTATGTTCATAAGTACTGCTATCTTACCTATTTATTTAGGGCCGATACACACTAGAAACGTGAAATAATTTTAAACTTTATCTACACACTTAAAACACCTGTATCACCTGACGAGGTCCCGCTTAGTAGCCCGGCCACGCGACTTCTTCGAGTTTTAAAATCACACTGTTTTCATTGTGATAATACTAGCCGCGTCGCTGCCGACCGCTGACGTCAAGTCTGAATCGGCCCTTACGCCACATGAAACCCTCCATAAAAGTATCATGTCCACAGAACTTATTATTATAAATTGATCCGTTTTAAAAGATATAATGGCATCGTTCGTTTTCAAAGCACTCGGATGAGAGGCAATTTAGAAATGTCCACCCATTATAAGAACCCCTAATTTCCTAATGTCATCTGTCCGACTTAATCATCATCATTATCTTTTCCTATTTTATTTGTGGTCGTCAGTTAGCGGCATTTAAATTTTACGTACTTTTCGATAAATCGTCATCTCGAAATTCACTCCTTTTTACCATATCACCTTGGGACCTATATATAAAGTGCAATTCAGAAACATTTTATGAAAAAAAGTATTGAAGGTAGGTTGAACTTGTGTCTTTCATTTCTCGTGCCCATCATTAACTAACTTCGCTGTATACCAGCGCTGTTATGGTGGGAATATTCCCTTCCTACTATAACAGCATTAAGCTGAGGCAGGATCCTGATTGGCCTTTCTTCTCTCTATATTTTGTTTTTATTTTTTATTGTTTTTTTTTTACCTACGTATGTGTAAGTCTATTTCTTCCTTGCTGTCTTCTTTCGGTATTTTTTCTTATGCTAGCTTCTATTCACAACTTCGATGGCATTTCCTTTAGAATGAGATCCAGGGAGAAATAAAACATGTGTAAGTAATTAGGTATATAACAAATTTATTTATTCCAGAATATTTTTTTATAGAAGACATATCTTACTAAATTCCAAGTAAATAAGACTTGCTTTTATGGGCGTAGCTAGGAGGGGCAAGGGTGGGTGGCAGTGGCACTCTAAAAATCTCCCTGCCCACACCAGAATTGCAGTTTCATTCAATTAAAAAAATAATTTTAGAGTTAATGTAAGTACTACCGAAAAAATCCTGACCCTTTAGCAAAAATCCTTCCTGATACTTAACAACTATCTTATAATTAGTAATAGTAACGAATTATGCCAATTTTGCTATTTTTATGTAATTTATTAAGAAATATCCCAAAATAAAAGCTTCACATCATATAACGGCGAAAATAGCAGCCTAATGAATTAATTGTATGTTTTTCTTCTATTGGCACTTTGTTCACCGAAGTAAAACCAGGTAATTTATTTTTCATTAACAGGTAATGTAGGAAATGTTTAATAATTTTTATATGAGGAGAGGTTTAAAATTCCTGGTGTGATTCACGAAGATCCCTCTGACCTCACCAAGACACAAATTGGGGTCAATTATTGAAGCAATTTGAGATCGTAATTCATATCGCGTGTAGGTGGGAGCGAAGTGGTAATAACTACAGCAGTTTACATCATAGTGCAGAGTGGACTATTTGAATATCATTGAAAGTTAGATTTAACCTATAAGGTGCCTCTAAGAAGTTGTTAGATCTGATTAAAAATGTCAAAATCCCAAACAAAGTTAATTTTCGTGTAGGAATAGCGCTTACTACGAAATTGGGAATGGAAGAATGTAAAATGTTTTAACTTTCCCGCGCTGATATAGAAATGAAAATAAACTTTATTCAATGTATTTTTCTCCTACCACCTGTTCAGGACCACTATAAGCTGGCAGGAAGACCAGGCGAAAGAAACTTCTTAGCTTTTTATGAAGTAGCGGCATTTCTATAAAAATATGTCGTTACCAATCTTCCTTCTTCTTCTTCTTCTTCATCAGCCTTTTCATGTCTACACTGCTGGGACACAGGCCTTCCCTATGGATGGAATAGGGAGATTGGGCCATGACCCACCACGCGGGCCTAGTGCGTATTGGCGGGTGGTCGTTACCAATACATCATTATAATTGAATTCTTTATGTGTTATAAATCAAGAACATTTAATATTGCTTTTTGAAAGATGTTTTTTGTAAGGGCCTTTACTAACGACTGTCAGTATGTCAGTGACGTCACGGGACGATTGTAGGGAGATAATTATTAAAAAACGTCAGAAGTGAATGCCTTTATTGCACTGTCACATGGTGTAAAATATTGTTCGTTTAACAATTAGTGCGTCGACTGTGTAAGCAGTTAAGAGTGCATCGACTCGGAATGCAAAAATATTAGAATATAATTAAAATGGCTTGTACAACTTTATATAGGACTTTTTGTATAGGACGGACAACGTAGTATTCATGATACTGTATGCCAAGTTTCATCGCGATTTCAGTTAAAGTTTAATTTTATGCTTATTTACTAGGCTGATATACTGTGGAAAAAGCGGACAGTGATGAATAATATAATATAATGTTAAAGCTTTAACCTCTAGTTATGTTGAACTTGCGCGCATTTTTGTTACCCACGGGAATATTCAGATATATCGAGAACAAAATACAATAAGTGTATGTTAAAAACAAACAAACCAAACAACCTCAAGCAAAGTCGAGTGCACGCGCGTGCTGAATACTTCTTTTATTTAATTTTTTGTTAGAGGAGCTCGATGGCGCAACTTTCGCAATGGTCAGTCATTGGATGGGTGATCAAAAATCCTTCGTGCTTCGGAAGGCATGTTAAGCCATTGGTCCCGGCTGCATCTGCAGTAGCACCCACCAATCGGCACTGGGACCGCTTGGTCGGTCATGGCCCGATCTCCATATTCAATCCATAATAGAAGGCCTGTGTTTCAGCAGTGGAGACATTGATAGGCTGGTGATGATGATGATGATTATTTTTGTATCCTCCTAGGAGGGGGGGGGGGGGGGGGGGGCATGTGAAATCCTCATAAATACCCTACAGCCGATTGCAAGGTTATGTCAGACACTTACTGACTAAAACTCAACCGTGGTTACGCCGCGCCATAAAGACCCTACAGGCTTCGCCGATACAAAATCCTCATTTTCACAGCATTCCCATAGGTTACAGAAATAAAAATTATACAGGGATAAAGTAGATAATTGTATCTATCCAATTGATATAGGTTTACGTTTGTGTCTGCTACTTTTCCGTAAGCGAGGCAAAATATTCCCAATATCTTTTTCTATCTTTCCTTGCCTTATTGAGATATTAAATTTTTATATTATCAATATGAATCCCGTTCTCCTTGGTCGCGCCTTAACTTGGGAACGACTTTACCGTTTTCATCAATCTCTTAGTTTTCTATTACTTTGTAGAAGTTTTTTTAAGCATTTAACTACTAGATGTTTTAATCTAAAGAAAACTTCACGGGAAGCACCCTGTAGGTTTTGATTCCTGTGTGTATCTTTTGATTGCTTTGGTTTAGAAGTTTGATTTTTTCGCAGCTCCAAGGGACAGTAGACCTGAGTATTAGATATGAATTTCAGTTTGATACAGTTGTAGCATAATGGTCAGCGCATCGGCCCGGATAGTGGAGGGTACGGGTTCGAGTCCCGTCTGCTGCCTGGTCCGCGTGGAATATTTTCTAGTAAAATTTTCTTTACACTACTTTGTGGAAGGTCTACTACTAAACCCATTATCGTACACAACGCTGCGCAAACCTTCGATACATGAGAACTTTGGTCTCTAAGCGACTACCGTCCGCAATACAACTTCATACAGGCTCGTGCACGCGTTGCCGACATTTTGTTTTGTATTGCTGTAGTCACTTGGGGACTAAAGTCTTTGGGTATTGAAGAATGCCTAGCGTTGTGTACGGAGGGCCTGAAAATTAAGGAGTGGTAGCTAGTACTGAATTAAATTCATTCTACGTCAATGATGCTTCTAAGCCCCTTCATACAGACTGTTTCGCAAATCATCGACACCTAACGACAACCGACTACAGCAAATACAAAACAAAATGTCGGTAGAGCGTGCATGTGCATGTGTACGAATGTCTTTGAATTTGTATTGCGTTATTATATTATAGTCGCTTACTGTCCAAAGTCATAAATAAGGTTTAATCGAGATGGTGCGTTGACGAAAGTACATAAGACACGATCTCCACATTTCCGGTCGGCTCAATTAAAAATATACGGTCTTACGGAATGGTCGTCGTGTAAATATCTCTGTAATCAGACTAATATTATAAAGGCGAAAGTTTGTGTGTGTGAGCGTGTGTGTATGTTTGTTACTTTTTTACGTCTTAACGGCTGGAGCGATGTTAGTAAAATTTGGTATGGAGTTAGCTGACACCCTGGATTAAAACACAGGCTACGTTTTACTGCGGGAAAATATCCCTAATAAACCGCGGGTAACACCGCGGACACAGCTAGTATAATTATAAAATGCTCATAATTATATGGTAGTTCATGAAACGAATTTATCAGTTTAAACGCGATAGTTCCTTAGGGTCCCATATTATAAGATGACTTTAATAAAGTTTTAAAAATAATTACTCTTAGTTCGTGGGTCCAATTTGCCGACATTTTTTTTATATATTCACCATAAAATTTTGACAAAAATAGACGGGCATGATAAGTGATATCGAGTATGTGGAGGGATAGTTTTGCCAATACACAAAACTTACCGAGAACCTTTTGATGTTACCGACACGGAGGCGATACCAGCCCCTCTAGCATGACCACCGAAACGGGATATGATAAAGCGATATATCGGCTTAACTGTCAGACTACAGTGGAGTTTGACAGTTGAGACTCGATAAAAAGCTATAACATATCCCGTTTCGGTGGTCATGCTAGAGGGGCACGCCAGCATCCACGAGACAACGCCAATATAGACCAATATCGTTCCACACTCCCGTATTGGCCAATGTTGGCGTTGTTTTAGCAGGAATATAAAGCGGGTCTAAGGGTATTTATAAACCTAATGACCCGATTACACTTGGACGCGGCCGTATTAGGTGCACGAAAGACATTACTCGGATTCGGACAAGCAATTTTTACAGTTCATTTAAACTTAGTCGTTTACCTGAATTTTATTGGCAATCGTATTCGGGCTAAAAGTGTAATTGAGTCATAACCAATGCTAGTTAAAAGACCAAACCATAGAGTTTGAATATTTTTTCATGACGTGATGACGTGACGTGACATTTATCATCATTTTATAAGATAAATATTACTCTTCGGATTTCAACATAAACCTAATATACAAATATCAGTAACTCTGTGCAATTGAAAATAGGTATTATTTACTTTCACCCAATGAAGCTGGTACAATTTACCTACAACGATTACCCAGAAGATATTTACGTCGGATATATTGAGGAAAACGAGGGGCTGGTTGATCTAAACAAAGAAGACGATTCTCTTCCCAATACTTTATTAGGTATTTTGCTAAACGGAGATATTGATAGAGTTAAAGAGTAAGTTAATAATCATAATAAAAATAACATTTAAACACTGTGATAACATGTGATTTCTTTAATACCTTTTATTAAGAAGTAGGGCTCAGCAAAGATTTATAGGGCTCAGAAGATTTTCTGCCGGAGTTGAGGTAAGAATGCCCGTCTGGGGTAGTAAGTTACACTATACTAAAGAATCCAGCCAAGAGACACTACTACATTGTTTTCATCAACGAGGGATGTCGTTAGTGTTATATACAGAAGATGTGGATATAGTAGCTAACACTTGGTTCTGCATTGTCAAAAATTCACAATCGTCTGTAGCTTATGGTGACTAAAGACTACTTACTTTTATACCAGCTGTATTTTCTTGCTACACATGTGGTATAAAAACAGCTTTAAAAAAGAAATAATTTTTCAAACGTAATTCTTCCAAATGCAAGACATCCATTCCATCTTTGTGATGTACAGTTTAAAATCACTCACACGTGATTTACTGGAGAAATCAAATACTTACTTCAGAATAGTGTTGATAAGTTTTCTATAAAGAAGAATATTCTTCCCTAAAGAACGCCTAATTTAGCCAGAAGATCCACTGAGCTCTACCCGTCATTAACATACTAAAACAATATAAACTACCTACCAGATTAAAATCACGGAATCCGCCACCTGAGTGTCTGTGTAACGTGAGGCTAGAGGCCCCGATCACTGGCCCTGACAAAATCATCTGCATCGGCCTAAACTACCAAGATCATTGCGAGATGCACAACCTGAAGCCGCCTGAAGTGCCAATGTTCTTCAGCAAGTTCTCGAGGTCCATCATTGGACCCAATGACGCCTTGAAAATAAGGACTGAGATAGCAACAGTGAGTTGTTGTAGCTTAATGGTATAAATAGACGTAGACAACTTTTGTAGATATAAAAGATTAAAAAGTTCATATCGCTTCACTCTGACAGTATACATCAGCTAAACAAAGGCAAATTAGCGCCTAGTGACAGGAGATGGGAAATCAAACAGCCACTTAGTTAAGCCAATGTGTCGTTTGATAACTAAGTGCAATGTTTATTTTATTTTGCTTCCTATATACCTACTAATTTTCTTAACTAATATTCATGTGCGTCAGCGTTAAATTGTGAGCTCGGCATGTTCTAGATTCAAAGTACACGCTGACGTAACACCATACGACGATGACGCAGTGTGAGCTCAAGTACATGAAAAGATGCTGTAGTGAGCATGAACGAAACGAAGTTGTTTTTGTTTCGCGTTCAATGTTATGTGGCTGGCACTTCAATTTTGTTTTACACTGGTATCAACAAAACTTATAAATTGCTAAGAAAAAGAATCACCTTTGATCGATTCTAAAAATGAATTGTCGTATCGTATCTGAATGCAACCGTATGTATCACAGAACAAACAACCCTCTTTTTGTGTTCTGTGGTATGTATGTTCCGGTAGAGTTCAAGTTTTGCCAATTCACTTTTTTTGGTTGTTTTGTAACTTCTTAAACTTATTTAAAACCTTTCTTATAAAAACAATAAATGAAATAATCTCTACTTCTCAACATTAAACTATTTTCGAAATGTATTTTTCAAGAGTTTTTTTTGTAGCTTTTCGTAAGAACTTTCTACAATGTATTAGAAAACTTAAAAAAACTGGATGGAATGTTATGACTTGACCAATGGAAATAGAAATTCATTTTTAAGTATTTATCTAAGTAGATTACGAAGCGGTCACCTACGGTCACCTACGATAAATTTCAGCAATTTAATCTCCAGAAGCTTATTCTGCTTATATATCAAAGCACATAAGGTCTAAACGGCTTGCCCCTTATTGAAATTGGTAGTATTCGATTACCTTAGTTGAAAGAGATACGTTATGTCACATTGACACTTTTTCTCTATCTTTTTCAATACTAGCTTTTATTGAATACTAGCGGCCGCCCGCGACTTCGTTCTCTTGAACTTTAGTTATTTTTAGAATCCTACAGGAACAACCTTAAAAGTATCATGTGACTCAATCCAAGCCATAAAACGATATGCGAACCAAATTTCAACCAAATCCATTGTAGCTATTGAGCTGGTGGCAGTATTTTTTATATGATTTCATCGTCTGACAGATTATCATTTTAATGATCAGATAATCATTTTAAACAATTTCTGCCATAAATTAATTGCTGCAATATCAAATAGGAGCTTTAATTAAAATAAGTGACATAAACAATATTATCGCTTCTATCGATAGTCTTAACACATTTTATGTAATATCAGACGTCTGCCACCTTTTTCTTACATTTACAAATACTCTAAGATCACATAAAAATATTTTTTGAAAATAATATGGAATGATGTAGTACCTACTAAATTTAATTTTACATTTTATATTTTTTTTATAAAAACTCCCACCACCTCCTGCGTTCCGCCAGCTTTAATTTTACTATTTTTTAAATGTGTTTAATAGAATATATATAATTGATTACAGAAACGTTAAACGAAATTAATTAGAAAAAAAATGAGAGCTACCTAAGCTCGCCACTTAATTTTTCTAGTTAATATAGGTGCAGACTACATTACGTCTTGGTATCAACGAAGATGATTGGCGCTGTATGCCGTAATACAGGCATTTTGCCTAGCTCGGCAGCAGATATATAATTATGTAGTTATGTTAGAGATATTAGTACTCTTTTAGCCTTATAAGTTAAATTGTAAATCACCTCTTATTGGAAATAAATTATTATTATTAAAATCATTTACCTAAATTGCCACCAGTACCCTATCTGTTTAGTTTTTTTTTTGATTGAGTAACAAACAAACAAACTTTCACATTTTTAATATAAGTAGGTTATACAATACAAAGACAAAAAAACAACAAACTTACACAAACATAAGTAAAATGACAGAATTGTACAATCTTTCTAGAAAGTTGACTGGGAAGTGGAGCTGGTTGTCGTAATCGGCAAAGAGGCTTCATGTGTGAAGGCTGCTGACGCATTCGACTACGTGGTCGGGTACACTGTAGCGCAGGACATCAGCGCCCGCGACTGGCAGAAGGACAAGAATGCTGGCCAATTCTTATTGGGCAAGGTAAGTCGAATTATAACAGATGGCAAAAGTATACTTCCTATTTGAACAAGAACGATTTTTTGACAGCTCCGTAACGTATCGTTTTAGTCAAATTTTGTATGAAAAAAGCTAGTTTGTTGTTACGTCCGATAGGGGGGCGCTGCATAGTTTTCATAGAAAGTTTGACGATGTGATATTTTGCCTATCAAATGATCTATGATAGATATTATGATGAGCTGTCAAAAATTCCTGCTTGAGCCCCTGAACGGTAGAAGTTCACCATCAGTGATTTCACGACCAAAACATTTGAAAGATCTCTAAAAGGTCATACTTGTTACTCACAGGACGGCAACTAATTTTTGATGTCAGCCGATGAGTCTTACAGTTTGCAACCTATGTATCTCAGATTTTAGGTTATATTATTGTTGTCGACAGACACTGCTACAGACCTGCCATTATATTTGAATTTTATTTTTTATAATAGTCATTTTTGTTTATTAGTATATTACCGTGGTATTATGGTTCTGCTTGTCGTGTATAGTACTTGTGTTGTGTGTTTTCTGTTTTGTGTGTCTATTTTCAATGATTATTGTTTTAAAGTTAGTGTTTTATTTTATTACTTGCCTAGTGCAGTTCCTTACAATCAAAAATAATCTAAGTGACATCTTAGGCTGCGGCCGCACTGCTAAGGCGACTGCGACGTAGTGTTGCAAGATCCGATTTACAAAAATCGCGAGGCTTTACGGAAAAAAACAGTACATGCAGAGGCGTATTTTGCACTGTGTATATGTGACGTTCGATCTTACATCAAACATATGAGGCCAAGGGCGTCGCCAGCTTATGACTAAGGGGCAATGGGGCAGCCCCCCCCCCCCCCTTGTCGCCCCTTGGCGACGCCCTTGTACGAGGCTCTGCAATATGTGGCACGAGTAAAGTATGTCTGAAACTAATCTAAATCTAATCACTCTATTACGATAAGATTTTTTTCTGATCCGACGTTCCCATATTTGATTATAATCTCATCGATGGGCACATCACTCGCAATCTTTACGTAATCTGACACGTCCACGCTTAGGAGCCGCAGCTTGGCTAAAGAGGGGAGGCGCGCTATGTGTTTTCCATACAAACGTTTTCAACTGATTGCTCCTTATTTTTTATCACTAACGAATTGAATTTCATACATAAAATATAATTTCAATCATTTTTTTCGATAACTTGTAGTAGGGGAGCACAAGCGGGGATTTCTGGATTTACTCGAGCGCTTGGGTAACACTCGAGCGTGGTAGAATAACATGAGGGGGCAAGCAACCATGCACCTTGATACCTGAACCCTCTATTTAGGCCCTAATGTCGTAACAGCAAAACATTTTCAACAAATGGCCATGACTTTTAGTCACGTCCAAATCGTCAGTCTTTTGGTTAAAGAAGGGTTTCCGTAACGTTTCTGAGGACTGTAAAAATATTGATCTGCCGGTTTGCATGGTGCGCGCGACACAGTGAGACTGTTAGTTCTAATCCATAGAACGACACGGCCGACGCGGCCAGGAGGGGCGTAGAGGCATTCACAGCGTTCCTCTCTTTCGATTTTCCCCCGCTGTTGGGCCAGCTCAAGGGGCCCTTCAAGTATCACGTAAGCAGATTTATTACAATTATTTACCCCCTCCTCCCCCTTGTCAGCAAAAGAAAGCAAAGCCCCCCCCCCCCCCATGCTTACGTAAACATTGGTATTCATTTGCATTTTTCCTTTAATGTATTCTGTTTTTTATAGATACATGAGTTTTCATGAGCTTCATCAGCGGTAGAACTTAAATTGGCTTGGGATAGAGGACTTAAACGTACATAATATTTATTTAAACAAACTTTATTGACACAGTATTCAACAGTGAGTAAGGTACAAATATTATAATCTTATTAAGTACTATTACGAACAAAACAAACTTCTTTCGAATTTTCGGTATAGATATAAATTCCAATTAATAGTCTTCAGTCCATGACACCCGGATCCATGATGCTGACTTAATCACTATTTCGACCCCCACTCCCCCATGTCATCAAAAATAAGCAAAGAAAGACCCCCCTGCCCTCCTATAATGCTTACGTAATACTTGAACGGCCCCTAATTTTCTGTAAAACATATCTGGAATATAAAACTTACAAAAGGATGGTGTTAAATATCACATGCATATAAGTCGAATTATTAACATATTATTTCTATATAAACACAAAATTCATATTATTTTGGAATGGAATGGAATTGTTTGACAAAACTATCGACTGGCCGGCACCAATTTCAGATCTGTCAATGAAAAATCTTAATTTTAATTTTTTATGTGTTAGTGTCGTAATTACAATTTCGTTTTTTTCGAAATCGCAAACGGCTACTCCCCTCGTAGCCGCGTCGGCTTCCTTGCTTTATGTGATAATCATACTATTGTAAGAATGCCAGTGCGGATAGGTGGGTAGAATACTTTTTTATGGAGTAGGGAGATATTGAGATGGATAGAGGAGGGCACTGGGCCCAATCCGCTCTACGCCCGACTCGCACTGGGCTCAATCCGCAATGGACCCAATCCGCACTGGGCAATCCGGAATCCAGAAAGAAAGAAAGAAAAAAATAAATGATGTGGTGTCGTGGGACACCAGGTAGGAACGAAGTTCCTTCAGCTAATGCGCATTTAACGGTTTTATTACACGCACTTTTTTCCACGGATTTTTTCTTACGGTTTTACTATCACATTTTTTTCAGTTCGGTCAGCTAGTGTTCGTAAAGATTGCTAGGCAGGACTGGCCCACAGTTTATAATAAACTACAATGTCACAATAATCCAGTAATGCAGCCCCGTCGCTCTGCCACCCCCCTGGACTTAACGACAGTTTAGTATAATATACGACAATAATCCAGTGTTGGTATAATGCCACAATAATTTGGGGTTGCACCCCCGTCGCTCTGTCACCCCCTGTTAAGTACTGACCTTGTGATCATGTCTAGCTTAAGTTTACAGCAGATGACAGGCGTTCCTGGTCCACAGCTCGGTATAACGTCACAAATATCCAGATTTCGTGTAATGTCACAATATTCCAGTGCTGCACCCTCGTAGCTGTGCCACCCCCTACATACGCACCTTATTATCATGTCCCGCTAGCGTTCGTAAAGGATGCTAGGCAGGACTAGCCCACAGTTTATAATAAACTACAATGTCACAATAATCCAGTAATGCAGCCCCGTCGCTCTGCCACCCCCTGGACTTAACCATAGTTTAGTATAATATACGACAATAATCCAGTTTTGGTATAATGCCACAATAATTTGGGGTTGCACCCCCGTCGCTCTGTCACCCCCTGTTAAGTACTGACCTTGTTATAATGTCTAGCTTAAGTTTACAGCAGATGACAGGCGTTCCTAACGTCACAAATATCCAGATTTCGTGTAATGTCACAATATTCCAGTGCTGCACCCTCGTAGCTGTGCCACCCCCTACATACGCACCTTATTATCATGTCCCACTAGCGTTCGTAAAGGATGCTAGGCAGGACTAGCCCACAGTTTAGAATAAACTACAATGTCACAATAATCCAGTGATGCACCCCCGTCGCTCTGCCACCTCCTGATAAGTACTCACCTTGTAATCATAATCATGTCTGACAGGCGTTACTGGTCCACAGCTTGATATAACTTCACACATATTCAGTGTTGGTGTAATATCACAATATTTCAGTGATGCACCCTTGTCGCTCTACCACCCCCTATAACTTCACACATATTCACTGTTGGTGTAGTATCACAATATTTCAGTGATGCACCCTCGTCGCTCTACCACTCCCTATAACTTCACACATATTCAGTGTTGGTGTAATATCACAATATTTCAGTGATGCACCCCCGTCGCTCTGCCACCTCCTGATAAGTACTCACCTTGTAATCATAATCATGTCTCACAGGCGTTACTGGTCCACAGCTTGATATAACTTCACAAATATCCAGTGTTGGTGTAATATCACAATATTTCAGTGATGCACCCTCGTCGCTCTACCACCCCCTATAACTTCACACATATCCAGTGTTGGTGTAATATAACAATATTTCAGTGATGCACCCTCCTCGCTCTACCACCCCCTATAACTTCTCAGATATTCAGTGTTGGTGTAATATCACAATATTTCAGTGATGCACCCTTGTCGCTCTACCACCCCCTATAACTTCACACATATTCACTGTTGGTGTAGTATCACAATATTTCAGTGATGCACCCTCGTCGCTCGACCACTCCCTTTAACTTCACACATATTACGGGAGTATAATACGCCGCACAGCTTACAATAGCTTACTATAGCAAAAAGTGTCGTGACAACTTTTCGTAAGAATTTTTTCCGTCTAGACCCCTTTCACAACGCGCGATAAGGAACTTCGTTCCAAAATTGAGACAAAACGATATTATCGGTCCCACCTCAGCATGATGCTGATTTTCAGTTGGAACAATGGAGCCAATCCGCACTGGGCAGGAGTGGATTTTTGATGGAATATAGAAATTGAACCTTGATCCACGCGGGTCCAGTGCGACTTGGTGGATGATATATATTTTTAACTTCGTTGCAACTGAGACTTCTACCTCATTTTTTTTGTTCTCTGCCGTTTATCACATATTCTTTAAAAATATGCGACTGATCCGTTATACTATTTATAGATTAGATTAAATTTCAACACGATCTCGTTGATGTGATCTAAGCTGGAGCACGAAACTCCAACATCACCTATTTATGATAGACGACACGACAGTTCTTCAACAAACCGTGACAAAATTCATTGTTGGCGACAATTGGATTTTCCTTATTAGCAAGTGTCCCCTCATTCATTGCGCCTTTACCAGGCTCAGTAAGGTGGCTTTGTAAACTTTTGTTTTGATCCATTTCATTTCAGTACTGACTGCCAAAGTTTTGTTATCTTATCAAATACTATACAAAATCTTCCACTGAAATAGAGTGAACTGAAAGGATTTAGCGAGACTAAAGAGTTACAAACGAAGTCGGTTATTTTCGATAAGCTTTCATAAAAACTCTTTCTTACTTGAAGGGAAATACCATTTCGCTATAGTAATTAGGGTAGCTAGTACAACATAAAAAGAGCTAACCAAATTATTTTACGGGTGGATGCTAAAATTGACAAACTAAATACTATCATTACCGAAATTATTGAATATGTGATAAAGAAGCTGACAGACAACCTAACACTAGGTATTGTATTCGGATGCCAAATGTAGTAATGTACTTAGATCGTTGAGAGTAATATAATCTTACCTGTCTTATTTGACCTCGCAAGGTCGTCGCCATGTGATGCATACACGTGTGCTGGGTAACACGTTATGAAAATACTTGCAGTACCCTTAGCACGAACCAATATCAAATTCGATTAGTTGAATTCGATCTCGTTTTTTATGAAATCAACAGCGCCACAAGTCCACAGCCGATGTAACAAGAATTAAAAATCTTCCTTACAAAACTTCTAGACAATTGACACGTATCCAGATCGAATTCAACTATTCGAATTCGATATTGTTTCGTACTAATACCGGGTTCACCCGGGGCGATTTAAATTGATGAACTTTTATAGTTCAATTGCATTTCTTCAATTTATTTGATTGAAAGTCGGTTCGGTCGGTTCATATCGCAAGCAATTTTGCAGTTGATCAACTAAAATCGCCTCGTGTAATCCCGGTATAAGGGTACAGAGAGTCACACGATCTCAAGTACCTTTGGAAAAAATCCTAAAGTAGTAAACCTCCGTTTCAAGATGTCGCCTACTCAGAGGTTCGATTCCGGTGGAGCTAATGCTTGTGTGATAAATACGAGCATTTGTATCGAATATAATATGCTCATATATTTATCAGAATATGAAATATATCCCTTACCCTAGTATTTCATAACACAAGCCTTACAGTGCTTACTTTGGGGCTAGGCTAATTGGTGGGAGTGTTAGTAATATTTATTAATATTGTATTCTCTACTTGAGTACTCCAAATGGTTAGGAATAGGTATATCTAAAAAAAATCGATCATTACGACACGTAATTTTCAGTCGATGGACACCTTCTGCCCAATCGGACCTTGGATCGTGACCAGTGATGAGATTGGTGATCCCCAAAACCTAGACATCAAGTGTAGTATCAACGGCGAGCAGAAGCAGAGCAGCAACACTTGTCAGCTGGTCCACAAGATTCCTGACGTCATTGAGAGATTGACATCGTAAGTGACAAAGATGTCTTCTTCTTAGGACTAAAGGCAGATTCACTTCATAATGGCAGCGACTGGCAGCGACGGGGCGAGCACTTTCAGTGTGAAATATTTTCAAGCGGTCTAGTCTTTTAAGTATGTAGATACACTACACATTTAAAAGACTAGACCGCTTGAAACTGTCCTGTGAGTGTCGCGACCGCCGAAACATCTTGAGATACTAAATTCTTTATCACCCATCCTGTGACCGGCCATTGCAAAAGTTGTTTGACATCCACGATCGCATACTCAGGAGCGGATTTACGTAGGGGCTTGGGGGGGCCAAAGCCCTCATCGATATTCTCAATCACACACAAACCATTTGAAAATAAGTTTTTGTTTTGGGCCTTCTAGCCAGCGTGATGACTACATCCCGGAGACATCATCCTCACAGAAACCCCTGGTGGGCTTGGCTTGTATCTCGACCCCCGTAATTCTGAAAGCCCAGTAACGTCATTACTATCCAATTAATGTGCCTCCACTGCTGGAGCACAAGCCTTCCCTATGGATGGAATTGAACCATGACCCACCTCGCGGACCCTTTGCATTTTGGTGGCTGCTAACGACTGCAGACGCAGCCGAGATGAACGGCTTGACGTGTCTTCCCAAGCACGGAAGATCTCTCGACAGTAAATTCTCCCATCGTTCGATCATTACAAAAGATAGTTAAAAATAAAGTTCCGTGAGTGCGGACCTAACTCGCTGGCCTCTATGCCATCCAGCTCCTTAATTATATACAAGCCTTTTGACATTAATTCGATCGCCTTCTAACCGGAAGGAGACCATATATCCCGGAGATATCATTGTCATGGGAACCCCTGGCGGAGAGGGCTTGTATCTCGGCCCCCGCAGTTCTTAGGCCTGGTGTCGTCATCACCCTCATATTAATGTCCCCACTGCTGGGACACTGACCTTCCCTATCGATGGCATAGGGAGAAAGAGCCATTCTCCACCACGCGGGCTTAGGGCAATTGGCAGGTGGTAACGGCTGCAGATACAGCTGGGACCAACGGTTCAACATGCCTTCCCATTAATGGCCGGCCATTGCGAAAGTTGCTTGATTACCATCTAGCTCTTCAGTCACACACAAACCTTTTGAAAATAATTCCTCCCCTAACCAGCGTGATGACTCTTTATCCCGGAGACATCATCCTCACGGGCACCCCCGGTGGTGTGGGCTTGTATCTCGACCCTCCGCAGTTCTTGAAGCCCGGTGACGTCATCACCAGCACCATACAGAACATTGGCACCTTGGAAACCAGGGTAGAGAAGTACACGAAGCAGTGAACAAGAAGGAATTTCGTCTACAACCAAACGGAGGTGGGATACAGTGGCTTTTATATCGACTGCGAAGTACATTTATATGTACCTTCTATTTATGTAGTTCATTTCAATGAATCTAGATGTCACTGTAGTGTTTTTTCTTATATTTACACGAACACCAGTCATTAAATAAAAAAAGATTTCAACGGGTTTCAGAAATTTAGTGAAATTTATAGAAGTATTAAAAAACGCCTCTAAAACCCGTTGAAAAAGTATTTTGTTTAATACCACTGTGCTTTAAATCACGGTATCGAATTGTTTTATTTTTGTTGAATTTTTAACTTGTTTGTTATTAGTAGAATTGTGTAATAAAAATGTCACCCTTTTAGCAGTTATATTTTGAACTTTGATTTCATCTCAGTTTTGGGTTTGTACCAGTAATGTTATATTGAGAAATTACTTTATTTAAGTAGCTATGTCTATTTTCGCATGTTTTGTTGTAAACCACTTACCTATAGTATTTTTAGGAAACTTGAGAATAAATCTGTACGCTTAGCACGATTTAATATCGAATAACGAGAGAACTGAAAAACGCGCAACGCCTTTACCAAACTTTACAAATATTAACAAATAATTTTGAAACTAACCTTTTTTTTACTTTGTGTAAAATATTGTCTATGTTGGTAAAAAATTAGAACTTTGCCGGCGAATTCATTTTATACGCCTATATTAAGAACCCCAATGTCTTACTGAGTAAATATTGTTGTTTATGATATAAGTGCGGTAAGTTGGTTATAACAAACGAGTAGACGTATGTAAGCCCGAAACGAATTCGAGGACTGACAAAATTAATGAAAATTAAACAAATTATAACCATAGTCACGAATTTGTAAATACCAATTCCGCACGAATGTCATATAACGTTTTTCAACACATTTTCGAGAAAAAAGAATAATTTAAAAAAAAACTTTCATTACTTGTAAGACAATGCTAACTTTTTCTAATAACAAAATGCAATGGCGCACATTATTAGCACCATCTTTCGTAACCAAATGGTAGTAAATACATATATCAAAACCAAAATAAATATTGTTTAAGATTGAGCACGTTCGGTGAAAATTATAACTATAATGCGATTCAAATAAGAATAGGAAAGCCAATGACCTCCATCTGTCAAATGTCGCTTGAAGAGTACGGTTTGCAAAAAAAACTTGATATCTTTTTTTAGCACATCTAATTATAGACTAAAATTCAAACATTTATAAACAAACAATAACAAATATTGATAATTAATATTGGTTGAATTTTTTTTTCATTTATTGAGCTTTGGCTATGAATGTTTGATAACCTAAATCGTCAACCAAATGTCATTTTAAATTGCGTTCAGAAACTCGATTTGAAACTTTCGTTTACATAAAGGATGCATGTTCGTATGTGACCTACAGTGCATGATTAGTAGTAATAGTGCATGATTATCCATAACTACTCCGGTGGTAATGCAGAGATGAGCGGAATTGAAGAGCTTAATTCTGATTAATGTTTAAATATTATTAAAAAAACGGTTGTTTTCTTTTCTCAATCACAGTAAATAAATTTTATTAAAAAAATCTGATGTTATTTCTCGCTTAATCTTAGTAAATAAGTTTTATTCAATAAAATTTTTTTTTGCTCACTCTACCTATTTCGTTTGAATTGACAGATTCGACGTCACAATATGGCGCCCAGTCCTATTCTTAGTTGAATCGCATTATACATACTTCACCTCTCTTTCTTTTTAGTAAGAATTGAGACAAATGTAGAGACGCATAACGCTTCCAATGAGGTTCGATTGAAATTAAAAAATAAACCATACAGGTTACGCACGGTGCCATACAAGGGAGCGTGCGGTAAATATTTTACAGCACGCTCCGTTGTATGGCGCGTAATATTTGTACTTACGAACAATGTGTACAACCTCCGCTAATGCTTATTTTGAGCAAATGTGTTAAAAAGTACATAATGTTTTACAATAACTGTATTGTATTTTAAAAAAATATATGTATTAAAAATATTGTATAAATACTGAAATAACGAAATCATTGCGCTCACTTTATTAGTTCATGACGTTTCTAATATCACACTTTTTAAAGGTTAATTTTATTTAATAATGAAGTCTCATATTTTCAAATAAGAAGGATAAACTTTACTAAAAATGGCCAAAAAAATAGTTACGGCTCAAAACGTGTTATAGCTTTATAAGTTATACAAATTTGAATTAAATTTAATTCAATAAAAGAAAATCTTACTTACCAAGAATACATACCAAATATGCCTTAGTTTAAGTCCATAAAATCTTTGCAATGTAATCGCGCTATAAGTTTAATCTTCGAACCATCCTATTAACTACATCGTTGTGTTTATTCAATCATGTTTGTTTATTGTTCATTGTAGCATTATTTAAATGGTATGGCTCGAAGGACCAATTTTAAAAATAATTCATTTTAATGTAACGTTATCTGTAATCGTTTCGTTTAACTCAAGATAAACCAACCACATATTTTTGTCCACAAGTGAAAAATAGTAACAAAGTCAAAAATTTTTTTTTTAATTTAAACCAACTATTGTTCTGTACCTAAACTTTTACAGCATAACTCTTAATATGGATAGTAAATAAACAGGAGAATGCTTATAAATTTACTGGATCGAAAAGTACTCAAGTCTAAATATACAATTAAACTAAATTTTTATCTACCATTAACAAGGAGGAAACCATAGTTTTCAAAATTGTGTAATTGCGTTATTTTTTTGCATTTATTTATATTGTTGAATAAAAAAATACCTATGTTATATCTAATTCTTTTATTTCGCCTCTAAAAATAGTACCACTTTGTCCTAATTAAACGCGAACACACGATCATCGCTTTTTTTGCGAGAACTTTGTTCACATTAATCAAATTACATCACGCGAACATTAAATATAATACTTATTTTTTATACGTATGTTTTATCTACTGAGCAACGGACGTGGCCAAGTAACGAGTAGCCGCACGCAGTTTACACTTCTGTCAAAGTATAATACTTTCATACAATTTAATTATTTATTATTGTCATAAAATTATTTATTTTTGTTTTTTATGTCTATTATTATTATTAGCAGAACAAAGCCACACTCACGGAACAACTTATGTCATTTGTCTGTTAAATTTGACATGAGTTTCATAAATTTATTTCAAAATTAGAACGTCAGAGTGAAAAGTTGCACCCAGAGTGGAAGTATAGAACACAGCTTATCTCTTGTTCCAAGACTTAGAATAATAAAATTTACAATATTTATAATGTGTTAATATTATTCTGTATCAAGATCATTTTATCTTCGATATCCTTTTTTTTTAATTTGTACGCATTTGTTTTCTTTTCTGGTATCTCGTATTTGTTGCATCTTTATAATTGTTTACCATTGGGTACTCAACCCAATGAGGCCTCGATATGGCCTCGTGATGCCGCCGTGGGAGATGCATGGGTTTAATAATAGAAGGGAAACAGTAAAGTAAAAAAGGGGCACCCCAGTACCAGCTTCTCCCTTTGGATCGCATCCAGCGCCGAGCGGCTCGAATCGTCGACGACCAGGATCTTTCCGATCAGCTTGATCCTTTGGCTTTGCGTAGGGATGTAGCTTCGCCCTGCATCTTCTATCGCATTTATCACGGGGAGTGTTCTGAGGAATTGTTCGGATTAATTCCAGCTGCTGCATTTCGCCATCATACATCGGGACAAAAAAATCATCCCCATTATCTTGATGCGTGGCTATCCACAACCGTGCGTTTTTGTCGAAATTTTTTACCACGTACGACAAAACTGTGGGATATATTGTCGCCAGCAGTTTCCGGACCAATACGACCCAAAAACCTTCAAAAAAAGAGCGTACTCCTTCCTTAAACGCCGGCATCGTATTTGTGATACTCCTGGTGTTGCAAGTGTCCATGGGCAACGGTGATCACTTACCATCAGGTGAGCCGTCTGGGTACAGAGACAGAACGAAGAAAGTAGGGAGAAGAAGAGTAAAAAAGAAAGGAAAACCACAAGCGGGAAAACAAATAGATGCACACTAAGGCTAAAATTATACAGCCCAATCACCCATATACCTATTACACAATGTATCATAATTAATAGGTAAGATCATATATACAAATATCAGAACAAGATAAGAAAATAATACGTCTGTTAAGCTAGCATGGCAAAGTGAGCAGAATCGTTTAAAATAAAGTGCATCAATTAGTGCTTATTTAGTGCTAATTTAGTGCCAAAACCGGAAATTTAATGCTCTCATAGTTTAGCAAAAAATTAGAACACTGCCAGCTTTTAATTAAGCTAGCAGTGTATTCCCTGAAACGCCTATATTAACGCGGTATAGAGCTAAAGCAATGCATAGGGAATTTAGTGCTTAATGAGTGCTGGCAGTATCTGATGAAAATTTTGGAAAATAAAAAATATTTTATTTTTTATCAATAAAAACTGCTAGTATGAGAGTCTGAGCAAGTGACCGGTTCGAATACATCACTCTGGATCGAAGATCTATGATAATCAATGGTTAATAATTTAGTGCTCAATGAGTGCTGCCAGTATGTGATAAAAAATAAGGAAATTTTATTTTTTTAATTTTTTATTAATAAAAACTGCTAGTTTGACAGTCTGAGCAAGTGCCTGGGTTGAATACATCACTCTGGATCGAAAATCTATGATAATCAACGTTTAATAATTTAGTGCTCAATGAGTGCTGCTAGTATGTGATAAAACATTTGGATTTTTTTATTTTTTATTAATATAAACTGCTAGTTTGACAGTCTGAGCAAGTGACAGGGCTGAATACATCACTCTGGATCGAAGATCTATGATAATCAACGGTTAATAAATTAGTGCTCAATGAGTGCTGCCAGTATGTGATAAAAAAAAAGGTTTTTTTTAAAAATTTTTATCAATATAAACTGCTAGTATGACAGTCTGAGCAAGTGACCGGTTCGAATACATCACTCTGAATCGAAGATCTA